ATCGAGGATACATATAGGAGCAGCTCTACTGTGCTCACCATTAAGCGTTCGAAGTCGGAACCCATCAGGGTGACAAGAGGTGTTCGCCAAGGCGACCCTTTATCGTCACTCCTGTTTTCTCTCGTGGTTGATCGGGTTCTGACTTCCCTGCCTTCTTCGGTAGGATATCATCTGGGTGAGCACAAGATCGACGCACTGGCGTACGCAGACGATATCGTGATTTTTAGCTCGTCGACATTGGGTATGAAAGAAATGTTACGAACCGCCGGGGACGAGGCTTCCAAATATGGTCTGCAGTTCAACGCGGCCAAGTGCATCGCGATGTCAATCTTGATTTCTACTAAGCGGAAGACATATAAAGTGTCGACTGCTGAAAGCTTTCAGATTGGCGGAGGGCCTATTCGTCAGCTTGGCCCAACCGAGCCCTTTAGATACCTGGGGGTGCATTTTTCTCCCCTTGGTATCCGGAAGCCCGGGGGTACTTTAGTTCGGGAGTTGGCTAACATCGCCTCGGCTCCTCTAAAGCCCCAGCAGCGTTTAAAGATCTTACGTTGCTTCCTCGTGCCGCGATTTTACCACCAGTTAGTCTTGTCGAGATGCCATCTTCAAACTCTTAAGAGTCTTGACCGACAAGTACGCGCTGCGGTTCGCAAGTGGTTACGGCTACCAAAAGATGTTCCCATTGGATACTTCCACGCGCGGTGTTTAGACGGGGGACTCGGAATTCCATCTTTCCGAACAGCTATTCCGGCCTTGGTTCATTCAAGGCTTTCGGATATGGCTGAGTCTTCCTGTGCCGCCGTTAGAGGTGTCTTTTGTCATCGCTCGGTGCAGGCTTCGATCCGATGGGCCGAAACGGCGCTGTCCTTTCATGGGCGGCCTCTTATCGGCCAGGAGGCTCGTGGCAAGTACTGGGCTTCGCTACTCCATCAAGCGAATGATGGCAAGGAACTCTCCGAGTGTGCTCGTGTTCGTGCGAGCCACTCGTGGGTAGACCGTAACAGCGCGGCCCTCTCCGGACGAGACTATGTACAATTCCATCACGTACGGGTCAATACTCTCCCAACTCGCGTTCGAACATCACGCGGCAGACGCGTAGTCGGTGGCCCGCCTATCGAGTGTCGAGCGGGCTGTGGTACTAATGAAACCGCAGCTCACGTCATTCAGGGCTGTCACCGCACTCATGGAGGCCGAATACTGCGACACGATGCAATTTGCCGTATCGCAGTCAGTAGCCTCCGGCAGTTGGGATGGAGTGTCCGGCAGGAGCCGCACTTTCATACCAGAGAAGGCTTGCGGAAGCCAGATATCGTCGCTGTAAAGGATCAGGTTGTCAAGGTGATCGATGCGCAAGTCATCAGCGCTTCATCGTCCCTTGACGACTCGCACCGTCGGAAAGTCGCTAAATATGATACCCCTGACATTCGTCATCAGGTCGCCAGTGAGTATAGGGTCGAGAACGATAACATCTCGTTCTCTTCGATCACGATCTCCTGGCGGGGTATCTGGTCCGCTGCTTTCGCCGCGAGTCTGTGCGAACTCGGATTGAGCAAATGTTTGGATTCCATCACGTTTAGAGCTCTCCGTGGTTCGTACATGAATTGGCTCCGGTGGAATAAAATGACCACGCACATCAGTGGTTATACAGGTATTAACTCTGCAGGTCGAAATAGAGAAGGCATAGGGTAGCCTTGACATCATCTCGCGCACATTTTTTTGGAGAACGTGGTCTCCCACCATCTAAGACGGCACCACGAAATAAAGCCGCGTCCGAGCACTTCCATCGCTCGGGCAGATAGAGTTTTAGTGGGTATTCCCTCACCGACGCAAGTCGGTTAAGGGCGAGTCCCACACACGGGGAGGTTCGGGGTTGATTTCAACTCAAACCTCCTTACGGTGCGTAACGCATTTCTCTATCTAAAAAAAAAAAAAAAAAAATGCCTTAACAAATCTGGTTTTAGTACAAATTTTTTCTCGCACTTGTCGCATAGGTAATCTTCAAATACTTTAAAGGAGAGATCTTTTCGACTTTCGTGGACTACCTTTTGATGGTACAACAAACCCGGTTTTCGTGTAAATTTCTTCTCACACTTGTCGCATGCAAAATCTTTGCGACCTTCGTGTACAGTCTTTTGGTGGATAAGCAAATTTGATTTACCTCCAAATTTCTTATCGCAATGTTTGCATACGTAATCTTTGCGACCTTCGTGGACAGTCCTTTGGTGCTTCAACAAATCTGATTTATCTACATATTTCTTTTCGCACTTGTCGCATGCGCAATCTTTGAAAACTTCGTGTACTGCCCTTTGATGTAAAAGCAAACCCCGTTTGTATACAAATTTCTGCTCACACTTGTCACAGGTGAAATCCTTGCGACCTTCGTGTACAGTCTTTTGGTGGATAAGCAAATTTGATTTACCTCCAAATTTCTTATCGCAAGTATCGCATACGTAAATTTTCCGGTCTTCGTGCCCTGCCTTTCGGTGGTAGAGCAAACTCGGTTTTTGTGTAAATTTCTTCTCGCACTTGTCACATACAAAATTTTTGCGACCCTCGTGGACTATCTTTATGTGCAGGAGCAAACTCTGCTTACTTGCAAATCTGTTGGCGCACATTTCACACAAGTAATTTTTAAAAACTTCGTGGAATATTTTTCTGTGTTTGAGTAACGTTGATTTACTTTCGAAGTTTTTCTCGCACTTGTTGCACGTAAAGTTTTTGCGATCTTCATGTACCAATTTTTGGTGCGTTAACAAACTTGATTTTTTCACAAATGTCTTCTCGCATCTGTCGCATGCAAAATCTTTGCGATTTTTGTGTACAGATATTTGGTGTCTACTCAAATGACTTCGGAACTCAAATTTCTTTTTGCACTTGTCACATGAGTAGTCGTTTCTTTCATTGTGAATTGTGTCTCGGTGTGTTATTGTGCTTGATTCTAGTGTGAATTCCTCTTGAAAAATATCACAAATTTGTTGTTTGTCGTCTGAAACAACATTGACGTGTTCACTTGAGTTATCATTTAAAAGAATTTCTTCGGATTTCTTATCACTTATGTCCATTTTGTAGCCCAAATTGTACGATGGATTTTTCCATTTAGTATTATGAAAATTGAGCAAGTAAAATTTATCTTTTGGTGTTATGGCTTGTTTCATCTGGAAAGACAACTATCAAACCAATTTATTTTCATTATAAACATCTTCAGTAATCGAGGGCATATTCAAAATCGTTTAAAATCATATTGTTTACAATTAAGTTATCAATTTATTTGTTTATACATAGTTTTAAGAAAATTCAAAACAAATTGAAATTCTACAGAAATAATTGAGTGCACACAAAAAAACATGGAGTAAATTGATCTTCATACACATGTTTAATAAAAAAATTTTATATTTGTTTGAAAATTTTCCTATCGGAGATTCCATTTTGTCATTCTCTTTCTAAAGTGTTACATTGTTTTATTATATTAATATTATCATTAATTATTAACATTTATTTTGAAAAATACACTTTGAATATTTTTTAATTTTACAGCTAATCATTGGTTCGAAATGGTTCGATAAATAAACGGTATAGCTCTTTCCTGTACAGTAAGAAACAATATTAAAAAACTCAACTTAAATTAATTTTAATGTGAAGTCAGACGTTAAAATTAGATTAGTCGATACTGACATTTATTCAACATCAACATTCTTTTATAGATAAAATCTTCATTGAAAATTAATCGCTCAGTACCGATTTACTTTATTGCATAGAATACACAAAAAATAAATAAAAATGCAATCACATGCATTAATTTGAATTGAAAATGAAAATTTAATTCCATACTTAAAATTAAATATTTTGATTAAAATTGCTTGAAAATTTTACGAGAATTCAATCATATTTCTGAAATGGTTTCATATAATGCCTAAAATAATAAAAAATTAAAGGAAAAAAACCTATTACATTGTTTGCTACATATTATTGAGAAATCAATTAAAATTAATGATTATTTCCAGAGGTCTACTGCAAGTACTCGTTGAGTTATGTATCTCTGTCGCTCTCTCGCACACGTGGGAGTTCATGTGGGTTACTTGAATTCAATCGTATTGAATGGTGGAACACGTATAAGTGTAGTAGATGCCGAAATTCCACCGAACAGAATGGATGTTAAACCAAGTGTATTGAGGAGTACAGCGGGAATCGTTCAATAGAGTAACGATTAGAAAGTGAAAATCCAGCGAAGCAGGGGCTTTACCTATGCCTAGCCGTGTGCCATGTTATTATTGCTGCGTACACAGTGCCGTAACCAGAAAATTGGGGGGGGGGNGGGGGGGGGGGGGGGGGGGTCAGAAACCTGGTTACGGCTCCGATTATAGATACTAGCGGCCCCTACTATTTGGACTTTCAGTTTCTCATCGTTTCTATTCATATTCGCCGCCACAAGTGTCCCGCATAAATTTACTTACTTCACAGATCGTATCCTACGCATTTATTCAGTATACGTCGCGACGCCGTACTGTGAACATCTTAGAAAGATCTCATCGACCGATTAAAATTTAAAATATTCCACGTAATAAGTTACAGTGTTGTGTGTGAGTGTGCAGCAAAATGTTTAACGCCAACGAATCCGCTATAAGTTTCGGAAATCAAGAAAATTTGAAGAGACTACGAAAAAATGTCGATTGGAAAAGCAAAGACGAGCGATACGAGATTATCTACCAATCGATCAGAAATTGGAACTCGACTCTAAACCTTCGGGACATTTTTCGTCCCGAAGAAATGGAGTGTCTTCTCTTGGATTCCGCAACTTATAGTATTCTAGATCAGAATTATGTGACAGGAAAAAGATTCATCTGGTTCGCGGCTCGCAGCGGCTACAAAGACGAACCCAAAGTTGATAGTAAAGACGGCAAGCTACTATTGCGTCGTACCACAGCATTGCACTGCGCTGCCAAAAGCGACATGGGCTCAGACTCATTCGTGGTCCATGCGCTTTTTCAAATATACGAGACGAGATGAATTACACCGACGAATCTGGCCTCAGCCATTTTCATTTGGCCTGCAACTGGAGCTGCGGCAAAGTCGTTGTTGAGAAATTTTTGAAGTCCGGACAAGATCCCAATTGGCTCTGGCAAGAAACAGGCGATTCGCCGCTCCACGTGGCCCTAGCCTTCAACAGAAAAGAAGCGGCTGAATTGCTGTTGAGAAATGGCGCCGATCCGAATTTAGCCAATTCAAAGGGTTCAACGCTCCTGCACATCATTTGTCAGAAAGACAACGACATTGGCTTAGCTGACATTCTATTTGAGATATGTGACGCTAAAGGTTTAACGGTGCAGGTTAATTCTTTGGACAAGTTGGGTATGACACCGCTGCAATTAGCCGTGGTGAATCTTTTGCCGAGAATAGTGGATCTACTTTTGGATCGCGGTGCTGATCTGTCTGGCTTCGTTTTTCCCACCGATTGTTACACTGGTAATTTTAAATTAGCACGAATGTCTCTCCTGCTGGCCGTTATCGAACGTCTAGAGAAGAGGGGCTACAAATTGTACCAAAACGACGCCTTAGCGATCATGAAGTTGTTCTCAGACAACGGACTATTCAAGAAGTCGACGGGTTCTAACGAATGTTGGTACAACGACGAGGAGTTCGCGACAGAAGCGAAAAAAATAATAATGATGAACTCGAGCTTGACTCTTTACGATGTGTTTCAACTACGACCATGGGAGGCGGCAAAACTGCTCTCGTACTCGGACTACGTGAGGTTCGAGACCTTGCACGAATCATTGATATACTCTCCAAAGAAATTAGAGATGCTTCTGCTTTGCGTCTATGCGAAATAATGGCGGGAAATTTTTTCCATCAGTGGGCATCGGATCCTTTCTATCAAATTATACACGGACGGCTGCCGATCGAGTGCTGCGATAAAATCACCGAACGGCTACTGAACGAAGATTTATACAATATTTGCTTGGCGAGTACGAGGCAAAACTCGTGATAATGATAAGCATATTTGTAGTATTTTTTCATGTCATGTGTCATTACATTTTTGTAGATTTTTTATGATATTCAAATAAATAAACTTAATTTACCAAAATAATATTCGCTAATTTTTTTGCTTTCTAATTGCCTTTTCATACCTATTTGTAAACTATATTGCATCTCCGACAAAGGTTTTTATTGAATTTAGGGTAACAAATTAAAATATTTAATAATAGTGTTTGACGTATTATTAGCCATGTGCTACTTGCACGTGCTATACACACGAGGAGCTCCTATTACGCTAGATTTACTGTTCAACCATGTGCTCGTACTCGCTCAATTGGAGATTAAATTCATCAGCGCCCTCTGTAAATTTAATGCGGCCGTCCATAAGAACCTTCGAGCCGCCCGAAAATTGTTTTAGTCGAGTTTCGGGCGGCTCGAAGGTATGGGACGGCCGCATTGAATTTACAGAGGGCGCTGATTATCGTTTAATCTCCAATAGATCATAGTAAATGTAATAGTCAGTGCACATGACTCTGTTTTTGAATTTCGGAATGAGGTCAAATTGGAGTCTCTGAAAAAATGGAATTAGGCGGTTTCGAAAATTCTAATAAAATAAGGGGACATCTAGGACATCAGAAACAACAAGTTTATCATTTTTACAGAAAAAACGTTTTTTTTTTGGTCATTTGATTTCAATGAAAATCGGCAACATGTCACCGATGCAAGTCGAAAATATCCTGGTCTTTCGGGAAGGTGTGTTTTTCTTCACGGCATCCGACGAGGTGTTTTTTTTTCAAGGTGTTTCGTTTAGGTGAGTTTTTACTCATGAGCAGCTTACTTTTCAGAATATAATCTAATGAGAGTGAAATGAAATTAAAAGTATCCGATGGAGAAATTTTCAATAAAATTGTAGTAAAAAGTGATTATACAATTATTTAAATACTCTTTACAATATAATGTATAACTGAATAACAATCAAACGCATTCATTTTGAAAATAGAAGTAATCTTACACAATTTTTACATGCATTGATGTTTTATCATGAATTAAGTTGCATAGTGACTGATAAATGAGAATATTTTTTTGAAGAAATCGGTATCTTCAAAATACTGCAAATGCGAAGTAACAAAAAACATAATTGATACATTCAGATAAATAGTTGCATGTATTGAATGAATATAAAATTTCATATTTTATTTTAAAAACTATTATCTATATTATAATTGTATAAAATAACGTATAAAATGTACAGAAATACAGAAAAAAATTTTCGATGACAATTTTTCATTTTATTCAATTTTATCGTTACGGTAAGATCTTAGAAATTGATTTTCTTTTCATTTTATAATTTTTTTTGCAGAACGTTAAGTAGGCCTTTGTTGAATAGTGTACTAAATTTTAACGAAGAAAGCTCTAATATTTTACAGAATTTTCAAAGAATCTTCTTCAAAAGTTTAACTTTGCTAAAGACACACAAATTAAACTTTTTCTTTTTTCTGCAATTAAATAATTTTCTTAAAACTGTTTTTCTTAAATATTGTATAAGTACTTATTTTCATTAATCGAGTATACTTTTTCGTGATGCCATTTAAAAATCCGAAAAATTTCTTTGGAGACTACGGCTACATTTTTCCCAATCGCGTAAATAAGAATTTAAATGATCATTTAAGTATCAATCAATTCGACGGCCGGGACCAACGATCTGCTTACACGAAGATCGACAGCGAAAGTCCTGTAACCGGCATTAAAATAAAAAAGTAGTATATAGTGTAAGTACACAGGAAATACACACAAAATAGTCATCGCACACTCGCGGCATGTGTAGTAAGCGACGAGACGATCTCCCTCTCTTTCTCTGCCGTGCTCAGCGCCGATCTCTTAGCGGCCTGAAGCAACTGTACGCTAAAAAGTCTTTCGAGGACTGTGCATGGGTACGTACACACGCGGAGTACTTTCAACTTTAGCTCGTCGAGATATATAGCTATACGTATACAGTCTCGGCGTGCACGTTTTACTTGTGTAAAAGCCGCGACTGGTATCATCCTATCTGTGTACCATGCTGCAGAGCTGCTGGCAGCAGCTTCGTCAGCCCCACTATAATAAAGCAGCACTGCACTGCACAGCATTGCCGACGAGCTCGAGAAGCAGCAGCAGCAGCTTAAGACCCGGCAACCTGTTAACCTACTTTTACAGGTAAGACTGAGAATGGCGTGTGTATATGCTGCTGCCGCTGCTTGTCCTTGGGGGACTTGAAGTAGACATTATAAAGCAGCAGTCGATCGCGGCAGGAGTACACGTCGAATCCTAGAATACCTCTGTGTGTACCTTGTTTTTTTTCCATTTAATTGCCATGTTTTCGTGATCCTTTATGATAATCCCGGATGGGCAAAGAGTCGATAAAATTATTTCTTTGACTTCTGCCGCTTTCTTCTCTCGCGAAGCAGCATTGAATCGACGATCCGAGAGCAGAGGGCGATTTCTCGGGGCCTCGCTCGCGAGCTATAAAGAAAATGTGCGAGGAAAGTGATTGGCGTACGAGCAGACGCAGCAGCATGCCGCATTTGCCAGGCACGGGCTCGTAACATTGTGTGTAGTGTCTCGAAAGTGCATTGTTACAGTGTGTGTAAACGTGCGTTGTATCGATTAATAGTGCGGCGTACGTGCGGTCAATAACGCGAATTGTATTAACGAAGCATGAAAAAATGCACGTGCGTCTAACGGTACCGACGATCGGCTGAAAAAACGTATGAAAATCGTTATTACAACGCTGCTATCGTACACAAAATGTGTTGCAATGTAAGGACATCTGATTTAAGAATCGATGAACAAACGTTGCTCGTTAATTTCTCCTTGGTGATTTGGTATGTTGAAAGTGTTTTATGACGCGATCGTTTTCTCAAAATCTTTCATATTTTAACCGATATCGTACTCACTGCAGTTACTTTGGAATACTTGAAAATAACCAACTAATTAAAATACTTTTCGATACAATTTTTTGAATATCGTTACAATAAATTTGTATAAATGTAATTAAGTGTAATTTATTCATCGATTAATTGAAAAAAATTTTAAATGTCAACCGATTGGAAGAAGTTAGTAGCCGTATTATGTAACAGTTTTGATATACTTTATTATTTCAAATGGATGATTGATATTTTTCTGTGTCGTGAGAAAATTGAAGACAGTGGTATTCTTGTTATGAAATTGATAAATTTAATGATTATTTCAATCTCTTTAAAAAAAAGGCGATTTTACAATACTTTTTAAGTTGAATATAATTTATATTTACTTATTCGGAAATCATACGTACAATGTACTTATATGGTCGATTTTGTGAAAACCCGATGAGGTCAAAGAATTTTATTCAAGTAATATGATGATTATATTTGCGTGTAAAAAGTGTGACTAAAACATTGAAAATCAAGATATTTTAAAAATTCCCAATTCGTGACGGAGGCGCTATCAAAGAAAAATGTTCCTGAAAGGTCGTAGTACTCTGAGTCAGTGCTGCCATGTCGAACACGCAAAAAAGGCTAAATTTAGCTCAGTTCAATTCAGACAAACAGGTTGGGAAATTTGAAAAAGTTCCTTGAAATATTTTAGCATCTTTTTAATGAACTACCAATTTCATACGTTTAATACATTTAATAAAAATCGATTAAACCAAATAAAATTAAAAATAGAAGAAACAGGTTGAAAAATGTGTATGTTTAGATATGGGCCTGCACTAATTTTATCAGTGTGGTACTATTGAAGCAGTCGAGATATTTAGTTTCATCACACTTTTTGCTGTGAGAATAAAAACGAGTTTTTTCAGCTACTAGAAACGTTTTTTTTTCCTACAAATGGATATGGGTTTCTTTATTTTCATCCATGCGCATTAGCTAGGAATCGCATAAGCAAATAAAGCTCGACATTTTACCCGACTGCAAATATGCGGCGATCAAGCTTCAGAGAGGTATCGTTTTTATCTCGTGCGACAGATATACAAATTGAACACATGGTTGATATACAGCCCATAATTGCAAAATAATATTTTTACTTCATGAGATACACAATATACAATGCATTAGGTGAGTTCAATTGTCACTACTTGCGGAGCTTTTTTCAATGATTGCACGATTTACGATCGATAAATTGCAAAGAACAAAGATTGCTGTAACTCAATTTTCCGCTTGAAGTACGAAAATCAGTTTTGATAGTTGTCGGATGATGTTAATAAATAATTCAATATTCAAGGGAATATTAACGTATCTATAGGAACTAGGTAGTTAAAAAGATTCAACTGATAATCGAAAGGTCGAAAGATCTGTTCAACAGCCATACTTTAAAGAACAAATTGAAGATGAAATCAAGATTATGAACTTTCTAAGAAACGAATGTTTACATTTTAGTTTATCTTAAAAAGGTGAATCAAAGGTTTTTTATGTTCACGACAAAATGAATAAAAATCTGAAATATTTTATTGTTCTTCCAAAATGATGGGATATTCATGTGAAATAATTTCTGAAATAACGTAGCGTAAGTATAAGAATGTAGAAATCTTCATTAAGTCCAAATGTCTTGGGACGAATCTCATGCTCGTAAGGTTTGCTTCGTATATGTACTGCCTTGACGTGACGTTTGAGGGTATCCTTGTAACGAAATGATGTGTGACAAATGTCACATTCGAATGGTCTGCTTCGATTATGAATTACATTGATGTGATTTTTAAGAATATGCTCGTGGCTGAATAATTTTTGACAAATCTCACATTAAAAGGGTTTACTCCGATTATGCACTGTCCTTATGTGCCTATTGAGATTTTGTTTTTCTCCAAATGACTTTTAACAAATATTACACTTGAAGGATTTACTCCGATTATGTACTGTATTGACATGACATTTAAGATGAATTTTTTATCCAAATGATTTGTGACAAATTTCACACTCGAAATGTTTGCTTCGATTATGCACTGCATTTATATGTTGTTTGAGGTCACGCTTATATCCAAATAGTTTGTGACAAACCTCGCATTCGAAGGGTTTGTTCCGATCATGTACTAAATTCATGTGAGCTTTGAGGTTACCTTTTAGCCCAAATGATCTGTGACAAACCTCACATTCAAAGGGTTTGTTCCGATTATGTACTATATTTATGTGTCTATTGAGAAGACCCTTATGGCCAAAGGATTTGTGACAAACATTACATTCGCAGGGTTTGATCCGAAGATGTACCGCCATTATGTGAACTTTTAGGTTACATTTTAATCTAAATGATTTTTGACAAATTTCACATTAATACGATCTAATGCCCTTATTTTTCACGTTGATATGTTTTTTCAGCCCCGCTTCATAAGGTTTTTGACACGATTCCCACTTATCAGACAATTCGTTTTGAATATTTTGTATTTCAACTTCCTCGGGCTTGTCGAGCTTCAATCGAGACTTTTCTGGTAATTGACCCTTATTATCGTAATTAAATCCTTTTTTTATTAAAATTATAAGATTTCTGCCGTTCGAGTAATTGGTCTTAATTCGGTTTTCTATTTTCACAATAGGTAGATAGCTTCGATTCTCAGATTTACAAATGCTCGTTGAGAGAAACATGAATTCAGATTTAAAATTGTTACTTTCCGAATCTACGAATATTTTTCCATCTTCCTGCCAAACGTATAGTTTACCAAAAATTAAAATTGTCTAATAGGTTTGGGCAATGAAAAAATAGAACGTAATTCAAATTATTGAACTCACCGATAAGTCATGAAATGTCAATTCTTGAAAGTTTTCGGCTTTGCAAGAGTTCACTGGATCAAAAATATAATTATCACCTTCCATCAGCCAATTATCGTTTGGCTCTATTTTACCCTGAAGAATAATAAATTATGATGGATCGATCACTTACAACAAATATCATTGAATCCACAAAAAATACAATACCTAATTATGTCCTCGTTACTTTCCATATCTAGTTAGATTAGATGTAAACACTGCGAATGCTGACGAAAAATTTGAGGTTATAGGCCTCGAACAGCCAACTACACTGCAATTCAACCTGGCTATTTTTAAACCCTAACGAATTCAACTCCTACGCTAACTGAACGCACTCGGTACTACCTTTATAGTAGCAATACATTTCCCTCTATGGTCGACTCGCCAAACTAGAACGATTCGTAATGTACCGCGGATCGAGGAGCGCGTGTCGCGCTCCACCTGGCAAGTATGACAGGAACTAAGTGACGACACGCCGCTACTCATATACAGCCCATACCTATCCGCCAACTTTCTTTTGGCTCTCATTTGAATTTGATAAGAGTTATCGAAAATCTGATAAGCCCATCAGATTCCTTGGAAAAAATCCTATCAATATGAGCTATTTAGATTTTCCAACGGTCCACTATTTCCTACAGAAACGAAAATGAATATATGAGTCTCTCGAAAAGTGTCCTCACGCTAAAAATGTTATCACGCTAGCGTATACAAGTGTTCTCACGCAGAGTATAGTATACATGTTCTCACGCAACATACATGTACGTATAGTTTGTGTATGTGTATAACGCTATACGCTGTATACTTGTATATATCGGATTGATGATGATGAACAAGTGAAGACCCGCTCGACTAACTAGATCGAAGTCGAAAATTTTACAATACCCCGGTAGCCCACTCGATGCTCTATGTGTGATGTCACTACTTTGTTCACCCGGGTGGCCTAATCAGAGCACTAAGTACAAGTACAGCCCCGGCGACGACTTTCTCCGAGTAAGTCGAGATTCTCTACTTTGTACCCCCGGGTGCCCTATCCGGTGCACTAGGTATAAATACGACCTCGGCGACGACTTTCCCCGGTGAATATATAATAGCGACTCACTCGACGCACTAGGTCGAGATTTGTACTCGACGATGAGTTTCTCCGGAAAGTCGCGATGTATTCACACGAATATCGTCCGGGGTGTCTCGCTCGAAGCACAAGGTCGAAATCTGTACTCGACGATGACTTTCTCCAGGAAGTCGTGATGCACTCACACAAATATCGTCCCGGGTGGCTCGCTCGACGCACTAGGTCGAAATCTGTACTCGACGATGACTTTCTCCGGGAAGTCGCGGTTTTTTCGCACGAATATCATCCCGGGTGGCTCGCTCGACGCACTAGGTCGAAATCTGTACTCGACGATGACTTTCTCCAGGAAGTCGCGGTGTTTTCGCACGAATATCGTCCCGGGTGCCTCGCTCGAAGCACTAGGTCGAAATCTGTACTCGACGATGACTTTCTCCAGGAAGTCGCGGTGTTTTCGCATGAATATCGTCCCGGGTGGCACGCTTCGCCCAATATATCGGAATCCGAACTAGATGATAATTTTCTCCGGGAAATCGCGATGTTATCGTACGGAAATCACCTGGATTAGTCAGCTCGACGCACTAGTTTGGGATCCGGACTCGACGATAACCTTCTCCGAGAAGTCGCGATGTTTTCGCATGAATATCATTGTCAAGACTTATTTTTCAAATTACGTGGATCACAAGCATACTTATATAAATCATATAATAATTCGGAATCCCATGAACTTTTGTTTTTTAAAAGAACATTTATGAGCAAGTATGGCCAGCTTATCCTTATATTTTTGTGCTACCTTATTTTTCTAAACTATTCAATTGGTAATCTCAACTCGTAAATGATAATCAATTTCTTGGCTATGATATTATTGAAATCAAATAAATTCCGTCAAGTATTAAACAAACTAACAATTTTTTTGTTTTAAACTGTTATCATACTGAAATGTTTATAATAGAATAATTCAAAATCGTTGTAATACTTTTTTCAAAAGTTTAAATATGGGCAAGTATGACAGTCTGATCCTTATAATTTTAATCTAACTTTAAAATTCTCTCTCTCTCTCTCTGTCTCTCTCATTTATGAAACTTCTAATATCAAATCATCAATGATCAATTACTTAGCTATGATAGTAATGAAATCCAATACATTCCGACAAGTATTCAAGCAAACTAAAATTTTTTTTCCCTCAAACTATAACCATAATATAAAGTTTATTATAAAATAATTTAATAATTAATTATATGATTTTTAACATAAGTTCAATAATCAATCACGTAGCTATGATATTATTGAATTCAAATACATTCCGACACATATTCAAGCAAACTAAAATTTTTATTTCTCAAACGATAACCATGATGCAAAGTATAATTGTTAGAATTTATAGTAGTTATTATTTAATTATATACAGTGATAAGTGAAATGATACTCTCATGCGACCATGCAAAGGTAACAGTGGTATGTAAAAAAACATTACTTATGACTCTACTTGCCCGGCCGTCTCGATCAAATCCGATGCGAACATTACAATTGCATGTACCGAAAGCAAACAATATATATTTTACAAGTTTGTTATATTTTTTAATTCAATGATGTATAATAACATAATTTTATCTTTTAGTTGCTTTCGTTACACTAATGACATTTATTATTTTTTATGAATTGATGAATGGTTCTGAGAAAAATTGTATATTAAAACAGAAAAAGAATACATACAATACAGAGTGATGACTTAATACATTATCTTTATTTGAGTAAATCACATGTTTTTATAAAGATTATGTGAGAAAATGCACTGCAGACCCATTAAATTAAAAGCTTCTAATAAAACGACAAAAACTTTGAAAACTATATTTTTTATGCATTGATAATTATTATATGACGATTGCGAACGTCTTGAATTTGTTCGAGACGGCCGGGCAAGTAGAGTCATAAGTAATGTTTTTTTACATACCACTGTTACCTTTGCATGGTCGCATGAGAGTATCATTTCACTTATCACTGTATATAATTAAACAATAACTACTATAAATTCTAACAATTATACTTTGCATCATGGTTATTGTTTGAGAAATAAAAATTTTAGTTTGCTTGAATATGTGTCGGAATGTATTTGAATTCAATAATATCATAGCTACGTGATTGATTATTGAACTTATGTTAAAAATCATATAATTAATTATTAAATTATTGTATAATAAACTTTATATTATGGTTATAGTTTGAGGGAAAAAAAAATTTTAGTTTGCTTGAATACTTGTCGGAATGTATTGGATTTCATTACTATCATAGCTAAGTAATTGATCATTGATGATTTGATATTAGAAGTTTCATAAATGAGAGAGACAGAGAGAGAGAGAGAGAATTTTAAAGTTAGATTAAAATTATAAGGATCAGACTGTCATACTTGCCCATATTTAAACTTTTGAAAAAAGTATTACAACGATTTTGAATTATTCTATTATAAACATTTCAGTATGATAACAGTTTAAAACAAAAAAATTGTTAGTTTGTTTAATACTTGACGGAATTTATTTGATTTCAATAATATCATAGCCATTTTTGATACACGACTGATGAGAGCGATGAGAGAGTCCTAGCGGCTCAACTGTTGCACTAACTCACAAGTCATGCGCCAGTTTTCGAACACTTTTCTCATTTATAAAAAGTTGCACATGAAGTTAAAAATTGTTTCTAAAAATAACTTTTAATATTAAAAATGGTCATATTTTGTATGAACGCGGATCGTCAAGTTTTTGACTACTTTACTAAACTATCAATAGGAGGAATCAATTTAAAAACCTATGCAGAAATCGACTTGAAAATCCAAGTGGAAAATCCACTGGAAACCTACATTAAAATACCCTCAAAATTGAGTAAAAGCACAGTTTTTCAGGCAATTTTTCCAGGTAGATTTTTGGGTCGATTGTACGACTCTTAAGTCAAATTCCACGTGAAAATCGATCTAAAATAACCAATTCTTTTAAATTTCATGAAATTAGAAATTCTACTCAAATGACTTAATATTAGAATAACTAATTAAAAAAAACAAATTTAAAAAAGTAAAAGCGTTTCAATTCCATTAAATGAGCTTACAAGGAAATCTGTCCACTTTGAAATACAATTTAAACTTTAAATCCCGTAACAAACTGGTTTCATAACTTACTGAAACTGATCATCAGTATTTGAAATGAAATTACATAATAGGTCTACTAATACTATTATTGCTGTCAAAATCTTTAAAAGTCTGCGTTCATCCAGATAAAAGTAATTCTTAGCGAAGTTTATAGATTAATGAAAAAAACATTTTCAATAAATGCTCAAAATTGATATGAATTATTTCTCACATCAAATCAAGCAGTAAATCAAAAAATTTTGGTAAATTAAAATATTTTTCTTCGTGATTTTTCAGGTCTCCTTTGATTTCGTTATGATGGGGCATTGAAATATGAGAGGTACAATTTGAGCTCGACTTTATCTTTAAGGTAAGTGTCTAAAGCAAAAACAAACAAATTATTTGATCGAATGACAGTCAATCTATTTATGTTGCTATTGGTCGTTCATTAATTAATGAGCTGTTTAAAGAATAGACATAGAAAAAAAAACTTTTAAACGATGAACAAACAAAATCAATAAAAGAAAACCATTCATTGTTAAAATCAGTTATCAGCTGTTAAAAACCACTTTATGAATTGCAAAGGACACAAGAGATATGGAAAAAATTAAAGATGAAATAAATCCAAGTGCATAGCAAATGTGGATAACACTATTAGGCATCTCATTAATATCCGGGCCTGAAGATTACTCTTGTATATGTCTTCCCGCATAAGTCAAATGCCCGTTATACCCGTATACATATTATCGATGTGGTCTTGGAGAAAGCTCTAACCGATGAATTTGTTTTTCTAAATACGAGACTACTACCGCCATGCACCACATCGATGTAGGTTTAAATACGACTCTTTTGTGTGAGTAATTTACCAATAAAACTACATCACACGCATAGGCGATAATATTTTGCATATTTGGCAAGCACGTGTAATACCGTTATGTGGCATTATGACCGGACTGTTGAGATTCGTTCATTGTATAAACATCTTTCCTCGTGTATAGCGTACTATACGTGAATGATACCATATTATTATATGAATGAACCTCATCAATGTGGATTTTTCGATGCGAATCTTTTGTGTAAACGTTTCCATTTCGCGTACTTCACATATGCGTGGGCGGGACAGCATCATGCGTGTATGTGACCGTGTTTACAAAGAAAATATCTATCCGCCTGCGTGGATAATACCGTTATCCACAGTATCCACATGATTTTTGAGATCGCTCTCTCGCGTCTAAGCGTCCTCCATCGGACATGGGTGCGTGTAACGCCGTTATGCGCCAAATCAGTGTTCGTTCTCGTTTAATTTTGCTTAACGAATCCGTAATCGACGTTCATTTTCAGTTTTTTCTCTATCTCAATGAAGGTGTAAAGTTCCGTGGTATATATATAACAGTACCGAATACTCCGATCGCCATAAGCAAATATCAATCGACTGGTACATTTTTTATAAGTATATCGAATATATGATTATGATATTTGAGTCATACATTTTTTACCAGTACAATGCTAAAAAAAACGCATTAATGAAGAGTACATAAGCGCATTGGCGTGGCCAGTATGGGTTCCGTGGGTGCCGCGGCACCCCCACTAATTTTGAAGGAGCGCCTAGAAGCGAAATATTTAAAAATAAAAATCACCCATTTTTCACGTAATAAACATATTGATAACTAAATATGGAATCGTAAATTACCAAAGCGCACATAGAGATTTTTAGTAACCGAATTAACCCATACCAAACTATTTTTTTTATCTTTGAGAACAAAATATTGAATATGTAATCCAAGTAAATGAAATAATAAATGCGAACAAACTAAATCAATTTTAAATATTCAATTGTTGCTCGTTCAAATAAAAAAGTGTTCAAAAAACTAGGAACGTTATTTATAGATATGAAATTGGACTTGAATTTTGACCAAGAACGCGATGCACAGTCTACAACCAAAAAATTTGGCATCGACAATGATGAACTTCGAGCAGAAGTCAGATTACTTCGAACGAAGAAAGATACAAAATCATTTCCATGCACAGTAATTGAATGGCTTAATTGGTTATCTATACAGAATAGAAAACTTTGTTACCCCACTTTTTATAAATTAGTATCTACGTTTGCGTCAATTCCTGTCACCAGTTGTACTTGTGAGCGTAGTTTCTCTAAACTTAGCATTATAAAATCAAAGCTACGCTCAACAATGTTGCAAGATCGTTTGGAAAATTTAATGGTTCCATTTATTGAACAAGAGTTGGCGGTAAATATTGATCCTATTGAGGTAATTGAAGAATTTAACAAAATTGTTCCTTTTGATAGACGCATGGTATTGTAATAGTATATTATGATACGGGTGACTTAAGCAGGCCATTATTGCACGGCACGGTTAGCACCCGAGCGAAGCGAGGGTGCTAGTGCCGTGTTAAGAATGGACTACTTGAGTCATAAGTATCATACGTTTTTTTATAGCACTGTGCTAAATTCACGTTTAGGCCCCCTTTGGCGAGATATAAGGTGCTCATAATAGCGTCGCGGTGCAATAATGAGCAGCTTAAGTCACGGCAAAGCGTGCCTTAAACGTGAACTTTAGCCACGCAGTGCTATAAAATAAATTATATTTTTATCAAATTTGTAATTTTATCTAAGTATCTCTTTTTTTGTACCCATTTTTCTAAACTTACGTTATTTATAATTATCAATAAAAATTAAAAAATTTTGTACTCATCAAAGTCTAAAAAAAATATATACAAGCTGAGCAGAAAATTGGAAATTGGCACCCACACTAGTTGAACCCTGGCCACGCTAATGCATAAGCGTAGTCCACATTAGTTTTCCTCTATGTAATATACTTTCACATTCAACTGTCTAGTTGTATGACTTTTTTCGAAAATGTAAATTATTCATAAGACTTTTTTTTTAATCTGGCAATAGCACACAGACGTCAACATTATAATCTATTCACAAATACGAGACAATGAGGAATATATAATATTAAGGACCTCAAACTTTACACTATTATAAACATATTTTTTTAATTAACGATAGAAAATTTTCCACCGAATCTTAAAATTTCTCTTCAACAATTTCAACATCTCAAAATCAAAAGTAACTATAATATTTTAACTTATTCAAGCGACACTACGATTTTTAACTCTAAACTAAACTCATCTGTTTCCTTCTACCATCAGTTTTTTATAAGCGACTTCCTTTTTTATCCTGAAATAATTCCGATAAAATTAAGTTTATATAATAATACTTTCATACTTTCATTAGTACGTTACTTGAAAATACATTTGAATAAACTCACTTAAATTGAATTTAAGTGATATTAATAATATTTACAAATCATGACTTGAAACGTTAAATGAGATTGAGTAAACAAAAGAAAACGAGCTATTGTATCATGTAGCGAGATACTGCTCTAAAATTCTCGTAAAATTGAAATCAGTCCTCATAACGTACAGTCCATCTCCTCTTAAAGTCAAAGTAATCGGTAAACTTGCGAGAGACACTTGCTTCAAAGTGTTTTGTGTGTACTCTCCAATCCATTGTAAAAAAAGACAGGTAGGTTTGTGCGCATAGTTTTCCAAACTTTTGATAGTATATATTTATTAAATATAAAAGTAGCAAGAATATAAATGAAAAATTTTGCGAATGGGTTTAATATTAATTTTATTCTGCTTCGTATGATTTTGATGTTCATCAAAACTACTCAAAAATGCATTAATGATTAAGTTATTATTTTAAGATTATTATTGATTGGTGAGTCAAGTTGCTTCAAATGTATAAATAACGAAGTTTAAATAAGAAAGTATAAAAAAGACATCAAAAACTGAATATCTTGAGACGTTTTGAAAAATTAAAAAAATTAAATTTTTATATTATCCTACAAAAATCTGTCGATCTATTCTTTTGCAAATATATTTTTGCACATTCAAAAAATACATTACATACATCATCTCAGTGATTTATTGACGGCCATATTGACGCTTCCAATGCTTACATTATATTTATGCAGTGCACGAAAAGTACTTTTTCTCTAAACCTGCGATTATCGCATGTGTTTCGTTCATTATTTCAATTAAACGCCTTATCTTAAACACAATTAAAAATGGAAAATTAATTTAAACCAAACAGAATAAATTTCATACATAGGTAAAAAAAGAAAACTTATTTTAAAATAAAAATAGAATAAAAAATGTGGGGAAAAATAAATTGTAAAACGAACTTCTTTAAAAATTGTATGATGATTGTTTTGTTATAAAATACAATACTGAAGTTAATTATCAGATCCGAATTTTCTAATCATTCCTGACTATCGATCTATTTTTTTTTTGGATCTACAATATTATTCTTTTTCTTCATTCGTTTTTGATACTTTGAAAAAGAATTTAGTCATTACATTCACGGATACAATTTGATGTAATTATTCTTCGATTTATGTTTATAGAAATAAACATGAAGACATGGTTTGGAGTTGTGAAGGAAGGTGGAGGTGGGCCCACTTTTCATCACCACAACAATCGAATGCCAGTGAAGGGAGATGCCAATCTAATATATGACGCTTTGTTCTTCGGCACCATTCTTATGGCCTTTTTACTAATATTCCCAGGTGTACGTAAAGAGGTAAGTCGAAACATCATCGAACGATGTATTTCGGATGATAGCTTTTTGATAATTATATTAATTCGATAAATATGAAGTACAACGTATTGTTACCGTGAAAAGGTACAAAATTCAAGGTTAACAGGATACATTCATATTACACATAGTAAACCATGAAACATCTACTTCAAAAAAAGTTCTATAGTCAGTAATAGAAAAAATGTAAATTCGAATAATTCGTTCCGAAAAGTTCTTCACCTTGAATAATAAAACAGCGAAGTCAACTTTTTACTATGCTTCCTCGAGCCATTCTTCATTATTATTATTTGATAGTGATCTGTAAAGCTGACACGTGAGCGAATTCATTAAAAACGGCTTCGGACAAGATAAATGAATGTATTCAGATAATTTGCATAAGTAAATCAAATCAGTTTTGAGTTATATAGAAATAAACAAGGATAGTAGAGGAAAATAAAATAAATGTTTTAAATTTGAAGTGTACACGTACAAGTTATACTATTAATCTAATTGTGAAAAGACATTTTTGTCTCATATAAGAAATTTTTAGACATGAAATTTTTTTCAACGGTGAAAAATATATTTTTCGTACATAAAGGTTGTTATTCCTTTGTTTAGCGTGAATAAATAATAATCACATAATAATAGGTTTTAATTTTCTCTGAAGAATCATAAGCATCAAAATTGCATTAAAATTTATTTTTAAACGTAAGATTTGAAAAATAAAATCTTTGTCGGAAAACAGCCGTGATTTTTCATATTTGTTGATGTGGATTTAAATAGATATTGAGCTGTAACTGCTCTATCCTTGGCCTATTGGAGGTGCGAAAGGCGCTATGTCATTCATGCATCCCAATGATTTTCCAATTACTATTAACTGACTTATAGATCTCGATTATAAATAAATGAAATTATACAAAATAAAGGTCAAATTTAGTTTATTTATGAAATATGAAAAAAAGAATACTCTAATTACAGTGATAAATGTATTATAGTAATCAATTAATTTTATAAAATTGCATTACATTTGGAAATACTTACTCGATGCTTAATTCATCATCTTACCTTTAACTTAAAAATTGTATGATACAGAAATTGTCCACGTTCATAACAGTTTTGCTGTTGATATTCACCGGATCAACTATTAAAGGTTTGTATACTTTTAAAGATGATAAAATATTATTTGAGCATCAATTTCTTATTAAAATTTTTAAAAGTTTCCATGGATGGCTCGGCGTGGCAAACGAGTACGACCGACTTTGTTGATTTCGCCAATTCCCCATATTTGGACAACATGGAAATCGCTGGTCACATAGGATTATTTCATATTAACATTACGTTAAAAAGTAGGTAACGCGACCTAACGCATGATAGATAGCAGGACACGATGAAAAATGCCACGAAATTATAATTAATTTTTTTTTAGCGGGTCACTTAAAAAATGTTGATGGAGATTTTGAATACAATGAGAGATTCCATTGGACTTATCCCCATTCGATGAAGATTCAACGTGAACAAGTACTCTTAGAAGGAATTCCTTTTCCTATAGTTAGCCTCGCAGGATATTTTGTTCTCCACGACGGTTTCTCGTGGGGAAGAGTGTATCGAGAGGCAGGATACTATGCAACAGTAATGTTATGGTAAATTTAAATATTCTTAATTTTTGCATTTTTATCCGCATTTCTTACGAGGACACACTTCAAGTAATTCATGCACGATATCGAGTTTTAATCATTTCTAATGAATGTTTTTGATCATAGTGAAATATTTCATACATCGTAATTGTGGTGAACTTACCTCACACGCAAATCCTACAGCTTCATAATATTATAAGATACTTTACATCTTACATCTATTTCTGAAAATTTTTTAAATTGTAGCAAAAATTAATATTCATGAGTCAGAAAAAAATCATTCACCTTGATCGCTTAATAGCTATTTAACGTAATGTATTATAACAATCATGACGCTGCGCGTGGAATCAGAATTGAATTATAAAGTGTGAAAAGGAAACGAGTTAATTTATTCGTTAATTATTCATAATTAATCTTGATGTTCCAAGGGTATCGGGCGCATCCTGGTGTATACTGATGATGCTCGTAGTGATGGTTCCGCATCTAAGTCCTTACGGAATGATAGTTACTGGACTATGTATGATGATGGTCAATGTCGTCTACTGGTTCAATCTTCCAGATGATTTGTTCGTCGCTTGGGTTGAAAATCACCGTCTTCATTTTTATTTTGGATGGAATTATTGGCTTCAACTTATTGTTGGTGAGACATTTTTAATTTTAATAGCACAAATCAAGTTACAACAAAGTCTATGAGTAGAGAGTGTTTCCTGGATGACCGAAATAACCCATAATATTGTTGTCTACGCGTAGGTGGAGCTTAACATATATAGATACACATTCATGGGTATTTTGGCCGTCCAGTAATCACTTTTTTTCAAATACAATTTTTTTCTTACACAAATATACTTCAACGTATCTTATCCATACTATTTATTTTGTTTCAATGCGCGGAAATCCTTCATAATAAAAAAAAAGATAACATTTTTTTATTTGATAATGTTGATATAGGTGAGAAATGAGATTATTTTAAGAACATTATGTAACATTATGGATCCATTTTGAATAAAATAATCATCATATACAGATTAATATTTCTGTACTGAATACACGAGACTATTTTCAGTCGAAAACTGTAAATTATTTTTTTTGCAGTTGATAATTTTCATTAAATTTTTTTATACTTCCATTTTTTTTAAATGTAAAAAAATGTAAAAACGATTTCAAGACCCTGCGTTAAAATTTTGATTATTCAATACATTTTTTATTACATATTTCAGGAGGTATTTGTTTTTTCGTCGGTATATTATTTTTATGTGTAACTTCAATCTATGGATGGACCTTCTCAACTACCCTTGAAGTTAACCATAAAGCGCCGTACGACAGGCACACTAGCAATAACAGAAAAGAGCATGTAAGATCAAAATCCGAGCCAAGAGCATCTGAGGAAGAGTGTCAAAAGGAATTTATACGGTAATAAATAATTTTAGATTCTCAAAATTTTATTTTAGGATGATGAAAAAATCTTGGAAGTGCATAGTTAAAATAATGTTATTTTTATTTTATTTTATTTTTTTTTTAATTGACAAAGAACTGAAGATTCTAATTTAAACTAACCCGCACAATAGTTCACTTGAATCAAATTCCTAAAAATAACAAAGATTCTAATTTAAAACTAATCCGCACAAAAGTCCATATGCATGAAAGTCCTCAAAATAACGAGATCCGAATTGATTCTGAATTTTTCCGAATTTCGCGTCCTCAAGTCCGCAAACAACTTCAAAATAAGTCCAGTATCAATATCTAAGTAATATTGAAATAAATTTTTTTTATTTATTGATGTTGAGCGCAGTGAAGTCGTATGCATTCTACTTAGCTAACTTTCGATGTTTTAATCTAACTGTCATAACTCGTGCAGGGACAAACCAATCGATATAAACATTTTATAAAGTATTGTTTAGGTTTTGATGCAGTGCTGTATAATTTTTGAGCGACATTCTTATATATTATAGAATAGACAAAAATTCATTACTATGGACTTATGATGCACTGTCAAGAAACGGCGTTAATATACCAATGATTCGTGGACATTTTTTTTTATTTGTACTAGGGCATAATAATTTTTTTTTTCCCCATCTTTTTTAGGGCCCGGATTCTAAGTGCATTATTATGCAATGCACGTTTAGGCAATGATCGGTATGTATTTTTTCGAAATAGTGCGAATATTCAAAATTTTATGGAAATTTTAGCACACCATTCATAGGGGGAGTTTAATTATGTGGGAGTTACACTAAACCCAATCGAATTCTCTCCGGTCCAACGAGTAGTGGAACGAGTATAAGCATGGGAAATTTCGGCGTTCGCCGGACCGAATTAGATTGGGTCTTGTGTACGTTTGTGTCGTATGCTGAGCCGAAAGCCGGTCCGAGCCGAAAAATCTGAAAGATGGTTGTTCTTCATTATTGATGATAATCCAAAAAAATACATAAAATAAAGAAATATTGCGGGAATATCGAGGCTAATATCATATCGCGTTGTTGCTTTTTGTCCTGGTCAATATTGCAGTACCAAAATGGTGAAACTACAAAGACGAATATAATTCAAGCGTTAAATCACGATTCAATTAAGAGATTTGAATTTTCTAAAGTATTCGTTTTCATTTTTAAAACATTTTTCGAATCCTTTTTTAACTAAAATTAAAAAATTGTTTTATAGTTCAGGGCAGCTCTGCTTTGGTTTCATTCATATTATGAATGTATTTAATTTTCGACAGTTATTTATTTTTTTTTACTTTAACAATTTTTTTTATCGTAGTACTAACTTAAACTTTATTTCTGTTTATTTCTGTTTACTCTGATATAATCATTAATATAATATGATAATTTGACTTAACTTAAAAAAATTGAAAAACTATATTTTGATACCTATCATTTCATATTAAATTTTTTTGATTAATTTTGTTCTACAGCCAAGTTATGTCAAAATTAGCAGCTAACCACGTAGAAGATATTGAGTGCGGAACTGTAAATGATGGCTATAACGCTGAACATGATTCAGAAAATGGACAAACCGATGATGACGACTGGGAGACTGATCTAAGCAAGTGGGATCACCTTGAATGTCATGATAACTAATAGGATAGATTTTTTATCAAATTTTAGTTTTACTTTCTTCAGAATCATCAGTTAAGGACAATTTTTTATTTATAAATGAATTTTGCGACGAAAAGTTTTACAGTCTAAGAAACTTAATCTTAGGTAGAAAATGAGCGTCAATTAATTACGGAACTTTTTCGAGTCGGAGTATTCATTCTATAAAGAATATAAATTGAATTGACATTTCAATGTTATTGGACAGTCTTTTAAACTAAGCATTAAGCTGGCAACTCTATGTCTGGGAATAAGACCCAGACTAATTTGTGATATATAAATATAATATTTATTAAATATATTAAATATATATTAAATATATATTTATTCATTATATTTATTAAATATATATTTTTTAGATAAATACATGTGCACGAGCACTTTTATTTTCAATCAAATACTCGTATCTTTAATGTACAAATTTTTCAAATAAGTTTTAGCCATCATCAATCATGTTAGATTCTAATTTTATAATTATGATCGTTAAAATTAAAAAATTTTATGAAATAAAATTAAATAAAATTTGTATAATTCTGATTATTACAAAATGTAATAAAAAAGCTACTTGAAAATATTTCAGTTGTTTATTATCTTTTCATTCCTACTCATTCTTACCAAACTTTTTGAACAAAAATTGAATTTCATAAGCTACAATCATAGTTTCTTTAAACATTGATTATCTAACAATTAAGTTATCTTTAAAATTTAAACTGGTAAATGTTGATTTTTATGACTCTATCTTTACGTGAACCCTTCACTGAAAACTCAAAGTATAAAATTTGCTGTAAAGTAGTAATACTTGCGCACTTTATACTATTCAAAACTGCTCGAAAACACTTTCGAATAGTATAAATAAATAAAATGTTTATCTGGGAAATTTGCTAGGAGCTCAGTTTACGCTTTTCAAAGGTGTTTTAAGCATAGATTTCACTTTCTGGAAAATCATCGCATCAGAAAAAGTGTAAGAGGACCAAATTACACTTTTTAAAAGATCGTCACAACAGAAAAAGTGTACTAAAAAAGTGTACCTCTTACACTTTTTCTGCTGTGATAATTTTCCAAAAAGTGACATCTTTCAAACACCTTTCAAAAGTGTAAACCGAGCTTTTTGCAATTTTTCCAAATGAAAATTTTCCAAAAGTATAACCTATGCTCGAGATAGTTTTGAATAGTGTATTGCGCAAGTATTACTATTTCACAGCAAATTTTATACTTTTGGGTTTTCAGTGTTTAACTATTTTCTTCTTGTGCTTTTAGAAACAAGTCTAGAGAGTCCATATTTTTCGACGATTTCACAATGTCTAACGCATCTCTATACTATGGCCGTAAAGGACAGTTTTAAAAATTATAATCAAAATAATAGGGACGTAGTAATGAATTGATTTTATAAAAAAATTAATCTTAATGAATTCAACTTGAAAATGTAACTATATACTAATCATTGATTATAATACAGAGAGAAACTACTTTATAGTCATAAATTAAAAATGAATAAGCGATTGTCAACGCTATTTAGCTCAATTTACCGGACATGGCAAAAGTACCGGAATTTCGAATGAATATCCATCTTTCATTTGCAGCAACATACCTTGTTGGTAATCATGTTCTATCATCTCAATTTGAAAGTATGTTGAATCTTAGTCACCCATCTACAAATTTTCTTAATTGAGCAAGACCATCTCTTTATGAACGAATCTAATTTTTTTTACGTTATGAAGAAAGAGCCACCTTCTCCGAAAGATGAGAGAGCGAGATTAAAGGAAACCTTGAGCTAAATTTTTAGCCACGTTTTGATGAAGACCAGATTTTTTTCATTTCAACGTTGATACAATGTCATCAACCAAACTTAACAATAAATGACGGGAAATGAAAAAAGTTTATGTGCAAGTTTATCGACATAAAAAATGTTTGCTAATTTAACTAAAAAAATTAAATGTGAAAGAATAAAGACCTCGCTTCTTGACTATATTTAGTCTCTAATGGTGCTAGATGCATTAAGGATTTTGATAATGCTACGACAATTAAGTTTAGCAGATTGCAGAATCATTGAATAAAACCCAGGATGATTAAAGTAATGAAAGGAGATCCTTCAGAAAGAATTAAAAATAGACAATATGTCGTCATCATTTACAGCTCGCGATTATAAGTGATGTGGTGGGGTGTTGAAAGAGTATTTTTAAAGTTTCGACATTTGACTTCACCATCAATGCTCATGCTGTCATTGAACGTATGGCTTGACTCATGCTGTTGTCTTGAGAATTTTTTTTTCACACAGATTCAGCTTGTTCCTTTTCATGTGTATACGGTGAATTGTATACTCCTTGGTACAAGCTAGTATACTTTTTTAATATCGAGTGGAACATTCAATAATTAACAATTGATTTTTCGTTTTAAATTTGATTTTAAGCGTTAACGATAAGAATCGGTCCTACATAAAATTATTGGTGTAATTATGACATAAAGAATTCATAGTAATAAAAGATAGCTCGCGGTTAGATTTCATAATATTATGATTAATACCTCATTTGATTGAAAACCAAAATATGAAGGTTATCAACAATGATTACTTGCATAAAACCTCAACTGTAATTATGAATTGTCGGAAGAAAAAATTTATTTACTCATACGCTAACCCGCTGTTTTTTGAAAATAATAACACCGACCCGGATTACTGCTAATCTCGATTCATTAAAGTTCTTACTTAAAAATTAAATGAGACATGCTGTACTGCATATCAAGGAAAAAATGTATATTTTGTATAAATGAAAAAAATTAATAAATTACAGAGTATATATACTTAATTAATATATAAATTTATTACATATGTACAGTTCATATATTTTTTTACTATAAAATAACAATACTTTACAAAATGTACAACTTACTAAGTATCAGGTGGTTATAAAATAGTCAGTATAATTATAAAATTTTCGTTATTCATGAGCTGAGCATCATTTAAACCGACAGTAAATGCAAGAGACATAAAATAATATAGACCATCGGTACGAATCGATAAACGTATTATATATGAGCACAGCATAAAAAGATTGGGTAAAGATAGTTGAAAAGAGTATTCGAACAATTGAAACGTCCAATTACTTCTTTGTTTCGATACATAATTAAAATGCATGATATTTTATCTACTGTTGAATATTAAGTACACGCTTATAATTGTAAAACTATACTAAATTACTAATACTCAAAGTAGCTAATTCATTTGATTAAATAGCTGAATTTATAACGTTTTCTTGCAGATTGTGTCTAATTATTCGTATGAATTATAAAACAAAAAAATTCATTTATTCTTACTTTAACCCAAGATACGTCACTTTTTAATTAAAACTAAGACTTTCTCGCGTGAATGCAATATTGGGATCTGAGATACAGTTATCGGTATATTACCTGAATGATAAAAGGAGACCAGCTCAAGACATTATCTCTGATCCGAATATACAACTCGGTGCAACATTACTTATTTGAATAAAATTTGTTTACAGTGCATTCTCTTAAAATGTTACAACCGCATCTGTTGAATAACTAAATGTTTCTGTCGAGTGACGAGTAAGTAAAAAGCTACTTATTACATTCAGCAAACAGTGAATCATAAAACAGATGGACGTATGTTTCATTAATCAACTGAGAAACTTCTGCATGAACCTTCTAATTATCAATAATGTAACAATAATTTTCCTCTATCAAGTAAAATATTGAAATGGCACGACTGTACATTTACGTATGAATTTGCAAATATATAAAACACTTTTTCAATGAAAAAGAATTTGATTGCAGCAGTGATGGGTACAATGTAACGAGTAAAATTCAACCAAAATTTTCGAAGTGATGAACGAAAGAGGGAGCCTTGCGCGTGATATTCACCTCTTCACAGGCTGACATGACACCTTTTGTGAGTGGTGATGGTCCGCAACTAAATACTCCAACTTCTTCAAGCTAAAATACAATGAATGAAAAAATAAATGCTAATTATAATTGCAGTTCATCATTTGAACATTAACGATGCAGTTCAATAATGATCCTTAATGAAAAAAGCCTGAAAATATTCGTACTATACCGTGCATTTTTTATATTTATGCGAGAGAATTTTTTTTATTCAGAGTTTAATTCTTTTGGAAATACGACTGGATCAATCAGATAAAATATTGCTTTAATGATGTACTTACGTTCGGATGTTTGTTTTGAACGTATCTGAGAAATGCGCACAAATCTGGTCTACCGAAATGATTTTTCGCCCTCAGACCAGTGAAAATACTCTTACATTTCACTGGGATCAAATGTTGCTCGCAGATGTACTGTAAAATTTAATTAATATTTACCTTTTGAAAAAGTAACTTTTGAATTATTCATAGCTCTCGACTTACCAACATCGTTGTTCTCAAATCAAATTTATTGAAAAACTGTGTGATGAAAATGTGAACATCTAGCAACCTTTCGTCTTCCTTCTTCTCACTTTGTTTGTCTTTCTTCTTCTCACTTTGTTTGTTTTCCTCCATTTTATTCTGTTCGTCTTCCTCCATCTTACTCTGTTCGTCTTCCTCCATCTTACTCTGTTCGTCTTCCTCTATCTTACTCTGTTCGTCTTCCTCCTTCTTACTTTGTTCATCTTTATTCTCCTCACTTTGCTCATCTTTCTTCTTCTTACGTTGTTCGTCATCCATTTCAACTTCACGAAGTACATCGATGAACCATTCGAAATGTTTGTGCGATGAGCAAACCCATATAAAATATACCTGTGAATGAGCAGTAATTTATCGATTTGTATCTTTTATCTCATAATTTAGGGAATCAAGTACAGAAAAAAACTCACTTTTTTGCATGCGAATCCTGTAAATCGGTTTGTCGAGGAATTGTGAACGAGGTCCTTGAGCACCGAAGCGTACGGAGTGACACCGATACCACCGCCGATCAAAACAGCGACTTCAAATTTGTACCAATCTTGATTTCCTCCACCGAAAGGCCCGTCGATGTAAACATACTTTGGCTTTGGTTCTCCTACGTCGGTATTGAAGTTGCATGAATCGAAATAATCTCGAAGCTTCCACGTCCAAGGGCCCTGCGCTTTTATGTGGCACGACAAAAAATCTTCGTGAGGTGCCGATGTGAGGGTGAAAGCGTGAAACTCTCTGGGATTAAAGTCGGCACACGCTAATCGTACCCACTGGCCGGATAAATATCTCAGGTTCGGTGGCCGGAAAAACTTGATCATTATGACGTCTGACGGCAAAATCTCCGTAGCAAGTATTTCTAGTGGTTGACTCATTGTACGTACGCTCAACAACTGCAATTAAAAATTTAACTTTCATTTAAAAGTCTGTCCTTGTGTGTTGGAAATCCAAGTAACTAATTGTGTAACAACTTTGAAAGTAATAATATATAATGAGTAATTTAAATGACAATTGAGAAAAAAATTTAAATTGGAGGGGCTTTGAATTTTAATCGAACTAAGCCACATATTTATATACTAGTAATCCCTTATAAAAATCTCGAGACTGAAGTTATATTATCTAATAAATGAATTAAATGTTTCAGTTATAAAATGAATGATATTTACCTTATCAAAAATAAAGATTGATCCTGGTATTATGAAAAATGTCCAAAAAGTCGGAGAGGCTGTCAATCTTCCTATTCCATGTACAAGGCAAAGTAGATACAGTAACACATAAAGCATATGTGTTCGCCAGAAATATTTGTATGCTTTTTTCCTTATCGTTGGATACGAAAAAATGAATATTATTGTTGTAACAATAAACAAAAGTATACCAGTTACTCCTGTAAAAATTATATGAATCAAAAATTCTACTACACTATCAGTATTGTATTATAATTATGATAAAAAACTTTAACAAGTGCCTCCGTAGCACTTGAAGGCACAGCGTAGTTTGAAGCGTGATGAAATATTTTACATCATTAGTAATAGTCGAGCGAAATAAGATTTTCGGGACTGTCTTTACGATAAATTCGAAATTTAATGAAGATTTTTATCATCAGTTAAGTTGGTAGTAATACAATTTTTTTACCTGCTACGGTTCGGAAAAGCCAAAAATTTATGCTCGGTCTCGTTCCGTTCGAGAAATTGATTTGAGGCGTGAGGCATTGCAAATGCTCAAGCGGTTGGGTCGAAATGTGATAGAAATTAACTAAATGACCAACGCTGTGCACCAGGGAGAAAAATACCGCGGTGCAGGCGACAATTTTGTGAAACGGGACGTGCGAATCGATCGGCACGTATTGGTGAATCGAGAACTCTTTGAGCTTGGCTATGCAATTGCGGCACATCGTCAGCAGTATCAAACTGTAACAAAAGGACAGGGATGCCGCAGATCCACGTGTGATCGCTATTCCCACGCCCATCACGTGGCGTAGATCCGTGTGCTCCGCCATGAAAGAATAATCTGCCAGAATCAAAAAATATCAGTGAGTAACGTAACGTGTAACACGAGGAATTATCATTTTTGAACTTTTAGAAAATTACAAATTACGCGGATCAAAATAAATCAGAAATGAGGAATAATTCACTTACGAAAGAACCTCTCGGTGAACAAAACAAACGTGATGACGTAGAAAACAAAAAGAAAGAATATATGCTGCCGATTTTCTTCGAGAAAAGTTACGAGAACGTTCCAATTTTTTACAAGGTTATTCCATTTTTTCCACATTTTCACCAAAAAATTCTTCCTTCCTATGGTAGCGTCTGACTCTATAGCGAATTTACTCATACGATCGGTATTCTTCCTAACGTGTATGAAATTCTGATTCGCCCCTTTGAGGTCAATACCGATTACTCCCCAATCTGACTTGTATTCTTTCATAATTTCTTTGAAATCCTCAAAGCTCAACTGATGTTTTTCCTTCAGATGGCATTTCTAAAGAAGGACAAAAAAGTTTAATTAAGCGTTGTCACATCGTTGATTAATTATTTGGAATAGAAGCAATAACACAAACATCATATAAGTCGTCAATAATTTCAGTGACTTTCTCGTCGGAAAGGCTGGTAGTACGAGCCACATTTACAAGCGAGCGTATTATGTCTGAGAAGTCTTTCTTCTGGAGGTAGCTATCTGTGTCACCGCCACCAAACAACTTGAACATATTCGCCATTTTATCCTCCGCTGAAGGCTTCGCAAATTGAACGACAGTCTCGGAGAATTCCTTGAAAGATATCCGTCCATCGCCATCTCTGTCTACTGCTTTGAACATGTGCGTGACGAAGAATTCATCGGGTTTCATACCCAATGCTTTGGCAAATTCACTTATGGACAGTGTTGTGTTCTTCGATAGAATTTCTTTTTCTTGATGATTATCCATTGAGCTTCTTCGGGCCTTATTTGTTTCGATTGGAAACTCGCGAAGCTCGTAAGCTTCTCTGAAAAACTGTTATACATGTATTTAGATTTCAGTTTTTTGATATTTTTTTTCCAAGTCATATCGTAAAAGGGTTTCTACGTCGTAGTGCTGAGTATTGTTTTATACAAGGAAAACTTTGAAATATCTTCTCAATAGGCAAATTTAAGAATAAAACAAAAAAAATTTGACTTTATAGATTTGACAATATAGATTCCATCGTGCTTTTAACGCAAGATTGGTTATAGAATTGTTCACATTCAATTGTATAATTACATTTACCTTGGCTATATGTTCTTAAAAGTGAATATACGTACGTCTTCTAATTTCTCTTGTCGGGCCTCTCTGGTTACTGCGTTTTTGCATATATCTGCTGGGTTTGCTACGTACATTTTGTACGGTACATTGCGACGATGTAAGAAAGTAAAAATTTTGCTCATAAATTTTTCTTGTGAAATGAATGAATCCAGTTCTAACACAAGATCGTAATCATTTTTCGTACGAAAACAAACGAGGCCTCTTTTAGGATTGATGTTGTCAACTCCCTGATGATCGTTATTATACATTATATTATATTTGATTTTGATTTTTATTTCATAATTAATCATTGACTAACTCTAAGTTAGATTAGTTAGAATATAGAATTAGAGTTCAGATACACTAAAAAGGAAAAAATACACGTAGAAGTGTTTCCTTTGAGATATTTTTACGGCTCAAGTAATCAAAGTGTAATCGTGAATAATAAATTATATAAATTAAATAAATAATCTTACGTTTGATTGGTAGATCGTAACTGGATCCGACATATTAGGTTCTGTAGCTGAACCTGAAACGAATCTGAATTTTCTAAGTATGTCGCCTTTGCGATTGAGCAAGTGAAGAGACGAGTCGGACATGAATTCGATTTTAACCCGACGTCGGAAATTCTCGTGCAACCATTCGCGTACGAACAATTTATCGACATTAACTTTTCCGCCAAAGATTTGATTCGGGAACTTTTGCTGGATCCTCATTCGACGACGTCTCCGATTCTGTAGTTTTACAACGCCATATCCTGCACTGGCGCACAAAACTGGCACGAAGCATAAAAATATGCAAGCGTATGTGTATACAAATTGGCTGTTCTGTAAGAAAATTATTCTCTTTGGTATAAATTCCATCGAGGGATCGCAGAAACTAATGTCACGACTTGGCTCTTCAAGGTTATTAAAATCGAAGTAACGGTTGAGTCATTTGGAAATGGTCAAATGTAAATTTGCCATGATTGACGCGAGTTAACACATGTTCATTAACAAGTACAAAAAATGTGAAATGTGACCGATAGACGTATTCATTGAAAAATGTAGTCTTTAAATACCTGGAAATAGTCATGATGTTGTAAAGGTGCACATGGTTCCAACATTGCTGTATTTAGTTGAACAGGTTGAGGACAAGGATCACCCTGATGCCAGGTGAAAACGTCACGTTGGATATCGTTCGGTTCCACATCAGTTGCATTAACAATTATATCCCAAAAAGTTATCTTTTTAATTTCCTCAATTTCCTCTGCAGAGAAATATCTGAAAACAAAAGTAGCAGCAAAATTTCATCGCGATAAGAATTTGGATAACAACTTCGATTTTTTACGATCCATAAAAGGCCATTAAATCGGACCCATTTTTAGAATGGACGATAATTAATTTATACGATGATAAGATGCTCACCCATTTTTATCATTTTCGAACCAGAATCGATCGGAATCGCGGATGCGTAAAAATTGCTCCTTGATGACAGTTTTGAAGAGTTCGCCAGGGCCGTCGCTGGATTCGAGCATACCACCTACATAGACGTCGATGTTGTACAAGTCATTGTTGTACGTCTCCATCAGTGTGCGCAACAATTCCGGATTATTTCGGAACAATTTGGGATTTATTTCGTTCCAGGTTTTACGGGGCTTGAGACCGAAGGACTTTCTGGCGGTATTGTAGTCCGACAGGCCGTTATCTCGGCCGCGCATGATGTTCAGGGCGGCTAAATCGCGCGTCGTGAATTCGAGAGGTCCGAAAAGATTGTCGCGAAGCTCCGCGCTCAGTAGGTGATCTTCGCGCTCGGACAGCTGCGACGTCATGCCCATTATCAATTCCTCCACGGGGCTGTCTTTTATTGCTTCCTGAAATTCATAGAAAATACCGTTCTTCGCGTAAGACTAATTTTTGTTCGACCCTTTTCTATAATCTCTATTTCATGATTTTTTAAATTATGAATAATAAAAGTTAGGGTTCTGATACTGGCTTAGTTTTTGAACCCTGCACCTTTGAATCGTAATAAAATTTTAATGCCTTACACTTGCATCCCACCAAGTATTGCATAATCGTACGGCCTGGTGGCTATTTCTCGTAGAGCGATATACGCATTGGTTGTTTCGTCTGAGGATACCAGGTGGTATCATCGAATGCCCAAAACGGAAGGCTGCACTCTGAAAAATGGGACTTACTCCTGGATGAAGATCAAAATTGTAACCTGAATATTTTGGCATAGGTTCGCCCAATAAAGCAGGAAGATATTCGTACATGATAACGTTCTGTAACGGGTTTAATGAAACTTGAAATAAACAGAAACATATGTGCCGAATTGCTTCATTATTCAATCTTACCTGTAAAGTTGCTGTAACGAATTTTCGAGCTTCATAGAATAACTCATGATCACTCATATCAGGGTTTTCATTTTTAATCTTATTCGCTACAACATTGTGCCATCGATGAAATACAATTCCAAAAACAAGCAGTGGAAGGTTCTGATTTGATCTTGAATCTCCAAGTACTATACAAACAACGATACTATTTTTAGCACCTATTATATGAATAACTAGTTCTATTGCTAGTATAATGTGATTTTTAATAAAAAAAAATCAAACTGGCACATTAACTTTGCAAGTAAATTTTACAATGATCGAAATCAAAGAATTTCAATGCGTATAATATGGCACGTATAATATTAAAAAGTATTCAAAAAAAGTTTTATAGAGCAAATAAGAAAATAGAATGACGGTAGCTAAGTAGTTTATATATTGCAACTGTTAATAAAAAAATTACCGGTTTAGCCTAAAAGCAGAAAACTTTGAACCTTCAGTAGAAATACCCTTAAATCAACGACTCTTATAAAATAAATGGCAAATAATGCTCTCTATCAAATGATTTTTATGAATTCAAAATGATTAGCAAGTAGTAGTATGATAGTTTTTGTACATACAATTATTTTTATACGAGCTAAAATGCTAATCTAGCGCGTGAAGCCGTTGTCCCATAGTTTCGAGATGGCATTTAGAATCGTAAAAAATTATTCTGTGCACAATTCTTGTTTGGATCTTTGACAATTGGGAGAAGGATTTCGAGTGTGGATCAAACATTTCAACTGAGAGGCATTTACTTACAGAAAAGTCGTTTGGGGTCGAGATTGCGGTGGGAATTCGCTACGTCTTTGTTGAAAAGAGGCATCTGTGCATCATTTCGTACAGGAAACTTTCCACTCGGGTCCGTACGCAAAGTACCATTTTGATGAGTCCTCATAGAATGAGCCCAATTTTCATCATTCGAGTAAATAAAACTTCCATCGATCCAACTGGTTACTTTATTTATCTGTAATTATGCGTAATGGAACTTGTTTTTATTTTTTATTTCACAGCCAGCGTGTTTTTTTCACAAAATACCAAACGGTAAAACCAAATATTGTATGAGTTAAACGATCTTTATTTACCGTACTTTCATATCGTTTGACATTTATGGCATAAAAAATTAACTTTTCGTGTATTATTGAAAAAATCTCCTAAAAAAATTCACAAACAACCGTTCTATATTATAACCCTGTTTAAAAAAAATCGCTGGATTTCCAGTTGAAAAATCGAGCAGGATATGACTGGAAATCGAACTCGATTTAACTAGAAATCGAGCTGTATTTGACTGGAAATCTAGCTCGATTTTTGACTGGAAATCCAGCTCGATTTTCGATCTGAAATCTAGCTCGAGTTTTGAAAATCTAGCTCGAATTTTGGCCTGAAATCTAGTTTGATTTTTGATCTGAAATCGATCGATTTCCAGTCCAAATTTCTAGTCAAAAATCAAGCTAGATTTCAGTTTAAAAATCGAGCTGGATTTCAGATCGAAAATCGAGCTGGATTTCCAGTAAAAAATCGAGCTAGATTTCTAGTCAAATACAGCTCGATTTCTAGTCGAATCGAGTTCGATTTCCAGTCCAATCCTGCTAGATTTTCCAATTGGAAATCCAGCGATTTTTTTTAGCGGGGAAATACTTTGCCTGAAAGATTCTATGAGCATACGATTACCAAGAAGTTTTCTTCAAAATAAAAAAAAAGTTATCTGAAGTTTCTGAAAAGCGTTATAGAGTCATTGACTGAGAATATTTTAGCATTTATAAAGAGCAAAAGTGGTAATAAATTCAAAGAAAATAGACAGGATATATCAGACACGAAATTTGACAAAAGCCGATTTTAGATACATCACGGAGCTTTCTCGATGATGAAACAAAACATATTTATTCTTTTTGGCATTAAGTTATGAAATAAAAGTTTTTGTTTCATTAAAAATTACCCTAGTAGAAATGTTTTACGTTCTGTGGCTAGTTTTAGGCCAACGACAAAAGTTTCTTAGAATCAATATTTTGCGAAGATTACGTAGCACGATTATTAATACTTTATATTATAGCAAGGATTTTTTAAGAATTTTTTAAAAGCATGCTCTGACTTTACACATTTATTTTCACTTTGTCACTTGCAGATTTACAGATAAAGGTACTCGCCATCTAGTGGTGGAGACTCAAAGTTCTATTGCCGTGTTTACATTACTTGAAAACTAGTCAAAACTTTTTGAAACTGTTAAATTTACATAATTTAAAACGTGTTTAATATTTTTAATTTAATTGTAAAAGAATCGTCAAAAATAAGTGAACTAATTGTTATATATTTTAAAAATTGTAATACTGTACATAATGTCTAAAATTTAAGATCTATCTTACCTGTTTTCGTGGACTATTAGGATTTTTTCCTGTTTTGGGATCGTAAGCAGCACGTAAAAATGGAATATACTTGTTACCTTCGCATTTCTTATCGAATATTGGATCGCATTTATCTACATCAATTTTGCGAAGTTCTATGGGACAGCCATGTTCGCTTGACATAATGATTTCCATAGCAACAACTTGTCCTGCATTAAACAAGTTTCATTGATTCGTACCAAATTCGAAATAAATGATTATATTAAGATATTTAAGTAGTCATGAAAAAACATAATAGTAGATTACGCAACGAGTGCGACGTTTGAAGCACTCGTGGGAACACCTACTCCGCACGAGTTGAGTACATACTATTTTTTGATACAGCTGCGGAAACTTTGTTTTTCTGCACGCTGTAGCCACAGCACCGGGATCTGTTACTTTCGAAGCATCCTACTGACTACGAAAAATGAACTTTTCGCACGCTTTATCAAATTAGTATATTACGATACATGTGACTTAAGCAGGCCAACGGTTAGCACCCAAGCGAAGCGTCGGTGCTAGTGCCGTGGTAAGAATGGGCTACTTGAGTCATAAGTATCGTATGTTTTTTTATAGCACTGTGCTAAATTCACGTTTAGGCCCCCTTTGGCGAGATATAAGGTGCTCATAATAGCGTCGCGGTGCAATAATGAGCAGCTTAAGTCACTTTAGCCACGCAGTGCTATAAAATGTTGTACGATACTCGGGCCATAGGAGACACTTTTCGACCCAGCTATTAGGACCGTCGCTGCGCTCGGGCCCTAAACTACGCTGTGCCAAAAAGTTTTACTTATGGCACTTGTATCATAAATTACTATTACCCGTTTCGGCGGCAAAAAAGAAAGCTGCAGTGCACATGCTTATATTAATCGCACTGCACTAAAACTTTTTCTACGACCTAGGTAGGTAATATGTTATTTAAAAGAAAAAAGTTATATACGATGTTGATTTTACTGCGTTAAATTAGAAATAAAAAACGTAATATGAAGGTTCGCCGATGTTCAACTTACCGAAAAATGCAAAAAGGGCAGTTTTATTAGTAATTGAAGGTAAACCATCTTCTCCGTGCATGAATAAGTTGCTTAATTTTCGGGCAGAAGGTCTATCTTGGCCTGCTATCATGTAAACCTCATCTTGATAGTCTGCGGGTGTTTTACGCGTGAGATGACTATCTAAAAATTGTTTAAACCATTAACATATTCAATTTAAATTTTAATAATTAATTGAATCTAATCATAATTAAAAATTTACAGATTTCTTTTAAATTTTGTCAACTTGAACTTGATTCTAATTGTTCAATGATTCAGAGCATATGTTTGTCTATAGATGTATACATAGTTTTTTACAGTACAATACATCAAGAAAACATGCTTTTCATGTGACCTGAAATACTGTATCACGAACCCAAGCTGCAAAAAAACAAGTCCCAAGGCACATGTAACTAGCGGCCAAAGCTGACACGTGCGCTGTGGCTTTACTTTTACGCAGCTTAGATGTGCATACAATTTTTCGCAAACCCCCTCACCAGAAAGTAACAATTAAGTTTAGGCTACAGTTTCGGGATTAATAGCTCCTACGACTGGAACATTAGGCACACATTTTTTGACTGTGGTACTTATTTTCATGTGACATGAAAACTGAAAGTTTGCATGATGTAAACAAATTTTTGACACATGACAAGGTATTTTTTTTCACAAACCTTTGATTTTCAATTTTTACATCGCATAAAATGGATTTTTTACTATATTTTTAGGATCAGAAGTAAAATTTGTACTGAATAAGATTATAAAAAAACTTACCTGTTTTACCCCAATGCGGATGTTCCCAGTTGTTATACGATCCATCAAATCGTTGATATTTATCATACCCATCAAATGCCCCTATAAATTATAATTATATTCATATAATTATTAAAAATTAATATTTACTTAATTTTTTATGCTACAATACTTAAGTATAAACAACGATTTTGAAAAGGTTTTGTTTCATACCGATTCTTACGTGCAATTTATCGGTTCATTAAGGCGTGATAAAAACTTCACTTAAAAGTAAAAAACTATGTAATAATAATAACGCAAAATATCTTATTTGTTCTTTGACCTTATTTCAAGGTTGATCAGAATAACAAAAAATTTCGATTGAACTTTTGCTTTTTTTATGTTTGGACTCGCTTTTTTGTATCCACAATAGTCACATTAAGTAAGTTCACTTTCATGGTTAGAAGAATTTACCCGCTAGATCATTTTAATAGACGTGCTTTAAAATTTTTTCAATTTAACGCTTAAGATTTCATTCAATTTGATAAGCCTTAATTTTTTTATGCTTAATCCATTTTCAAATGCGTAAATATTAACAAAAAATTACACATAATAAACCTCATTTTTTGCGAAATATAATAAATCTAGACAATTAAAAAATAGTTGGTATATATAATTATTGTGTCCTTCATAATTGTGTTTATAATAATTTCCTATGAAATTACGTTTATTCTCTTAGAACAGTCGCGGACTTAAAATCGGAGTAATTGAACGCATCGCGAGTACGCTACAAATAATTTTATGAGAAAATTCACATAAGATAAAGAATAATAAATAATTAATTAACTGTGTAGAAGCATTTATAGTTTCGCTTCGCTGGAATTCGCTGTAAACTTATTGATGCCCCAAATAAATTTGCGAAATCCTGGCTGCGTAGCCTTCATAGTTTGTTTGAATTTTTAGGATATGTAAACGAGCTTTGAGCTCGTTTTCCACGACACGAGTGAACGTACAATTTTTAACTTGCAAAAAATCAAATTATGCACTTGTTTTAAAAAATTGTTATTTCAACCATAATAAGTATATGCTAAGTTATTGTTACGGGATAAAATTTGTGGGAAAAAATATCGAACTTCATAATGAGCTTTGAAAGATAATATTATGTTTAGTTCTAGTTTTATATTATCGAAAAAATTTGCCGGCAAGGCACTAGCGAGCCTTTTGATCAATGATAATATTTTGATTTCAATGTCACTGTTACTTCAAAATGAAATGACAGGTAAGTCGCTAAATAATTCTCACGTTTTTAACATTCCTTCCCATACATACAAAATTTTATTGTTACACGTAGATGGGCTACTTACCAGATGATGAAACCGAAAATATGAGTATCATTAATAGGGTAGACAAGTGAACTCTCATTGTTTTAATTCGAGAGACGAGCTGCATCGTTGAAGTCATTGTGGTACCTCCAATGGAAATCATAATTTGTAGCAGGTGTAATGTATGCGTTTGGGCAGAGGCACATCATACATTTCGGTATGAATCGGACACAGCAAGTTTCGATTTAATCAAAGATGGAGCTCTAGGGCTTATTCACTTGGGTTTTGTAATCGGTATAGCACGTACTTTTCTTTTTTTTTTTAATTATTCACCGCACAAGTATTTGAAACATGACACAATTTTTCTCGCTCGAGCTGCGTGGCTGCACTCGAGCTAGCACAATTGACCGGCTATCTCGAAATGGAACGACAAGTGAATTTGCTGCAAAAATGAAAAAGAGCCAATGCACAGGCTGCCGTTATTTCACAAGACATGTATACCTGCCTGGCTGCCTGCCTGTTAGCAGGTACGTACGAGAGCGACCGACTGACTGCTGCCGAGCATATTACAGATCTCGGAGGCGGGTGTTCCCCTACCTATTTATCCGCGACATGGACACTCGCGCGCGGCTCATTGTGAGCCTGCAGGTATATAGAAAGCGAGTGGCTGCGGCTGTGCGCTGCTGCTCACCTTTGCGATTAAATTCTGGAAGGGGCACACGCGAAACTCTTCAAGATTATGTATATAACTGAAATGTGATTCACCCGAGAGAATGCATCCGTTTCGCGAAGCGCGCGTGCAGGAGCATCGTTTCTTTAACGCGCACACGCTAAATGAAAGTGTCCACTGCGCGTTTATTAATTTTTCCAGATGCGTTGGTTAGAAGTGACGCACGAAAAAAATGAGGATATCGGTAGAGATCGAGATTTCAACGGCTTAAAGAGGACTTTTTCAAAAATTTTAAAGTTGGATAGATGATTCTGCAAAAATGTGATAGATTTGACTGATAAATAAGACAGAATAGTAGTTAAAGTTTCATTAAACTAAGATTGTTGTTTACTCATTTTTATTATAATTTTTTTCTTTAATACGAATAGCCACAATAACAACATTACATGATTACATCTACTGAAAAAACTGATGATATTTTTTTCTAACGATCCACTGCGAAAACAAATCGTTTATCCAAGTTGCTTGTCATTTTTGGTATACATTTTGTATACGCTAAAAAAGAATTATTTTCTTTCAATATTCCTTTCCTTTTACCGATTTTAAAATACTTGATGATCGTTCAATTATTCACGAATAAAATTTAAAAATAAAAGAAATTTCAAAAATGTTAAGTAATTATCATTTGAAATGTAATGCACAAAAATTGTTATCATAGATTCAAAAAATTTTATGGGAGAAAGAGGTTTTAAAAAGATTTGATTTCATACCTGGAAATTGAAAATTGTTTTACCGATTGGTTGACATATCACTTAATCCTTGTAACGTGACTTAGATCAGATTTTTTGACCGATCTTTATTAATACTATATCTTTATAAATAACCCAAGTAACGGAATAGATATTAAGGATAAGCAGTATGTAAAAAGAAACAAACAAAATAATTATAAACTAATTTTAGATAAAAACTTTTCGTTGACTCATGAAATATGATAGTAAGGTAACCGTAAGCATTCGGAATTTCAAGTTTCAGTATTGATTCTCTTAAAAAATAACTTGCGATTCAATGAATCATGATAGACATGTCGATGCGCTGATGCAGTATTCAATTTTTTTAACCTACTTTTAAAAAATGTCTTAAAATTATTAAATTTGTATTATTTACTGAAAGAAATAATAATAATAAGCTGTAAAAAACAGTTATTTATTAACATCAACCAATATTTACAATAATTCAGTCTCAATTCCCAAAAATTTACAATCATGCTTATTGAATAATTCTATAAGTTAATAAAAATATTATAAATTATATTATTCATCAATATTTCATAAAAAAAACAGAACCCAATTTTTCGTCAACAATTGATAATTAAAAGTTGACTTTTTGAAGACAACATTCGGAAGGCATCAAATATGAGAATGAATATAACAATAATTCAATATAACTCACCCTAATGTCATGTTTAAGTTAAAATTAAAAGTACATCGAAGTTTCAGGTAGGGAAGCATAATGAATTTAGTGATTTATTTATTGAATAAATTATACTTTGTTGCGCTTCTACGTTATATCACTGTGCTACCAGTATCCATAGCATAATATAACGATAAGTAGATATGACGTATCATTAACTACTTTGTTCTAGTTTTTATAGGGAAAAAAGTCAGTCCAAAATAGAAGAAGCGACTTTTTAAAATTGCAAATTGCGACGTATATTGTGCAAATTTTATATATTTGTGCTTTTAGATTGAATTTTTTTTGTCATACGATCGTTTCGAAATATAATGCATTTTAAAAAATATTTCCGTTCGTTTTGAACTGATTATTTCCCATTATAATATATCGATAACGTGAAACTTTAATTTTTCTATTTCTTCATTAAGTGGAATGTAATATGATTTTTAAATTTTCGATATCTAAAGCTTGAAACTTAATCTGACTATATTTGTATGCAGACAGTTTTTTTTATTTTTCTATTTTTTACCGTAGCCATACAATTGAACATTCGTATAGATTTCTCATGAAATTTCTAAAAGTTTTTGACAAACTTAAAATATACAATGTTTCTTTCATAATACATCCTAAGTCAATATTACATTGTGCACATACGATAGAAAAATATTTAAAAAATATATAATAATCCGATTTGAGCTATTTATACATTAACATGAATACATAGTGGAATTAGCATACATCTCTATAAGTTTTATTTTCAATCTGTAAAATCAGATTTTCTCAATGATCTTATGTTTGTCAAAAACGTATGCATTACATAGCGATTTTTAAACATTTTAAAAATTCCAAAAATACTTCCAAACAAATTTGGATAGATTCAACTATTTAATTATGATTTAAAATAAATAAAATACGTAAAAAATTGTATAACCAATATAATAAAAGAACTACCCAAAACTTAAATACTTATGTTTTTTTTATTAAGAAAAAAAGAAATTTTTCATGAATGTAGAAGATCAACAGAGAACTTTAAAAACTTAACATTCAAGAGAACTTTCAATTCCAAATAAGATTTTTCATTTTTGCAGATGTTTCATGTGAATGTTAGAAAAATGATCGCAATAAAATTATAATTTATCGTTATTTTTGATAATTTGATCAAGACAAACTGAAAATAGGTGAAATTTGCAAACTTAATGAATGCAATAAATTTTAATTTTTGGTTCAGTTAAATACTTTAACGTTCATGAAACATTTCTTTCATTTTGAATAAAAAATAATAACAATAGGTTAACATATTTAAGATATAAAAAATAACAATAAAAATAACTATGTTTTATAACCCCAAGGAATTTTTCCAACAACTTAACCCAAATTATTGAAACTTCCAAATCACCTTTTTTTATTGTACTTCAAGTTAGCTTTCACGTTTTTTCCAAGTTGCATTTTAAAATCTAATTTTTCCAGTTTGAATTTGCTCGTACTTTTCCTCTGATAATAGCTGGTACCCTAGTTTAGCATCAAAATAGAATAATTTATCACGAATAACTTTTGGGTTGTATCCTTCAACCTGCAAATCCTTTTTCTTCAACTTAAAAGTACCTTGAAAATATAAGAGTTTATATTAATACCACAGATCGTATTTATTTTAAAGGAATGGTAAGGAATCATTTTGATGTACATACCTGTGAGATCAATTTTAGTAAGTATTCGAATGAATTGAGGTCTAGCATACACTGGTAAATGTTCTTTTACAGCGCTCGATAAATGCGCAATATCTAAAGTTCCGTCTGCATCATGAATTGCAGCCATACCAGCTCTACCTTCGGCGCCAAAGACCTGAAATGATTATAATAATATCAGTAATGAAAAATAGGACCGAAACTTGTTGGGACTGTAGTTTGCGTAAACGCCGTACACTGTTATCATACGTAATATTAACTTAACTAGATACTAATAAACTTAAGATTCAAAGATGCCATAGCATCGAAAAGAATGTTATTCAATTTTTGAGAAATTTTACGTCCGCTTTTCATTACTTTACGAAGATAAAATTGTTCGTAAGAACCGTTTCATGTACTTCATCCGTAAATTTGGTCGCCGTTTAATATTTTTTAACAATTAAGATTTTTTGCACTATGTCCATTTTTAGTAACTTCAAGTGTAAACTATGTGAATTACAGCACCCAGGCTGCTTAAACTTTTTCGGGATATTAATGAGCCAAATGCAACCACTTTTAAATTGATCGATCCCACACTTCATTTTATAAAAATACAAGTAAAATGTATTATTTACTTTTCATAATGTTGGTGTTGAACTATTTGTACAAAGTGAACAGAGAGTTGGATTAAAGATAATAATAAATGAATTTACCTCTACACCATAGACAATACAGTCTCGGTAATTGATAAAATTACTTATGATTGCTTCGATTTCAGACGTTGAAACGTTTTCACCTTTCCATCGGAATGTGTCTCCTGTTCTATCTTTGAAATACAAGTATCCTAGTTCGTCTGCTACAAGAATATCACCTGAAGCAGAAAAATTCATACATTGTTAGTATTTTATTTGTGTCTGGGTGAAGAATGAGTCAATTGCATAAAACTTCAAATTTTCAGTCTCGAAGAATTTTACTTTTTTTTAAAGTACAGTTCTGAAACATACCCTTCCGTTAAAGAATATTTTTTAAAAAAGATTCAAAAAAGATTCAAAAATTAAAAGCACATCATTTTGATGCAAATTCCAACGAGTTAGCTTTAGATTTCTTTCTTATAAGAAATTTAGGTAAACTATATTTTTCAACCTCTATTGGTGTTCTTCTGTGCTCTAAAAAAACGATTTAAAGCTGCAATTTTTGTGTCAAGTGCAACTAACGTTAAGATAGAAAAATGGTCTAAAAGCTTGAAAGGTGCATCGATCAATGAGAGTACGTGACAATACGACGTTAACTCGTAAGCGAGAGACTAACTTTGTTGAAAAAAAATTAACGCTGAATATCATAAAAAATGATCTTCCAAAAGTTAATTAAGATGCCACAATTTTTTGAGACAGTTTGTAGGTAAGATCTATTGTTCGCATTTTTCGAAAAGTTGCATGTTAACGCCATTCGATAAATTTGTTGTGAATAATTATAATTAAAAAATTACTAATATACAATTAAAAAATTACTGTGGTACTGGTACACATTCAAACACTCATTTTCTTTCAGCAAATTTCAGTGTTGCGCTCAAATAACTCGATATTGACTCAAATCTAATAATAGTATATATGGATTTAAAGAGGACAAAATTTCCAAGAAATCAAAAAAAAATTCGTGTCGATACGATAAGTATAGCCCAAGATAGAAGCATTTGAAAATCGACAAAATTTCGATGATATTTTTTGTGGCGATAATTTTGTTGCCGAGTGTAGTATCACGAATAGAATTTTGAATTTAAGAGGCAATTATACATAGAGGCATACCGATGATAATCGACCCATTTATTTTATCAGCGTAGAAGATTAAATTGAATCATTATTAAGTTATGTTACCTGATATAAATGCCGAATCACCCTTCGAAAATACGTCGTGAACAATCTTGGACGTTGAGGCTTTTTCATCTACGTAACCCAAAAACGCCCTGGACGGGTTATTAGGAATAATTTTACCAATGAAAACACCAGGTTCATCTATAAATCAAAATCATATATTCATTATATATAAGAAAATATCGCTGCATATATTTTGTGCAATTTTGATATAATCCAATTAAAATATTAAAGAGCAGCAATTTTGGAATCATTATTTAATAAATTCAATTATGAATTTAATAAATTCAAATAATGAAAATCGCTTAAAAAACAATTTTTATCTGAAAATACAACGCGCAAATTAAAATAACGCGATAGTTATAAAAACGATAAATTTTCAATAATTAGATAACTATATCGTGCGATGAAATGTCCATATGTTAACCCATAAAGGACCAGCATGCGCCATATGGCCCAAGGTCATTGACCTCCAAATATTTGACATTAGTTGAGTCACATGTTTTAGGCTTCAGATGACTTTTCTATAGAAGAAAGTATTTTTTTTTTTTTAATTTCTTAAATACCGGCCTTTTAAAGATTAAATGAATGTGTTATTATACAAAAATTTTGTAATTAAATTTAACTGAATAGTTTAAGCTGAAAAAACATCCAAATTGCATATATATCTTATATCGCTATGTGCAAAGACTTACTTGGTTCACAAACTTGACAAAGCCCTTTTGAGTTTCTTACAGGTTCTCCATTTTCATTAACTTTGATAATTGAAATGGGATAAACTGCAGGCAGTATTCGAGATACAAAACCGATAGCCCCTATGGTGTTATCAATATTAACTGTAATAAAAAAATTGTTTATAAACTTTTCATGAATATCAGTAAATTTTTTTTAGTTATATCATTTACTTTGAAATAGTGTAAAAATATTAATTTACTTGGAGCCCATAACTATAAATTGAATCGTAAATAATAAGCGCAGATTATATTTTAATGAAGGTACAAAAAAAATCGCTGATCTCCGTTGAAATGTACAAGGCTAATATAGCAAAAAAAAAGGAAAGGTGAGATATTACGTCATTGTGGGGATTCTAGGAAAATAGTATACGCACGGTGGAGAGCAAAAAAGAATGCCTCAAAATGACTCGGTTCTTAATGCGAATGATGTTCAGAATGTTTCTGTTCGTAGATTCATTTCAATTTTATCGCTTACCAATATTAGCATTTCCTTCGGTAGCCCCGTAGAATTCACATACTTTGGGGATTTTGAAACGAGCAACAAATTCACGCCAAATCTGCGGTCTAAGGCCATTTCCAAAGATGATGCGAATGTTATGATTTGTATCTTCTTTTTTTGGTGACACAGCTAAAACGTACCGACACATTTCTCCAATATATTGTGCAACCTTCAAAAAAAATTTTTAGTTAAAGGTGATTGAAGGATGGAAACTGTTTGGTTTATGTATAATTCAAGTTCGGGTTAAAATTTTCCAATTAACTTGGCCCATTTTAAATTTAATCATGCATTAACATTTAATAACATTAACCGTAAAGTTTAAAAAATAATTCTTATTTGTATGGACCGTTCCTAGCGTTGAAATGCTAATTCCAAAATAAACTCTTATATCAGAGCTCGGTGAAGCTACTTTGAGACTCCGTTTGAGAAAGTACTATTTAGCTGCACGATGCTAAAACTGTACTTTACAATACAAGAATAATAAGTAGCACCTTATGGTGCAGCGAAATTTAGGGGTCTAACGAAGTAAGGTAATAAATATGAATCGATCTAAGTTATAACAGAAAAAAGTTTCCGAAAATCCTAAAATATTCGCTCATCAAATTGGATCTACGAAATAGTGAAGAGTAAAGTATTTAAAGCCAAAAATTTATCTAAGAGCTATTTTCCAGCTATTATTAAGAGATAAAGAGATGTTAAAAAACTACGATTATCGCGCTCGCTCGTTTTTCACGGATTCACTAGCCTGCCAAACGAGCCATAAGACGTTACATATCAAAAACTTTTTGAAAATAATTCTTTTACTACAATAACGTTATTATTGAGTTTGAATGATGATCGATTTCTTATGAAAATATTGTATTCTTTTTTATGTAAGTTTGAAAAAATTAAACAAAATAAATAATTAAACTTACCGTACAATTGTACTTGATGCAATCATTAAAGTACATACTGGCAGAAAACTTTTTTCTTATAACAACTGTTGAGCCATGAAGCAAACTTTGACCTACGGACATTACTCCGCCCGCAGTATGATAGAGCGGCAAAGGAGTATAAAATCTATCCGATTCTTTGAATCCGGCCAAGAAATGGATTCCACTCGCAATGAACATGAATCTGAAAATATTTCAATTACCATTAACGTTATTGTTCTTATAAAATTACTTAGTAATTGACAAAAACAATAAGCTACCTTGAATTAGTTATGACAGCAGCTTTCGGCAAACCTGTCGTACCACTAGTGTAAATATACATAAGTTTGTCACTATAACAACCTTTTTCTTGAATTACTGGTGCAGTACTAGGTGCTTCCGCAAGTAACTTATTCAATTCTCGACTATTTAAATCGTCAGAAGATTCTCCCGAGTCGTTCGATAGTCGATATAGTGGTATTTTGGAATCCAATGTTTGTACAACACCTTTGACAGCTACAAAAAGTATTTTATTCATTAAATTATGCGGTCATGAGCAATTTCTAAATTTTATACAAATTCACAATGTAGCACTGCATGGATTTGAATCAACCTTTTATTACACTTTTCTATGATGTAAAAAATACATAAAAGAACCGCGACGTAATATACCTAACAGGAAGTTTTGGTGCGTCAACTCAACGCTATTTCGTTATTATAGTCTATTCGTATCACAAAAAAGAAGACACAAATGTAAATTAGCACGCTGCCATAAAAGTTGTTAAAAAAAACGTCGTGAATAATGTTTTATAGTTTTGCAAATTTAGGAACCAAAATCATAAAGAGCTAGCAATGGCTTGAAAATCTTCAGTCACTATAGTATTTCATACTAGTAAGTGATAAATGCATTATTTAATTGAGGCATATTGTAAATTTTATATAAAGCCAAGCTCAGTAAATTTATAATGGAGTATTATCTACTATTTTCTTCATTCTTAAATGTTAAAATTATTATTCGCCATGTAAAAAATTGTACTGTACCTTCCGCTAGACCAGATCCATATATTAGAGCTTGACATTTTGCAACATTAATACTATGCGTAAGGGAGGCTTTTCTCAAGTTAGTATTTATTAGCGAAGTAATAACTCCAAGTTTACTAAGACCCAACCAAATACAAACATATTCTGGAGAGTTTTCTAGAAAAAGAGCAACTGCATCGCCTTTTTTGAATCCATGGCATTTGAAAATAAATGCAATTTTATTGCTGTAATCTTCCACCTAAAATTTATTTCAAACAACTTAGCTTAGCTCATTTCAATTATTATACACAAGTAATAATTTACCTGCTGGAATGTCCATTCTTGATCTTCGAATACAATACAACATTTGTTAGGATGTTCGATAAGATTTTGTCGAAAAACATCAGCAACACTTCGATCCTTTCTTTCATGTTTTTTTATGTTCCATAACAGACATATATAACGACAAATGGCTCTGTAAAATAAACACATACATTTTATTATTCTCTGTGATAAAGAATTTATAATTTTTACATCTTATAAGTAATCTATACTTTCATACATACAGTAAGTTAATGATGTCAAAAAGATTTTATAATTAGATAGTACAAAAGTTATCAGTTAAAAATTGAGGTAAATGAGAATTAACATATCGATAAGTTTGAATCATACGTTGAATAATCTATACCTGACTATATCTCAAGATAAAACTTGAAAATAAATGAACAAAAATAAAGTAACCAAAAGTAATTTTAATTTATTCTTCAATAAAGTTTGATTTTTGCTAAGCATAAGATTAGCTGATAATTTCAACTTGTAAAATGTCACTTTAAGCATTCAGTAGCTCAATTACATGTTTGTAAGAATTTATTTCGTAATTGCAAAAATTGATTTCATCATATGAACTATATTTTGTAATAATTATGAATTTGAATGGATTAATTTTTACTCAAACATAATTGTGTAAACTATTTCATAAATATAGACAAATTGTATCACTAACCCAACATACTGATATATCAAGGTAAGAAAAAAAGAAAGTGAATCAATTTGCATACTAAGTATACAGCATAAAGTAATGGGAGGGATCAATAATTAATAGTTGATAAAACATAAAAGACTATCTAAATTTTATAGATTACATCTGACAGTGTCAGTACTAGCTAGTATAGGTATATATCAAATTACAGTTATGAAAGATATGCAAGTCATACTGCAGTAATTTTTGCATACCAAACTCGAGCTTGTTAACAATGTAAACAATATTATATATACGTACTTTAAATCGCGCGGAGCTGTCCTCAAGGCGACGTAACACCAGCGAAGTCTGCCACCTGCGACGAAGTACGCAACGAAGGCGACGAGACATAACTGGAGAATAAAGAGCTTGCCCAGGTAGAGCCACAGAACGGCAAGGACAGCCAAAACACTAGCTAAGAGCAACATTGCTTTGAGAGGTCGCAGGAGCGAACTGATGGCCGCATGCCAACGTCGTCGTCGACTGCTGCTACTTCTACTGCTGCTACCGGGTGCTGTGGCCTCGGCCTCTAAACTAGTCTCTTGGCTGAGACTGACCAAGGTGCTGCTGCTCTCCAGACGTGGCTGTGGCTGTTGCTGCTGCTGCTGCTGCTGTCCCGCTCCCAAGCTTGTTTCGCTCTCTCCGCTACTGCTTTGAAGCTGCTGTGCCTGATAATGCGCTTCCCCTCTCTCTACGTCCTGTAAATAAATAAGACCACGCGTGATACTTTTACTCTTGGGAGTTTAAAGAACTGAGACAATTTATCCGTATACAGAACCATTGAAAAATTATTAGAAAAATTATCATATTCGATATCTTTGTTTTACAGACTTTTAAATCTGATTTACATACGTGAATATTTACATTACAATATTTTTTACATGTTCGATCACGTTATAACATAAGAGAGTAAATAGGTGATCGAATAATTAATCAATTAAAATTAAAGAAAATCATAGTATTATTGATGAAGAGAACAAAACACGAAAACTTAAAAAAATCGAATTTTTAATTGGGTGTACCTTAAAAAATTTGCATTTTTTTTACAAATTATATTTTTTCCAGAACATTTTAAAAATTTTAAACGTGGTCGGAAAAATACAAGTTTTATTGAATTTTTGTGTTTCGGCAAAAATCCATTACGATTGACGTTTCAAGGGCAAAGTTTCGATCAATGAAAAATATCGGCCAGTAATCTACTTTTATAAAACGAATGAGTTCATTGAATCAAGGCAAGAACTTAAACGCTGGGAATTAAAAATAAAAATGAATTAATTTTTAGGAAATTAACAAAATTCGTAAATGAACATTTGAGCGTAGTGGCGAAATTGGCTTGAATTCGAGCTTAGATCGCTTGTCTCGTATTGGCGATTTCTCTAAAATTACGAAAAACCACAATCGCGCTGATCGACTAATTTTGACTTTTTCGTGCATCATATTAGACGTCCACAAAGCGGCTACATATACTTTATATACTACGCTTACTAGCTCATTAAAAAGCAGCAGCTCGGCTTAATTAAATCAACCAGAGTTCATTCTTTGGAAAAAATTTTGGGCTAGCAAAAATTCATTACGAAACAAGTCCGCGACTCACAATGCTATAGTTATTTTACAGACTACGCAAAATTGTCTTTTTATTTTTGCCAACTAAATAAAAATTAAATCTTTTAAAACCATAACTTTGCTACTTATTTACACCTAAAAATAAATATTATTTTATTTTTATAAATGTATTTCTATTTAGAGAATTTTTTTAAAATCTTTTTGTTTAATTTTTCAAATTAATTATCGATCTTCACTTGAATCGATTCACTTGAAAAATAATGATTTAAAACAAAATTTTTATTATTACTGCAGTTAATAAAGATAGTTGACTAAATAAATCTCGTTCTATTGTAGCTGAATAAGCGATACATGAAATTATCGTTATAAATTTAATTTCAATGTTTCACTCTAATTCTGAACTCATATGGGTCATAGGTTAACACATTGTATTACAAGTCGTGAGAAATTCTAATACTAACCCAATTTTTCCTCGTATTTTCGTAATATTTGATTCTTAAACAAAATTTCTTGATTTTATTCAAAAGATTCGAGAATCGAAATAATTGCAAAGCGTACTTTTAGTACAAATTTCATAAAGTAAAAATTCAATATCGTGCATAACGGTTTTCCACACGTTGCCGATTGAAAACAAACGATAATTTCAATAATTCACGTGAAGCATCTAATTTGGAAAGTCTTGGTGGACAATATTCGAGTCAGTCACGTGAATCTTTAATTTTTCTAACATGATATTACTTACTTGTATACTTTTGTCCGAGCTGGTACTCTTTTTACTTCCATTAATCATCCTATACTAGATTTAAGAGTCAATAGCAGAACTGGTACAAACTCGCGAGTCGATTCGTTCATCAAATTACGTATTATATCAACAAACGATTAAAATTTCGAACTGTATCGTTTGCACGCCGCACTGCCTAAATAAATCGCATACACTGGCATAACTGATTGAACTCTAACACAGACCGTGATTTTACATTAAAATTTATAAAAAGTATTAAATATTATATTACGCGGAAAGCCAGGTGAGCGTGAGCCTTGCGAAAGTTGTATAGTGAGCACACTGCAGAGCGTTCACCATGACTTCAGCACTCGTGGCCTCCTACTCCCTCTCTCCTGATAAATAATTTCTTGATACTCTTGTACAATAAATCACTCTTACTACATGCAATATTTTTTTTCTACTGTATTTCGTCAATTTCAACTATCATTTGTTCGTGCTCTTTTTTATCCCCAAATTCGTTATTTTTTCATTCTTTAAATACATTGATACATCTGAGGCAAACTCGAGCACATTATATAACACGGAGAATTACGGGAGTAAAAAATAGCATCCATGGATATGTTTTAAAAAAAAATCCTGTAATATTAAAAATTTATGATAACTTTCAAAAAACACAATAATATCTTTGAGCGAGATGGCACAATCGATTTATCCATAAATATATTTGTTTAACTGCGAATACGTATAAAACTATTCGATAACGATGAAGTTCAATAAACGTTACTCAATCTTAATTAAGAAACTATTTGAGTAAGAAAAATAAAAAATAAAATAGAAGTTGTATGCAACTCATTTTTCTTCATCACTGTTTCTAAGCTTGAATTTAAAAATTCAGCGGGAGTTACTAATGTGTACTGTTGATAAGGGCAAGGTATATTGGCTAAAACCTACTGCTATACTGACCATTTAAATTGTTGCAGAGGGTTAATATCCTAAGTTAATGTTCAGACTTTTTGGAATGGAAATTGTTTATTTTTTGATTCTCATAGTAACTTCGAACAACAATCTTTTGCCAAAAATTTAAAATAATTAAACTTTGAAGAAAAATTTCCTGATAAAATTCGTCCGACTTTTATTTTTATTCCGATTTTTTGTTAATATTTCAAATAATAAATGATTCGTTTATTTTATGGATAAAACCCAAAACAAGATGTGTCGGTACAGCAGTGCACAGTATATCAATTAGTGTAATGTAGAGTGCCCTCAACTCTTAACATTAAAAAGACTAACTATAGATAACTGCAGGAGTAAGTATCAAGGACTTTTTGTAAAGAACATTAAAAGAGGTATATATCATAGACTATTTTGTTACTTTTTAAAATGTTCCACGCAAACCATAACTTGTGATAAATCTTTCACTCAAGTCCTCATGCTACCTAAATATTTCATTTAAAATAATAATAATTTTATTCTGTTTAAATTACTTTCATTGAAACTTTTCAAATTTGAAAATTCAGGTGTGATTAATACTAGGATCGTATTGAGAATTGTACGTGTATTTAAGTTATGTTGACTGCATACGATAATAGTCGATCCTACTTCAAATATTCTCTACAGTACTACATTAAACGATTTTTTCCTACGTAACTCATTATATCGTAGGTAAACATATTTCAATGAAAATCTACTATTAAAAAATTTTTATTATTGACTGGAAAACTATTTAAATGTGTTTGAATAATGCCAAGTTAAATAATAGTTATTAGTCGTACATATACTTTAATTGGTAAGTTTCCCCGACATAGCGTTTACTAAGAGCAGCTGCAGCGTCAGTCTAATATTAGTCCGAGAGTCATCGCATGAAACCGAACGAGTTCGTTTACTTTAGTACAAAACTCAACGGCGTCATACTTACACACTACAATAATGTCTGGCTCTCGTTTTATTCACCGGGGTATGGACAAATTTTCATCTTGAACCGTTGCAGCAATTAGCACTTACAAAAAATCTTATCGCAAGTCTTTTACTCAAAATGTTTTTTAAGAAGCTTTCACTGTAAGTTTCCTAAAAAGTACTTTTTCACTTCTATTTCTAACGTTTCAATTTACACGTGAATGCAAGAATTATTGAAAATTTTAAAGCACTTTTAACGATTTAACAAAAGTTGAAGTATGGATTGTCAATAATAATAGCATAATAAGTTTGAAATGATAATGTAATTTACTTCAGTTCAGTTTTTCGCAATGATAGCAAATATTTAATTCCACAGTATTAACGATTTGATTTCATAATAATTTTATGGGTGGTTCCATGCATATTTGTTGCTATTGTTTTTGGTTACTATTTTGCTTGTTTTTGTAGACTCTATTTAAGGTTGTTCAACATATTTAATAATCAGCGTGATATGTTTAATCATTTGTGTAATAATCAGTTAGACTGTTCACAATAGGGCTTTGATTGATTTTGGATTAAATATAAAACCAATGAAAAATGAATCTTAGTACTTTAGAACATATAGTTATTTCAATCGTTATGCTAAATATTATGTAAATTTAAGATGAAGGATGCAATTATACCGAAACGGAATAACGACCTAGTGGCTTCTAAATCAAAACCATCCCTCGAAATTTATCGACCACCAGGTAAGAAAATAAAATATAATTAAATATTAAAACCGTGTAAAAATGCAAGAATAGAATAATAATTTTTCACAAGAAATAAATTGAACCATTGAAAAATAATTTTTACTTTTTAACAACAGGCGTTAGAACAGACGGAATAACGATTCATACGACAAATCCGCAATTAAATGTACATGCCAAAGAATTTACAATGAAGCAGAACGATTTTCATTCACCAAAGTAAGATTGTTCTATATCCTATCAGCTAACTTACTTCTTGATAGAAATACAAATCTCTAACGGCAACTTTCGTGCTCCTTTTTTGCAGATCCCAAATGTTTTTAAATAATATGCATTCTCTGCAGCACAGCAAATCTAGTGGAAATATTCACCGATATTTTTATCAGCAGCAGCAACAGCAAAATCATCTTCAACAGCAACAACAGCAACATCAGTATCCTTTTCAACCCCAGATGTTATCTGGATCTCATAATCACTTGCCTAGTTTTCATCCCATGGCAGCATCGATTCATCAACCACACGTTTTTAATGTTTCTCCGAACAGTAATATTATGCACGTGAGGATCTATTTACCCATTATTTTTGAAAAAATGAATGCATTCAATGATCGATTTTCATAATAATGATGATGGTGGTAGCTATTAAGCAAAATTTGCATCACTGTTCTAGTATCAATATTAGAGATTGTGCTGATTAAATTGATCTACCACATCAAGAAAACTTTGTTTTATATGTCATGAAAACTGAAAATGAATTTTCAGTGAAAATGGATTTTCAGTTTTCACGATACGTGAAATAAACTTTCACGCGACATTGCGATAGATCAATGTCTTTTAGTTTTTAAATATAATATTAAAAATTGAATGTTCAATATTGATATTTGAGTTCAAAAGCGACAATTTGGTTTTCAACTAAACAATTCTGTCAATATATTTTTTCAGTGCTTAATAGTAATAATTATACTATTTCTTTTTTAAATAAGCAGTTTTCTTCGTCTGGCTAAAAATTAATACGATACAAATTTACAAATGGGACTTTAAATGTAGTAAAAAGTAATGTTCTTTCACAGAATGCCGGTAGGGTACACTTTTGCGTGGATAAGTATGAAGTAAAATCAAATCTCAAATCAGGAAAACTTATGAAATCATTATCATTTGCCTCTTCGCACGATTTGAAACGCTCTAAGAGCTTTTGTTCAGCAGAAAGTTCGACAGCCCGAGCAGTAAATATCACTGCTGCAGTGGAGTTGGGAAATTTTCCACCTGCAATTTATCAGAGACTGCTGAAAGCGATTGACGGTAAATACTGCATGTAAAATTACGATTTTTTGCGAGCTAATTGTTGATATGATATTAGATTTCATAAAAAAATTTGAAATGAATTTTATTTTAGATCCAAATATGTTGAGTGCTCGAGTGTTGATGGAACTTGTTCGGAATATATTAGAGCGCGTGATGGAAAATCAAAATTACGCTGCCACAGCTGCGAAAATATGTATTCACATAATACAAGTAAATATAAAAGAATATAAAATAATATTTAGTGAGTATTTAATTAAAGTAACTTATTTTTTACAGAAAGAAGTCAAGGAAACTTTTCTTGAATCATTACTTAATACTTGTCAACAATGGTACCAAGAAAAAAAACAAATATATAAAAACTTTTCAGCTTTTATGATATTTTTAAACGAAATGTATTGTCAGGTAAATATTTGTATTGTAATTTATTCATAAAATTGAGTCTAATATTTAAAAACAGCTCTGATACAGTTTATTGAGTCAATCAATGACGATGTATCTTCAAAATAATTTTGTAAAGTACAGTTTAGTAACTTATATTAACTTGTTGATCTGAAGTTAAAACGTCGTCAACTTCAATTAAAAACGCAACAAGAAGGAGTTCCTCCTGGAAGAGTTCTCCTCACTTTACTTTGGAAATGTTGCCAAGATTGTCTTTTTCCACCGATTATCAATTCCCCCGAAGAGGTATGATTCTTTAAACTTCTAAATTTTTTAACACTTATTTGAATATTCATTCAATAATGTTTATGAGAAGATAAACATCGTTTTTATTTTCGCGTACAGATTCATTGTCTTTTTTACATTTTGACATCTGTTGGAAAAGATCTATCACAGGAACTTCCAACTCAATTGCACCAATTACTTGGCAATGTTCGAGATGCATTTTTAAATGAAGATATAACTTCTCCTGCAGTTCGTAAAACCTTGTTGCAATTAATAGAACTACAAGCAGCGCACTGGCAATTGACCGCACCAGCAGTTGTTTACTATTATCCTGGTTCAACCTGACAGCAAAGAACTAAATAAATTTAATGGTAATAATCGATTACTTTTCTATTTTTAATAATATCATAGCAAAATATATTTTTTAAAATCCATCAGGGGCACACTTCCATTGCAGGAAAATCAGCGGGTCAAGGAACTATAATAATCTTAGGGCAGTTTTTTTCGCAAAGTATCGTAAAATAAATATAAATCTGTACCGTCAAAAAACCAACTTCAAAATTAAAAAAATCGGAACTTCATTTAAAACTTGTTCAATAATACATGTGAAAATGGAGAAAAATATATTTTGTACGCACACCTTCATTTTATACAGCACAAAAAGTTGTCATTAAAATTTGAATGCTATAGGCAGAATGTTTACTGAGATTTCGTTTTACAAGGTCACACCATTTTGATATCAAAGGACTTCGTTTTGCTTAGCATAATAAACCGAAACTCATTTTTGAATGAATAATTTATTTGAATCCAAATATGCTTATTGCCATTATGAGCTTAGGCTGTTAACCGCCAAGCAAATATTATATAAATCTTCGTGCAGATTCTCGATGATCATGTCGCAGCAAAGAATCGGCCGTCGGTAGCAGTCAGATTCATGAAAGGATCCAGTGCCCATTGCTGACAAAATCTTCTCGATATTACTTCGAAAAAATTCACAGCGTAAGTCTCATCAATTAAATGCCGCGGGAACATCATATAGATTTTGCTCAAACGCGGCAACTCACCGTTGCCGTTGGCTCTGTCCGGTGGACACAAAAACCTGAGCGAGTTACCGCTTAGAAATGGTGTAATCCAAATTTAACCAATACAGTTGGATCGACTCCTCTGCACTTTATTTGCAAGATGCATCGTTCTAGTGCCCTACTTGAGGTGCTCTTCGAAATGAATGTCTTGGTGGATATCGATGCTCAGGACAAAGATGGTAACACACCATTATGCATAGCTTTGCGCTATAACAACAAGAAGATAGTCGAGTTGCTGATGAGAAACATGGATTATTATTATCTGCACATTAACTAAAATTATTTTTGAAAGTATTATTTCAATGTGTTAGTTTTCCATCTAGAACGGCGAAAAGTAATATTTTTCCTTAGAGAACACCGAAATATGTTAGTTTTCCATGGAGAAGCCACTCAAAAATGATGGATTCTTAGTATTGATCAAAAAAAATTTTCATCTGTAAAATTTTTTCCTCTAATCCTTTTTTTTTGAGTTAACAATTCCAGAAATTTTCTTATATATTTTCGTTTTACAGTCGACATTTTGTTTACCTTAAATTATAGTTCACTAGTTGGAATCGTCATGACTTTAAGATAAGGGCCCATGGAGGCTTTATTTGTGCCCAAGACGCCAGGATTTAAAAGATTTTCATGCAAAAATTCTAAAAGAAAAAAGAATTTTTTTTCGAAATCGCGTTTTTTGGATAAAACCATCCATAACTTTTGGGATTTTTATTATTTCGAAAATCTGATAACGGCATCATCAATTTCATTTTATTTTACGTAGAACATGCTTACTCGCAATTTCTCCAAACTCCATTTTCAGTAAAAGTACAATGGCTCAATAAAGTATCAAAAATGTGTCCGTCCCGAACTAAAAGGGTTAAATTGATAATTTTTCAATTAGATAAACGGACACGTAAGAAGGTGATCGCAGTTTTCAAATTATTCAAGAAAGCGCCCCGTCATACCCCACTTTTTCCTTCATTATAAGCCAAGTATCGATGACAGCTGTCTGCTATCGCCAGTATTGCGCAATTCGCAGTGCGGTACGGGGCACAGGCCTTTGACAGCATTTACAAATACTTTAAAAAACTTTCGGTGAATTATAACACCATTTCTAATTTCGATCAGTAAACCGATGAATTAATGTCTAAAGTATTGCGCAAAACATTCATACTTCACAATCGAACAAGTTTTATCAGGTGCTTCTCAAAGTCGGATACGAAGGTTATCGGAGCTTATAGTGGCTTGTGTAGAAAAATTATGATTCATTCTTTGAATACTTAAGTTAACTTTCATATAATGTGATTTAAAAGTCCTCAATAATCTATAGGTTTTCATTAAAACTTTATAAACATAGGTGGTAATTCGATCATTGAGTTAAAAATTGTGTGCCATGCTAAGCAAATTATTTTCTACTCTCAAACAAAATGATAGTGTAGTAGGCAGTGTAAACATTAGTCTTCAATAGTCCCTAACTATTGAGTTTTTGTTCAAGTCAATTTAAATTAATTTTAATACCTCAAAATGTATTCTACATTAACCCCTAAATGCCGAATTGTCGAATCAGACTTAAAGTGCAAAAGTGGATGCGATTATTATGGCAATGCTGCTTGGCAAGGTTATTGCAGTGTTTGTCATCGGAAAAAGCAACGAGCTTTGCAAGAAGAACGGGAACGTGAAGCACTTCGCCAAAATCGCGATAGGTAATTTGACTAACTAGGAAATTTTTATAAAATTTTAATGACTATGTCTTTGCAGTGAAAACGTCGGACTTGCTGATCAGAAGCTCCTACAGCAAGATAAAAATAAATCTAAATTGAATGCATTTTCAAGACTCCGAAAATTGCCCTCAAAGGGACAGGAGCAAAAGTTTTTATTGAGAGAATTGTACAATAGCAACGCATCTGATTTGGATAAAATTCGCGCTGATAATCAAGACTTGTTGAAAGTATTGGATACAGCGCTTTTGAAGGATTTGCAGCGAAAAATGGATCATTTTCTTATTGAAATTCTAGAAGCTAAGGATAGAAAAAAAATTGAAAAGCTGTCAGATCTGACGCAGATATTTTACCAAAATTGCTCAAAAAGTTTAGAAGAAAAAGTTGATCAAAGAGGTGATACTTTTTTCTTTGTTTTATGATTGTAACAAAATCAAAGTAATGGTTTAAATTTTTATATAGAATTTTCGTTGGAAGTAAAAGAACGATTACTCGATTATATTGAAAAATATACTATGACAATGTTATATAGATTATTATTTTGCCCTCCATTTACAAACGATGAGGAAAATGATCTGGAAATTCAGAAAAGAATAAGACAATTAAATTGGGTTAGCGTCAAAAATTTAGAATGCAAAATTCATGAAACAAGTGTTGAAGTCAGAGAACTTGTATACACATCAATGATGGGTAAAATTCTATTTTATTTATGTTATTCTTCTTATAGTGTTAAATACCTAAGCTTCAGTGAAAAAGAATATTTTCTAGAATTTTTATTAAATATTTTTTTTAAACAAGGCATCATTGCCAAGAGGATAATAAAAAAGACTTGTTTAAAGAAATATTCAATAAGAAACTTCTTTTAAAAATTTTTAAGTTCATACTAATCTTGGTATTCTTTTAGCAAAAATCTAACCATAAATTTTTAATTTCTACAGATTTATTAAATATGGATGCGGCTAAAGCACCACAAGAAAAACTTGCATGTATTGTACACTGTTGTAGTAATATATTTTTACTACTTCAACAATCAGTGGGAGGACCAGCATCTGCTGATGAATTTCTTCCAGCTTTAATCTTTATTGTGCTAAAAGCAAATCCAGCTAGATTGAAAAGTAACATAAATTTTATCACTAGATTTTGTAATGCTAGTCGATTGATGACTGGAGAGAGTGGATATTATTTTACAAATTTGGTAGATTATTTTTATTGACATTTATTGAATTTATTGATATATAAACAACATAATTGTTAGATGATTATTTTTTTAGTGCTGTGCTGTATCATTCATTGAAAACTTAACGGCAGAATCTTTAAATATGACTAAAAGTGATTTTAATGCTTACATGTCGGGGGAAGGAGTACCTGCCAATACATGGGAATCAGCTCTTATGATCTGTGAAGTAAGAACTCTGTTAAATTATTTATTCTGCAAAGAATGCATTTCAAATGAAATTTATTTACAGAATTTACACTTAATTTGTGAAGATATCAATCTACTTCAAGAGCTAAAAAATGAAAATGAGAAAATTTTTGTAGAATCTAAAAACTTAGAAATAGATATGTTGGATTTTTGTAATAAAATACAGGTTGATGTGATTGATGCATTAAACAAATCCTCTCTCAAGTTCAGTACAAATCAAAAAGTGTCACTACAGTTGGATGGTGACGTCGGTACCAGTTTGCGAATGCCTTCACCAGTGGCAAGAAAGGTAAAAAATTATAAGATTACAGTGGAATTTATTTATAAACCACATTATTTTTAAATTATAGATGGATAATGAGCTACCTGAAAATCATGTACAACAAGACATGACTGAACCAAATAATTTTAATTCAAATTTATTGCAAGAAAAATCTCCATGTCCAAAATTATCTCTTTCAGATAATAACTTTAGTACAAAAACACAAATTCATAGTGATAGTGGTGATTTGAAACATGATGATTTTGATGATGCTAGTAATGATTTAATGGAAAGTAATTCAAGTTGCAGCTCTTTAAATAATTCTGAATGTACAAATAAAAATTTGTCGTTTTCTTCAATACCAATGAATATGATATCAGAGGATTATCATGGGTTTTCTGTGCAAGGTTCTAGTATTCCAACTATTCCATGTAACACAGGAGATTTTGCTTTTAATTTGAACGTGGAAGATAATTCTAATAAATAGTATTTTTTATCTTAAATTTAGTTAAATTTATGCTATCAAATAATTGTATATCTTGGAATTGTAATTACTTTTTATTTGCTAAAATATTATTGTACGGAAAAAATCATGTAAATATTTTATAACATATCTGTTTGAAAAAAAGTATAAATGAACTTATTTATAAGTAAGTCAATAAAGTAAGAGATATTTCTGAGAAGATCCCGTTTCGATCTTTTGTTTCTTTATTAAACTAGTTAACATAAATTTGAAATGCATAAAATTTAAAAATTGTAACTAAGTTTTAATTGAAAACTAAAACTTTTTTCTGGAAAGTCGTTAATTGCAAAATTTTTTGACTTAGTTTCATCTACCTCTATCTTGTTGACAGACACTTCTTGAAATTACATTAAAATTGATTTTCAATTAACGACTCGAATCATACAATCTGAGTACCCGAAATTCCCCGATCTTCTTTGTATGATGACGGCTGTGAACGATTTTATTATTAATGTAATAAAAAGCTGTTTCGAATTCTGACTAGTCGTTTCTAGGACTAATTCGAATGAAACAACAACCAATATATTTTGATATTATGATTGAGTTAAAAGTTTTTGGTGCTGAAAAATATTAAATTACAGTGGAAGTTTTTACCTTATGCGTGAAAAATCGTTAAATTGTGCCCGCATTCTACATGTTGTCTTGTTCATGAGTTTGTTTCATCTTCTTGCTTCAAAATTCTCTTATTGCAGGTTAATCAGTAAAACCGGCATCGCTCAGATTTTCGTAATTTATAAGTAGACTTCACCTCTGTTAACATTTGATTTGTTGCTTGCGAGCGTCTCAAACTCTCAACAGAAACCAGTGATACAAATGAATACCGATACTTTTTAGGGTTATTAGACGATGATCTACTAAGTCAACAAAACATCCAACTTCTAAGATCAGTAAACTTTGCAGAGCGGCAGCTATCATCTGTGATTCTGTAAGTACTTTGCATGGCGGCTCAATCTAGTTTGTAATAAAGCGGAGGCCAATCATTGTCGATTATTAAATTAATTTCCGTTGATAAAATATACTTGTTTTTAATAGAAAAAATGAAGAGCGTTCGTAAATTCACAGCTTAACAAATTCGCCTTACGAGTGAGTAAAATTACGATCGAAAATGTTGTGACAATTCTGCAGCTTCAAACTAGTGGCTTAACAACTAACACTAACTGGGTGATTCAAAAAACTTGCCAAAACCTTTCAGGTAAATTTATTTGAAACCATGCCAGAAACATAATAGAAACTTATAAGCTTTTCAACTCGCTAGAGATACTCGGGAAGTTTCATTGAACGTTATTTGAATAAGCTACCGGTAATTCCTCCTAAACACACGTGTAAAAGTTTCGACGAAACTTCCAAGATAAGGAATCTGACGCGGACAATTTCAAGTAATCTTCCTGCTAACTTTTCCGCAACCGTGCAGTAAACTTCATACTTTATTTTCCTGCATAATTTCTGAAAACATAATTGTACATTATGAAATTATTTACAACGAAAGTTTCCGAAGCATCATTTAGAAAATATCAATGAAGTCTTTCGAATATAAGTCTCTTTCAACTATTACACACGTTTTTATACAGAAGCCCGATTCCAGCGAAAAAGCTCCGGACCTACTCTGTTTTCAGGCTCACACTCTTTTTCGTTCTTTTATGTTATTCGTTGGAGCAATAAACAAAGAGTCGTAGAAATTTAAGCTATCTGTAGTTTAAATTTTAATAAGCGTTTGACACATTATTAAACATTTGAGACATTATCACTTAAAAAATAGTATTTATGATAAATTCAAATTATTTGAATAGATCTGACAGCGGTTGTGACAGAAACTGTTAATTGTCTCTGAAAGGATATTTATGTTAAAAAAATAGATTTTAAGTTAGTTTTTTTACAATTTTTTTATTCTATTTACAATATGTATCAAGTGTAACTAAAAGTTATTTTTAACATTTTTAAACTCATACTTATGTATAAAATATTTTCATTAAACAAAAATGTAAAAAAAGTTAATAATTTAAGATTTATATTTTACAATATACTAATACTGTATAACAAGTACAACAAAATCTCTTAATTCTACCGTTTTAAATATTTTTATCTTACAAAATTTTTTTTCAATTACAAAAAAAAAACAAATACTTTTCTCAAAATAATCTATTATGCAATGAAATGGGCATAGTTGAAATGCTAATTATGAGATGCTCTTTTACCATTCATATAGTCTATCCATCTCTCTGCAGTTGTTAAAAATATTGGATCATTATCAATTGTATTTAATAAAAGAAGTTGATTTACATGAGTCGAATGGTAATCCCATCGAGCAATATTAGGAGCTATTTTCAGTGTAAAATGTCTAAGGTCATATGTTGTTCCAGAGCCAGTGTCAAAAAGAGTAAGCATATTTTTTAAAGAGGTCATGCCTCTATTAAACAATTGTTCAGCATCTTTGGCATCTTTTCCAGATGCAACACTCTTAAGATCATACAGGCCAATCAGTGAATAAATAAAACCGTTAAGTATAAAAGATGCAGGAGTAGTTGGGTACTCTTCATACCACACATATTTATCTAAAAAATATGCTGCAACCCCGCCTTTTGCTGATAATACATGGAATGGTTGAAGTCCTCTAATAGCTGCTTCCAGATATTTAGTTTCTCCAGAATTATAAAAAGCTCTAGATAATACAGATAAAGCATGTCCTTGACCCATACTGGAATACCTGAAGAAAAATTATGTGAAATTTAGTATATATATTTATTACATGGAAAAATTTTAAAATTTAATTTATAAACATACCACCCAGGTTCAAGAATAGCCATACCATTGGCAACTTTTCGTTTAACAGGATTAGGCCATCCTCCAGAAGTAATATTCTGATTAGCCACAAACCATCGCGCTGCATCAAAAAATTGCTCCATATGTTCACTAGTAGATAGAGTAACATTATCTATCATACCTGAACCATTTAATATTATTCTAACAACTTTTAATTTCGATCTCAAAAGTTTTCTTTTTGTTTTATCAATAAAATTTAAACCCTTTTGTAAATCAATAATTAGATCCCTAGTTAAGCGTTTCCATTGATTATATACTTGTCCGATTCCATAGTATATATTATTATTGTTTGAATTCAAGACAATATTATTACTTATATAGTGTAAATAATAAGTATCTTTTCTATCTTTTAACTGTAATTCAACAGTTATACTGCTATTATCTATTAAGCATAAATCAAGCTTTAAAGTAAGTTTTAACATATAGTCCAAGTTTAGAGAAATACCAGAATCACTTGTTTCCAAAGACTCAAATTTGAACACATAACTATTAACTTGCCTATCATAAATCCTACTAACAACTGAACCATGAGGAACAAACCAATTTGGTTTAACAGTATCTGCATTTTCAATAACTATTTTTACAGATTCTGGTTCTGTAAGATTTTTACTATAATGGGATAATGCAAATTGTGCTATTTGAGTTGGGTAATAATAGCCTTGGCTTTCCCATTGAGTAGAAATTGGAACACCGTCAACGCCACTTATACATTTTACTCTTTCTCTAACTTCAACATTGTAATTTTCAAAAGTCATAAATACTCCTCTTGGATCATATTTCGTTTTTTGGTCAATAATTTTTGAATAGCTGTGATACCAATCAAATCTTGTTAATCCATCATTTGTTACTACTTTGCCATAAATCTGAAATGAGTTGAATTTTCAGTAAAATTATTAATTAAATTATCTAGTAATTTAATTGAAAGATCTAGTAATAATCAAATAATATTACCTCAAAATATTTTTTTAAAAAAGAAAATGGAACATAAACTTCATCTCCTTCTTTACGACAGCTAATTGTTTCTCTGCCATTTATCAAACATCCAATTTCTTGATAATTGAGATCATTAAAGTTATTCTAAAAATCAAATTTTTTTTATGAAACATTGAGTTATTAAATACGAAACATTGAGAGATTAAGTGCTATTAATACATTTACTTACTTTTTGTTGAATTTGTGATTTCCAAATTTTGTTATTTTTTATAAAAAATGTACTACATCGGTTCCATGATGTAAATAAAGAACTAAGAATTGCCACTAATACTAATAATACTAAAGTTTTAAAATTGACCCTCATCATCATGTACAACCTGTATTTTAATTGAAATTAATGTAATTATTGTAAGCATGAATGAATTTGTATTAAAAGTTTTATAGCTTACATTATTGTTAGATTGGAATTGCTTCAACAACTTTTGAGAAGAGTTGAAAAGCATTTTACCTTGACATGGCAAAAAGTCACAGCAATTGAACTCAAAAAAAGGCATAATCATAAAACTACAATAATGTTGCAACAACATCAATTAAGTACAATCCTGTAAATCTTCCACACAAGTTGCTGACAATCTCAAAAAAAAGTACAGTTAACATATTGATTGTAGAATATAAATGACTTGGATAGTTTGAAGTTATAACTATAAAAGACTCCAAGTCAAGTTCTACGTTTGGATACTTTAAAAATTGAATATTAAACTTTTTTACTGCATTAGTAACAATAAATATATTAAGTTGTAAGTAAGGTAAAGTGTTTTTATCCACATAGTATTCACGATTGACTTCATCACATAAACTAGTCTTCGGCTCATTCTTGGTTGTTACAATGCCATCTCTTGATAGGTAAGGATATTAACACACCGCCGGACTCCGGAGTGGCAACGCACTGAACGCACATGTTTGAGAATTGCTATGTTGACATTAGTCTGTCGTACATGATTCGATCGTTTACAAAGTTAACAAATTTACAATAATATTCTAAAATTTATAAATTTCTGAAACCAATATTGATTTAGTCATCATGAATAATGTTAATACAGACAATTATCAACCATGTCCTAACCTCACAAGCACATTCAAAACTCCTAGAGTTTATTGGTATCAAAACGATTGTGCAATTTTCATTCGTATTATGCTAGTTGACGTTGAAAAATATTACCTGAAAGTGGACTGCGATAGTTTAATATTTAGGTGAGACAACGAAAAAGTTTTCATTGTTTTTGTCTGTCCAAATGGTGTATAATTGTCACATGAAAGAACCCCAAAATACAATAACATCAAGAGATTTTGATTATGTTGTTCAAATGATTTTGAAATTTCAGGACTTCATGCAATGATCAAAAATATTTTTGGGGAATAAACTTATGTGGAACAGTGATTGCGGAAAAAACTAGTCATAAAAATGTTGGCAGAGAAATTAAAATATGTTTAATCAAAGCTCATAAGTGTATGTTTCCAAAATAGTTTATTTATCACAGATTTTCAAGCATAATAAATTAATTTTATGAGTAAATTTTATACAGGGAATGATTGGCCACGACTGCAAATGAATATGGAAAAAAATCAATTTATTCTTAGAGATCCTGACCATATTGTTAAAAAGAGCTGGGATAATCCTTACGCAAATGCGGGTGGTAATATTTTTTATTCTTGAAGTAATAACTGTTTTACAAATATTATGAAATTTTCATTTCACATTTATAATTACAGAGAGAGAAAGTTTTGCAGAATATAAGAAACGCATGAATATCACAAATATTGGTCCACCAGAATCATCTGATTCTGGTTCAGAATCAGACGATGAAAAACTCATGGGACATGATTTGAATGATTTTTGAACAAATTTTTGAGTAACGATATTAGTTTCTTAAAGTATATTTACTCGTTATACTTTTTACTTGAAATAATGAAAATAACTTATTTGATTATGATGTCAAAAAATATTAATATTAGTATAAAGTAAGAAGCCTTTGTTCTTAGTTTTATTTGGCTGTGTATTTTTCATGATGCATAAAAATATTTTTGTATTTTGTACTTTTGTATAAATAAGCATATCATGTTAAAATAACTGATTTTTGTTATTACCATTTGTACAAATTTATTTTTTAATTTAAGGAAAAATATGATTTATAAGAAAATTGAACAATGTCATTAAAAAATTTATAATTAGATACAACCAAACTTTTTTCCACATTATTACACATAGTTACACATTTACTAGAACTGCATTGTAGAAAAAAATTGAATGTAATTAAATGAATACTTGTCGATTATTCTTTTTGAAAAAAGTAATAAAGTGACTTATGGCAAACTATTTTACACTAAAAATCTAAACAAAATCTCGACGAGTGGATTATATTGATCAACTTATCATTGGATACTCTTTACCAAAAATGCGAAGCTTAAGTTTCCAAATTCTGATTGTATTTCGTACCGATGTGCAATATAATATTACAAAAAGCAAATTCGTGTTACAATTTGAAACAGAATACTACTTTTCTTCATACCTTGACCGAAAGTAAAATTTCCCTCTCACTGCGCGGTCGGGAAATTCGACTTTCATGCCAAGGTATGGAAAAAAATCGTATACACAACACGGGAGACACTCTTTACTTTTACTCCATTGTAATTGTAATATTTATTAACCAATCGGAAGTTTAATTTCGTTGATCCTAATTCTTAAACATATTGTTTCCGTAACACCATTCCTCGTTGTGTCATATTATGATTATATCTATAAATCATGACGATCCATTTGGATGAGAATTTGATTTCGGTGGATGCATGGATTACGCATTTAAATGTTTATTTTTACTTTTGCACGCATTTAGTAGTGATGAAAGAATTGGATTATATTTTTGTAGTAATTATGATACTATTTATAACTTTATCTTCGATTCAGTAAAGATTATTTTTCAAATACAGAGCAATTTGAAGTAATTTGATAAAACGCGACGAGTGAACAAAACCGGTTGATCTTTTCAAAACTTGTCTATCTCTCAGCGCGCCGTAGAATCATTTTTTACCTTCATTTATTTTTTAGCGATAAAATAATTTATATGAGAAAATTTATAAGAGGGAAATATTTACAGAAAAATGATTGTTGTTCGTTATAGGCCTATGAATAAAGTGATTTCTTCAATAACACGTGATGCCTTATTACTATTTACTAATTTAGTAAGTCTGAATTTTCATTTCACGATTTGTAAATATTATTTAATTCATTATAACAGAAAGACCAATCGTTAACAGATCTACAAGCTAGCAAGATGGAACTCAGTAAAATGTTTAGCTGTGTCGTCAAGTAATTTTGTTTACATGAGAATAAATTTAAAAAAATATTATAGCACAATACTCAATCTTATAACTATTTCAGGGTAAAAAAAGAACCCATTGGATCGCTTATGGAAAATGAGTACGGTATTATTGACAAGACTCTCGATGTAAAAAGTGCTCGATTTTTCAGATGTCCGCAAGATAATCTAGTAAGGGGATAATTACATGCTTTTATTTTGGAAACATTTATGTATAACAAAACTTTAAATTAGTTTTATTTTATTCAGATTCACATGCTTCAAAAATCTGACGAAAATCATCAAGGTAATCTTGATGAGGTGAAAATCGAGTTTGAATGTAAGGACATGAAGCCCGACGTGAATTTATTAGTGGTTACAAAAATTGAGGATTGTTTACAAAATAATTTTCAGGATTTGAAAAATAGCAATATTGATCAAGTTCAAAACAAAATTAAAGTAGAAACTTTGGGAGCAGTAAAAAAAGAATCTATCGTAGACGGCGCAAAAAAATTGAATATGGATTTCGACTGTGGTCTCAGCGAGCCAAGAGAGGAAAACAGTGTCACAAAAGAGTTGACCGATAACTATAGACTTGAAACGCAAATCATAACAACGCGTAGTGGTACTGGCATTGCTTGTGATGCATGTGGAAAGTCATATACATGGAATAAAAGTCTCAAAAAACACATCGATTCGGTGCATAACAAAATCGCACACGCATGTGATACATGCGGCAAGAAATTCACAACTAAGAGTAGTCTCAAAATCCACATCGATTCGGTGCATCATAAAGTCACTCATGCATGTGATATTTGCGAAAAGTCATTTACTGATAAAAGTAATCTCAAAAAACACATCGATTCGGCGCATGTTGGTATCGCCCATGCATGTGATACATGTGGAAAAAAATTCACACAAAAGAATACTCTCAAAATGCATATAGATTCGATACACAATGGTATCAAACATTCATGTGATTTATGCGGAAAAATGTTTAATCAAAAGGGTCTTCTCAAAAGACATGTAAAATCTTCTCATGAGGGTATCACCTATGCATGTGATATATGCGGAAAATCATATGCACAAAAAGGTGATCTTAAATTCCATGTCAGGACGGCACATGATGGTATTACTTGCACATGCAAATTGTGCGGAAAGACGTATTCAAGCAATCGTTATCATAAAATCCAAATGAATGCTATCCATAAAAATATCACGTACGCATGTGATGTATGTGAAAAAAAGTATAAGAATCAAACTAGTCTCCGGCAACATGTCAAATCATCGCAACTAAATAATACCCACGCATGTAATAAGTGCGGTAAGTCATTTTCACAAAAGAAAAATCTCAAGGCCCATGTCGCTATGGCGCATCACTGACGAATTATCTGATAAACGTAACAATTTCAATATGTCAAATTTTATCAAAAACCACGATATATGATGTAGTATAATTATTTAGAAGACTAATTCAGCGTTCAAGTCTTGAAAAAATGAATACATTTATTTGTAGAAAAGTAAATATACTTAATAAATTGAATCGATTGAATAAATATATCCAATTTTACAGTTTTCGCAGGATACGCACGAGTTACGTGCCAAATTAATTTTATATAGCTCTTTTATTCGTAAATGGCTTTGTCACATTTTTTGAAGAGAGGATCCGTATAGAGTTATAAGAATTTCCCAATGCGTTTGATATTGACATGTGAGCTAAGCGAATAAAAGTTTTAATCGAACGAGTTCGAACCAGTATGAAAATAACTAAATTCTGTAGTGACAAAAGCTATTTCAAATTTCATAAGTATTCATTTAGCGAAAGGGACTGAATCCAAAATCAGTCACGTTGCATACCATAGACTATGGACCTTCCAGTGCAAACGCCCACATGGAGCGCCAAATTTTGGTCCGCGCACCAATAACTTTATTTGCTCCTGATCACTTAGCTCTTATTCGTAGTCCTAGTGCTTGCTGCAATTATATTCATGAATTCAAATGTGAATTATTGATACAAAAGCAATCGATTTATTTATTTTTTCCTGTTGATAATTAATCTTGATGTATCCGATGAACTTGAGCAATAAAATATATAATCTTTAAATCATTGGTCTCTTAATTTAATCAACTGAGCTGACAGAAATTTCAACGAGAAATTCAAAGCGAGATTGTCAATGTTAAATTTCACGATTATCTCCGAAAAAACAAAAAGAAAAAAATAGGTAATGAACTTCTACTCCTAGACCGTTAATGCAAAAAAATTAAATGAAAATCAAAAATAACTATTTTTATGACTAAACATCAAATTTTAGTTAAATTATTTACTTTATAAACAACGCATCAAGTCAATTAATTAGATTTTCATTGAATTGAAAAATAATTTGAAAAATGAGCAAATGATCTGTTTATTTTATAATATTTAAAAACGCATGATACTGAAATTAATTAAAAACTATATTGGGGAAAAAATATAGATTTATTCGTTTTTTAACCCAGTTTACATCGAACATTGTGACCTTTGACTTCAGATAGCTTCACCTATAAATGTAAATCTAGTTTCGTAGAAATTGTAATAAGCATTATTATATCATCCTTGGATTTTTGAATCAATTTTTTAATAGTATTTGAAATGATAAAAATTATACTTTTATAAAGTAAATTTTGTCGCAAAATCGACCACGTAGGAAAAAAAGATTGACACTCTTTACAAACAAACGCATAAAAATCACAAATAAATAATTACTGTAATTTATTAAACAATAGCGTGAAAATAAAAGTAACATTGTTTTTTTTTTATATATATATTTTTATCTGCTGCTGCTGAGCTGATAAACGACAGAGAAAGAGAGAGCACATTTAATGCCCGAGAGATAGGTGAGTAAAAGGAGATATTCAATTCATTCGCTGCTTCCGCAATAATAGTAGGTTCATTTATGATGCTTTGCATCAAGCTCTCGTGTGTAGCAGAGCTTTGATTATTATATATATATTTACTCGAGGCGATAACATGACGTAGGAAAGTTCGCTCCGAACGTGGTGTACAATAAATATATGGTTCATTTACCCATCGCCGCATATAGTAGTAGTCGTCGTCGACGGAGCGTAAGTGTATACAGCGTGCGTAATTTGTAAATATAGATAGGTACACGCCGAAGGCAGAGTGCCCGCTACAGTCGCTATATACAGTAGCAGTGGAGTGTTAGTAGTAGTAGTTAACGTCCGCGTAGGGCTTAAACGAGAGAGGGGGTTGAAAAATAAGTAAAAGAGAAAAAAACAACGGCTCTCTCTACTCCGCTGATCGTGTGTGCCGTGTTCTTAGCTGCGCGTGTTGGAGCTGCTGCTGCTCTCCGATCGCTGCACACCGAACGGCAGCAGTCGCGAACACGACTCCACGTTTAAACGACTCGTGGGTTTTTTTTTCTGCCTGCCTGCAAAATTTCTCCCGCTTTTTTACCCTCCGACAAATCCAACTCCACCACGACTGGATCGACGCGACGGCGCGCATAGTGCTGCGGAGCACGGAGACGATCGCAGTAGTGGCTATAGAAACACTACCACCACCGCTGCTGCCACTGCTGGTCTGGCTATATATATCGGTGCCCACTGCGACTCTTAATATACGTCTGTCTCTGTCTTTCTTTTGTTCGACTGGGCACAGACTGCTGCTGCTGCTGCTGCTACTGCTGCTGCTTGTGCGCCCTCTCTCCCTCTAACATGGGGTCGATGAAAGCAACGTGAAGTTGTGCTGGCCCAGAGAAGGACGTTTTGGAGACGGTAGTCTCTTGGTAGTGCATTGACAACGAGTGTGTTTTAATTTTTGCGCTTCGAATCTAAGTCGTAAGTTTGAATTTATTACTATATTGACAAGTGTCAGCGATGCTGGCCATTTAAAAAATAACAATTAATCTCTCGCTCTCTCTCTCTCTCGCTTTCGCGACACACGATATTACTGACTGAAAACATCCCTATTCCTAGGAGATTGAGCAACGAGGCGATATTAAGTTAATTAAATTTTATCACACACCGAGAGAAAATAATCACTCACGAATAGCAATAATGTCATTTGCAATCATATTTTCATATCTCTTTTATTCATGCTCCCTTCGTGTATACGCTAGTGCGATCGATAAAATCGTAGTAGTTGCGAAGCTACTTAGTATTAGTGCAAGTATTCGCACGACCGTACGAAGTTAACCACAACCCGAATAGAGTTTCACATTTTTGCCCCCTCACATGGTGGATCCGAACGAATCCTTTTTTCGACGCTCAATTTTGTCAAAGTACAAAAATAATCGCGTGATTGTTTTGCATATTTAATCCAGATCATCTATACATGCTAGAAAAAACTTTTTTTACTCTTTGACACTGCTGTCTATTTATGCATTATCAATATATCATATCATTTGAGAATACGCAACTGCGCTTTATTGCTCACACTCGCGTACTACTTCCCCTCCGGAGAAATAAATATGAATAAAAACATTTACATATCAGGGGCGTCCGCACATCTATACTTTTAATCGATGGGTCACATGCTAGTTTATGTGCATATTCGACGCATGAATCATTTAAATCTACAAACAATAATTTAGAAGTGTACTTTTCAACGGGAAATTTTTTTCAACAACTTTCGCAAAATTATTAATAAAAAAGCGTTAAAATTTACGAATCAAGTCTCATGAATAATATCGAATTTCGTTAAAAAATAATTCGACAAACATTTTTATTAGGGGAAGGTTGTCATTTTCGCCAGTAAAACTTTACATTACACACATCGAACATATTATTTGAGTTTTCCGTTTTCCTACATTTAAAATACATTACGCGAATGAATAAATGAAAAATTATTCTTTTTGTAATGACGACTCTTGGCCGACCAATAATTTGATGATGAATAATTAATATGTTTTAGCCACACAACATACTTCACCATGGGGATCAGATGCGCGCTTTTTATCATCGCGACTGTCAGTTTTATATTAGTTCTAAGTTTAGGTTCAAGACTTGGGTTCCTTAATAAATTCGTACAGATTCTTTTAGCAACCGCCATTTTACCACTAATTTGGAGTTGGCACCGAAAAATCTATATAATTCTAAGGACACTGCCAAGAGATATCAAGTAAGTTACTTCAAAAATTTCCTTCAGATGTTTTGATCGAATTTCCATTCGAATAATAAGTGCGAGCGCCGATTTCATAAAACTTGTTTATCGAATTATGGACCCTTTAATGGATAAAATTTCTTAATGCAAAAAAATTTGTGTTTGTTACATATATCCATGTCTAATTTTTCAATCGATATAATTCAAAGTACTTGATAATAATTAATTGAATTAACGAGCGCATTTACTACGTAGTCTTATGATGTTACCGATTGTTACCACGAAGTTGGTCAATAAGAACTTGAGCTAGCTTACGACTTGTAATTATTACTTTTTTAAAAATTAAAAAGTTAAGATCGTTATGAAAATCTATCAATAAAAGCAATACTTTACCAAGTACAGAGATGCAGAGACATCTATAAACCCAAAAGCGTACTATATTAAGCATATTTGTTTAAATTATACGCATAATTACGCATATTTTTACAGATTTCTTTACCGTTACATAAACGCTGATCGAGAAACTCGATATTATGCAAAGAACAATTTAACAGTAATGAAACTTTTTCAAAAAAGAGCTCAAATTGATCCACAAAAAACTTGTTTTATTTTCGAAGACAAAGTTTGGACCAATTTAGACGTAAGTAATCGATGTATTATCGATTTGCAATGTATATAATATGTTTATAATTGCAAATTTTATACCATTGCAGATAGACAGATACAGCAAGCAAATAGCATCGGTATTTCAACGCGCAGGTTATGTCAAAGGAGATGCAATCGCATTATTTATGCCTAATAAACCAGAGTACGTGGCCACTTGGCTCGGATTGGGAAAACTTGGAATTGTGACCGCCCTAATAAATACGAATTTACGACTTCAACCACTCGTGCATTGTTTGACTGTTGCTAAAGTGAAAGCAATCATTTATGCTGCTGAGCTTAGTGCTGGTTAGAGATTTTTTCAAATAAAATTAACTTTGCTGTATTTCTGATTTTTTTGTTCGAACTAAATTTAAATTTTGTTTTTTCAATATTTTTAAAGCTGTCGAAGATATTCTCCCTCAACTGAAGAACATAGAGCGTTATAAGCAAGGGTGCAGTACCCTTCACAAAGATGATACTAAAAATTTAGACTTAATGATCTCGCAAGCCAGCGATAATGAACCTACTGTTACAGAAGTGCCAGGTTACAAAGATAACTTACTCTATATTTATACTAGCGGAACTACTGGTTTACCAAAAGCAGCACTATTTCCCAATTCAAGGTCAGTTCTTTTTTATACCATCTTTCTTTGAGCCATATTTTTTTTATACGCTTTCACGAAGGTAAATCAATTTAATGAAAATGATGAGCTGCATATCTGTATGAGATTAAATATTTTATCGTGTATCGAGGAGCGCATATAGCGCCTCGAATGATAACGGACGAGTTGCGACGCGTACACTTCTAACTTATAAACACGAAAATCGGAAAAATTTATATGAATTTGCCGAAAAATATTCTTGTATTTAAATTAACTAGTCATAAAAAGAATTAATTTGTTTTTTATTCACAACAATAGGTATCTGCTTGTACAAACAGCTACTTATCATATGCTTGGGCTAAGGCAAGGTGATGTTATTTATAATCCCATTCCACTATACCATATGTCTGGTGGAATAGTAGGCACTGGTTGTGCATTAATAAAAGGTATACCTAGTGTTTTAAGGACTAAATTTTCGGTTACTACTTACTGGATGGATTGTATTAAATATAAGTGCACAGTAAGTTAGAAGATATTTTTAAAAATAACCGATGCTAGGATAATGTACTAATGAAATTATTCATAAAGGTATCTCAATATATTGGTGAAATGTGTCGCTATCTTTTATCGGCACCGCCAAGGCCTGAAGATACTAAGCATCCAGTTAGACTAATGGTTGGAAATGGAATGCGACCGCAAATATGGGAAACTTTTGTAAATAGATTCAAAATTCAACAAGTCAATGAAGTTTATGGTTCGAGCGAAGGAAACGCTAATATAAGTAAGTCTCAATAATTTTATTACGTTTTTTATTTTATGAAAAATCGTTACCATGATTTTAGTTAATGTCGATAACACTGTCGGCGCCGTTGGTTTTGTACCATCAATTTTACCACAATCTCTTCACCCTGTTGCAATTATTCGTATCAATAATGATACAAACGAACCACTTAGAAACGAGGATGGTTTTTGTATACGAGCGCAGCCCAGTAAGTTGTTCAATCGAACATACATTTTTTGCGCTTGCACAACACTTACTAATGTCTTTTCTAATTTTATAAAGATGAGCCAGGCATGCTCATAGGACTAATAAAGCAAGGCAATGCTTCTAGAGAGTTTAATGGTTATTTGGATAAGGAGGCCTCAAGAAAAAAAATCATTGAAAATGTATTTGTTAATGGAGATAAAGCTTTTCTAACAGGTGAGTTTGACATTCCTTTTTTTTACGTTCAGGAAATATCTAAGCCCGGCAAAAATGATTATTTTCAAACACTTTTTTTGAGATTAAAGTACAAAGATTTGCTGTTCTCTTAAAATTTGATATTCATTCAGCATAAGTTATACTGTTTGAGAATCATGATTTTCTTCAAATATAAATTTAATTTATGAAGAAAATCAATTTTTTTTCAGCCAATTGATTAGCTAAATTATAATTTTGAAACATAATAATTATTATGTTTCATCGAATGTAAATGTTATTATTATATGAAAATGATTTCTTTCAGGTGATATACTAGTTCAAGATAAGTACGGCTACTTTTATTTCAAAGATAGAACAGGTGATACATTCCGATGGAAAGGAGAAAATGTGGCTACAGCCGAAGTAGAGGGAGTTGTGAGTAATGTTGCAGGGCATCGTGATACTACAGTCTATGGCGTGCAGGTATAAAATGCTTGATATTTTTTTATTTTTAAGGGGATATTAAACGAAAGCATAGGTAAAATTGAAAATTTTCAAACGTGTTAAATTTCAAAAAACTTGTATGATTTATTACGACACAATAGTTTCTGTAAACCATTTTTCGTATTAGAAGTGGGTAACTTTTTGCGTTATTTATTTTTCCGGATGTTCCTACTTTTCTTAAATATGTTCATTACTGGTACTATTTAAAGTGATTTCCAGAGGGTGCACACCTTTTTGAAATATCAATGGCTATAATCACAACATTGGGTTAAATTATCACCACGACACAACTCGTTTGTTCGATCATTTCGCTCTGAGCTACGGCCTTAAGCATTGATATTTCACAGAAATGACATAATCTGTGGATTCGGTGTGGATTTTACATGGAAAGTACAAGGATTCCATCTGGGATCTGCATGGATCGTTTTTGTAAAAATCTGCAAAGATTTGTCGGTTATATCTTGAAAACTTAATTTCACGCTCGTATACCTTTTCAAGGAACTACGAAAATCGAAACAATAGAATCTATACACTTTCCACGCAAAATCCACGTTGAAACTGCGTGGATAATCCACCTGTAAATCCATGCAATTATTTCGGCTGAGAAGTTACGACAAATGAACGAATTTAAAAAAAAAACATGAATTGCCAGAAAATATAAACGAATAAAAAAATCAACGAAGTAATTGTTCGGAATTTTTTTATGGAAACTCTTTATTAGTGAGTAATACGAATTTTCTAATATTGAAAAAATCCATTGAAAGGTCCAGAAAAATTCTATGAAAATTTTTATATGGTTGTAAAGTGCCATAAAAATATCATCATTAAAATTAAACGTTACTTCCTATATCTAAAATTAAATCTCACGCAGGTACCCGGCATGGAAGGTCGAGCTGGTATGGCCGCAATTGTGGATCCTGAGAGTTTATTGGATTTCAAAGCTCTTGCAGAAGGATTGGATAAATCGCTACCGTCCTATGCGCGTCCAATATTCCTTCGCATAGTGAAAGAGCTTGAACTTACCAGCACTTTCAAGTTGAAGAAGTTCAATTTACAGAAAGAGGGTTTCGATCCCAATAAAATTCAAGATAAAGTTTACTTCAGAGCTGGTAACAAAGAGTATGTGGAAGTTACTCCCCAATTGTACGAAGATATAATATCAGGTACAGCAAAGCTATAAAGTGCAAAGACTACATTGCGATCTACGAAACTTTCGCTTGCTGGCGGGCGACTTTGCACTTCAATGAAAGCAAACCATTAAAATGAAAATGTTTTTATGGGTATTTTAAGATTCACACGAGAAATGATGATGGTTTCAAATATGTAATATAGTTAACAAATGATAAACAAAACTATTCGATAGATGAGAAAATAACAACATCGAATGTAGAAGTGTATTTTTTGATTAAGTACCTGTGAATTACAATGGACTTTGCATTGTTGAGGTACTTTACAAATACTTGATCAAGCAATGCAATTCAACACAGAGCCATAATTTTAGTTCTTATTAAATAATTATTTATCCACAAATTAGTTACATTTGACCGCTTTTCGTTGACGATGTAAATTCTAAATTAAATATTGATCTTTATAGCTAAGACCTCGTCAAAACGGTACGATTTCATAGAAACCGAATACTCAAATCTTTATTAATTAGTATAGTACAGAATTCACATGCTCTTTAAACTTTTGTAAATTATTCGCTCACTTATGCTTGAAATGTTTTTAATATTTTTCATAGTTTTACTTATCAGTGCTTGATTCTAGAATTTAAAGTTCAATTACCATAAAATTTAAATGTATAAATTAAAAGCTTCGATTTGAATGTTTTTTTTTGATAATTAAATTTATCTGAATTTTACTGAATTATCGACGAATTTCTGATTTTATGTCGAGTCTCCTACGCGAACAATCACAAGTAATTTATAATAAATACTAGATCTTACAAGTAATACGTACAAACGTACACTATAATAATCGTCTGAGCATTATATAAATTAATTTTGTACAGCTATTACCAAAAATTGAGAAATGTGCGCTCCTTATTTCTTTGTTCTGTAAACAATTAATATTTGATTTTATATGAAATTTAATGCAAAATGAGTTCATACATTTTTATCAAATGAACAATTTAGGCTTAAATAATGCTTTTTTTAATAAGTTATTTACGCTAATATTATTTAGTAGACCACATTGAAATGAGTTCATGAAATATATTTTGTTTCAGCAAATCATTAGAAAATTTATCGAAATTTGAATGTACTTAATTGGTTATAGCAATTCACTTATACCTACATAAACATAAAAATGAATTATTGTTTAATTATTCCTGCATAATATAAATAACCAATAGATTATGAAATTCGTTTGCAGGGTTAAAACGACATCAAATTTGATTAATAATTAAAAATTTGTTACCTAATAAAATAAATAAACTGGATTTTTTCAGTAAAATAAAACAGTTATCAAAAATTATTTCGAAACTTCTAACAATTTATTATTTTCTCTTTTAATTTTCTTTGGCCAAATTTTTTTTATAACTGATCAATTATTTCGAAAAATGAGGAATTCAATTGAATCATTATTACATTCATCAGTAACCAATAGAAATGAAAGTGCTTACCAATATTAGGAATTAAAATAAAAGAGCTTCATACTTTAAAAAAAACTTATTTGAAATGTACAAAGAAGTAGATTACGGGACATGTAAAAAAGGGACAAGTGGTTTATTACTCAGCTTTGCCTCGGTCTATAATTTATGTGATGTGAGAAATTGTTTTTTTTTTCACTTTTTCACCTTCCACAATGTGTATACTACTTATTTTGAGTGACTCAGCATGCGGCCAACAATTACTCGTGCCCTGGGACTTTTCTGATTTTTTTGACCCAGGGCAGTAGAAGCATATTTCATACCCAGTGTCCCGACAATAGCATTCTTGCTTTAGACAGTAAATCAGTCACTTCCAGACCGCTGGGATAAACAACATTTTATTATTATTTTTTTCAATTAAAAATAAGGAAATGGTCACATTTATACCGGCACCTAGATAGTAATTCATGTTACGGGCGTGATTTTGCTTATTCATCAAAATGAGGCATTACGACATTAGTTGGTATTTATTTCGAAAATAAAAAATCAAAAAAATAGAAGAATAAAGAAAATAAATAGTAAAAAGTCCTTTAAAAAAACAATATAAAAATTACTGCAATTTTTTTTTCATCGCAGTATATTAAAAATAAGAAGTACAATTTAAAAGTTTTACACGATTGAAATGCGAAAGTATTTATAACTATCACGTCTTTGTAAAATGATAATCTTTAATTTGCAGTTGATTAATCTAATAAATGATTTAGATGCGCTTATAACCTTTTTCTCAAAATCGTAATTATTTCATTGAATGTATCGGAACATTTAATTTGTATAAAATGATGTCTATAGAAAATTGTACTTACAGATGGCAAAAACAATTTAATCAAAAACGGAAAACCATTCTAAAAATAAACTGTCTCTCGGAGTTTATGTTTGAATTTATCAAAAAAATCCTACCTGACAAGCTTGATGATTTATTCATTATTCTAAGCAATCCAAGTATTTTCTAATGAATTTTAGGGAATTTTTGTTAATTCAAGTAAATAGTCGTTGCTAAGATGTGATTGGTGACCATAAGTATTAAATTCACGAAAAACGATATACACTAATATTCGTTCGATCGCCAATCGGTCGCTAACAAGATATTATATTAACCCTTAGCTGTCGATCGCGATTCGCATAACTGCTGATATTATGCAGATAACGTGCTCCGAAGTTGATTGGCTATTTCAGTATCCGCAAAATTTCAAATCTCTGCCAACTGGTTTCTGCGCTTTGTGAACGCACCCTTAATTTCTTTGACGCATGATCGTCCTGTACAAATACACTCAGACCAGAAGTGCTAAGAAATAAACAAGGGACGGTTGTAAGTCAACTCAAAATAGAAACGTCAATGCAAAGCATTGCCAATGTTATCAGTTAAAATGTTACTTTTTGGTGTTTGATTGACTATATTTTATACTATGTTTGCACAAGATTAATCAAATTAAGATTTTTATGCAAGTTTTATACATTATAACGAATCAACAATTGAAGTTTGAACTTGTCAACAAACATGGCTAATAATTATGATGACACTGTGGCTTCAGTAAATTGCTTTGAAATGTAAGTTATCAAAACATTTTTGAACTATAAAATGTATTATCTTAATGTTATCCCATAAGAAAATGCTAAAACTAATAATGATTCCTGCTTTATGTCTCATTGCTCCTATTCACTAAACATTCATAACCAACAATTGATGAAAAAATAGCTCTTATGTTCATGTTTAAAAAGTTGTAAAATGATCCACACCATTTATATTAACTTTCATCTTGAATTTGGTAGCAATTTCTACAATTTATGTTAGTTATGACTGAAAAATAAAATTAGAATTGATTTATTTATTATGAATATTTTTTTCATATGAGTCAACAATAAGAATATTACAAATTTTTACAATTACTTTTCTTAGAAGCATTCAATAACATTAATAATGATTCCAAAAAATTGAAGTGCAATGTTTTTATGAATAAATATTGGTATAAAGGGTTCTTCACGGTATTAAAACAAAACTGTCTATTTTGTACTACATAAGTTATCATATAAATTTGAACAATACATCACCTAATGATTGTTTGTATGATTTTTAAGGACCAATGCACCAGCGGCAAACTTTACCATGGATCAAACTACGCTACATATGAATGGTAAGAAATAAGTTTATAGTAAAAATTCAATTTTAGTTAATCATGTTGCAATATATAACTTTAATACAACTTAAAGTCTTAAGGTTTCACAATTAAAAAACTTATGCATTTTGATGAATTGATAACATTAATTATTTATATTGTATTATAAATCAGATAATACTTTGTTACCTGTATTTGAAACTAACAAAATAAACCACAAAATCATTGATCGATTTGTATACATTAGTTTTTGTTTTATTTTTTAATATGTTTTGAAAGCTGATATATTTTGTATTTTTTTATTTAAAATATTTATAAAAGAATAAACCTATTCAGTAAAATTAGCAACCGAATAATTATACTTGAAAAGAATAAAAGAGCATAGACTTTCTTGTTTTAAAATAAACATACAAATGAAGTAATAATGAAACTTATCACAGACAAATACATACGCTTGTTATTAAAATTTTATAATTTTTTTTCATGTTACTGGCACAGAAAGTATTTCAAAATCTCCCAACAACTTAGTATCAGCTGGAGTCAATATAGCTAACCGACAGGGCATTGGATCAAATGGTAGAACAATGAAAGAATGTGAAGATCAACTAGGGTATCTTAAAAAAGAAAATTTTGACCTCAAACTACGCATATATTTGCTACAAGAAAGCAAAGGAATTCTTTCTGATGAAAACATGATGAAGAAAAATATTGAACTTAAAGTAAGTATTCCTATCATTTCCTTAAAATTTAAAAAGACTGTGCATCCTTTGATCACAAATTTTTAATATAAAATATGATCAATTTAAGTTTGAATATTGATTTTTTATTACGATTTATTAATTTTATATAAATATTTGCATTTTAAGATGTTTCTATTAATTGATACCAAAGAATATAATTTTTATCATTTTTACTAATGCGTGTGAGAATTTTTCAACCCAAAAAAGACCCAAAAAATAAATAATTTTTCTAGAAATACTAGTAATGGATACAATTAAATCTTTTATCAACTTATAAAACTACTTATCATGTGCTCACTTTTGCATGAATTTTTGTTGTTTTGATTTGACTTTTATAGAAAGTAAACAATAAGCCCTATTTAAGAAACTCATTTACGAGTATTTCAAGATAAAAAATTTTTTTTTAAACATATTTTTATCATAAATTATTTGTTAAATTGTAGATAATAAAAGATAAATCATTTGAAATTAATTTCAAGACAACATTTATTATAATTAATAAGGTTGATAGTTTTTTATATGTTATACAATTCTAACCAATTAGATATACATACAGATGAATGTATCCTAAAGGATGACTAAATGTTGGAAAAATTTAAATTTATCAAACTATCTAAGTAGCGTGAGTATATGGAGATGGTCGGTAGTGTAGAGATTGTTTTTTTTTTGTATCGAATTTTTATGTCGTCATAGTAGTCGTAGTGATTTAGCAACAGTAAGTAAACAAAATCTTAAACCGGTGCATCTGTTTTTCAGTAGTATTTTCAGAAAAGATTTCGTTATACGAAATCAAGCAATGAAATATGTTTATTGTCGTCATCCATCGTCGTTTTTAATTTTGAAAAAAAAACCCAATTTTTTTTCAAAAACTTTTGTTATAACGATGAAAATCTTAAAAAAAGTTCAAAAAATTTTTAAATTTACGTCAAACCCACAGCCTCAAATTTTATATATGTTACCGGCAAAACCCGCTTTTAGGCAAAAGTGACTTTTGCCTTGGCAAAAACAAAAATGCCTAAAATTTTAGGCAAAAACCGCAATGCCTAAGCAATTTTAGGCAAAACCCGCAATGCCTACAAAATTTTAGGCATTACTGTAAACAATAACACGTTAGTATACAATTAGTCAGCATCTAAGCCGGACTTATTTGTTAGTTTTGTTTATAACCCAATATGGATACAAGCTTATAATCTCACTAGTTACTTAACTTAAAGTAAAGTAAAAATGGAGATTGAAATCGATAATTGGAAAAATCAGTTTGTTGCCGAGGCTAACGAAAAAGAACATTATAAATGTTATAAATACCGACTTATCTTCAAGATCAAATCAGGTAGTAGCATTAATGTGTCCAGTGCATATTGCAACAGGACATGGTGGGCGCGATAGGCTTTTGAAAGAAACATCGATGAAGTATTTCAACTTTATAAGAGAATTGATTGAGTTATACTTTAAAATGTATGAAGTCTGTCACCAGAAAAAAATAAAGAGAAGAAGGGGGTTGGTATCCAAACCAATTTTCCATTCAGAAATGAATAGTAGTTGCCAGGTGGACTTAATTGACTTTCAATCATCAAGTGTCGATGAGTTTAAATTGATAATGGTATACCATGACCATTTGACGAAATTTGTAGTTCTGAATACATTAAAAACAAAACTTTTGTATTCAAATAAATGCGTATTTTTTGACTTTACATTAATTTTTTACTTAAAATTATTAGCTCGCAGTAATGCCTAAAATTTTTTAGGCATTTCGGGTTTTGCCTAAAAAATTGTAGGCATTGCGGGCAATGGCTAAGATTTAGGAAATTCATATATTTCTGCGATTTTTGCCTAAAATTTTAGGCATTTCTGTTTTTGCCTAGGCAAAAGTCACTTTTGCCTTAAAGCGGGTTTTGCCGGTAACATATATATTGCACTAACTTTTATGTTCGAAAAGCACCTATGATCTTCTCGCGCGTTACGTCATGTTCAAAGTATCACTTTCCGCACACTGTAATAAAAAAATTAGTAGTATTTTTTTGTCAAGTTTTATAAATAACCACAAGATAAATATTTAGAATTTTGGGATTAATTATGCACTGAATTTTTTGATTTTTCAAGGTTGAAAATGAATCTTTACGAAAAGAACTTATTGAAAAGCAAGAACTTTTAACTCAAGCAGCAAAAGCTATCGAACTAATTGAAGATCAAAAACAAATTTCTACTCAGAGCCAAACACATTACCATCAAGCTTTAAAACGTGAACATGATAAAGCCGAAAAATTGGAACAAGGTAAGCACTTAAAGTAATAATTTTTCCTTCTTCAACTTTATAGCACTAATTGGCATAAGTTTACAATTATGATATGCTTTTCTGTAGCAAAATTTGCACTTAACATACCCCACACTGAGAATGAAATCTAGTAGGGTTGACTACAGAGCCATAGTAGAATCTACTAAGGTAGAAAAGTAGTTGCGGCTCGATTGATTCTATTGGATACTTTGGTAGAATCTACCCAAGTATTTAGTATTTACGTGTACGTAGTTGGCCTGCACTTGCTGTACCGTGTACTCACCTGATTTCGTGGTATCCAAAGTTGAAACTTATAATTCGGGAAAATCGCGCATAATTCGATATCGAGCAAAAGCCGGTTATTACTCATAAACAAGTTTTTCACCTGTAACTACCTAGAGTATACGTTTTGACGCTCAAAACTTCATCTCAGACAGGTGCTGAGATAAAAGATCTGACAATTGATACCTAAAATCTTTTTCGAGACCGACGAATGAGGTGGGAACTTTATCTAATTATTTCAAAGAGACAGCTGAATTTACAGTACAGCCTGCGGGCATGCCCACTTCGTTTGCCTCTGGCTTGTGAATCGGTTGTGAACCGCTTCTGTCTTGTGATCAGTTAGCTGCTATAATATGCTCTTTCGATATTCACTTCACAGCGACCAGACTCTATGTATTTCGCGATATTTATCTTCTCCGTACAAGTCTCTTTACTTTGATGTGCATTTTTAAAAACCTCAATCATTTGACGATCAATAAGTGATTTTATAGGTAGCCGTACATTACCATTGAAGGTGCAATTGTCTTGTAGCATTCCCTGAAAAAGACATTAAGGACGTTGTGTTGTCTAACAACTGTGTTCCTTAGCAGCACCTTTCTTCAGTAGGAGGTAAATATGGATATTCAGAGGCTGTGGGATTCCTTTTATTGCAATTGCCTTGCGCAAACTAGCAATGCAATCAAATTTTTTCCCTGGATTGTTGATGCTGATTTCCTAAACAGACAAAATAAAACATTATAACCTCGTAAATAAACAGGTTCTGCTTCTTCTTCTTCTTTTTCTTTTATACTGGCTTTGGAATCACTTATATATTGTGATCTATTCCGCCACATTTCATGCGTGTATGTCGGTTTGTCATTATTTGTGGACTTAGATGTCGCTGTGTAGAATCATTGGAAGATGCAGTGTTTTTATTTTACTATAGCAGACTAAATGCTTAACATAGCAGACTAAATCTGAAATGCGCGTGATTGTTGATACAAGCAATCGCAGATTTGAATAGAAGCAATGTTTTGTTTGTGTAGGTATTGGACGTGTGTATTTATTTATTTACTTATTATTATATTTTTTTTTTGTAATAATTTGTTTATATAGTAATTAAGTTTACATTTTTTGAGGATTTTGCTATTGGGCTGGTTGGAAGTTTAAGTATTTCTTGTACAGTTGTGGGTGGAATAGTTTTTGTGTTTTGGCAGTGGAGTTTTATTTTGGCATTTAATGCCTTTTTTTCATTAGTGTATTTTTTACATTCGAAAATTACATGATCGATGTCTTCAAAATTCAAAGGGAGCTCCGCACTACACTCTAGAGATTCAATCATGTTTTTTCTGAACAGATTTTCGGATAATGAGTAGTGATAATGAGTAGCTCTTAAACTGTTAATTGTGACTATGTGGTATCGTAGGGAGTTGTAGTTTGCATACCATGGTTTGGCGGCATGCTCTTTAAAGAAGTGGTCAAAGAACTTACAAGGAGAGTCTTTCATCTTTGGGTCACAGATCCTTATCAAACTTGTTTGGGGGTCTTGATGTACATAATAATAAAGCCCCCTATAGTTATTTTATTCCAATGAGCCCTGGAAAGAGTTATAGAGCAGAAAAAACTATTAAATATAATATAATGTTAAAAAATACCACTTATTAGTATCAGGCCTAGTACGGTCAAGTCTAACTCTCTCAAAAATATTTGTGCATGACCTTTTATGCATTCTTAACACTTTTGCAAACAATAAACAATTGAACTCACTTTGTTTGCTGTGTAAGTTTTGAAGAGCGCATCAATTTCAGCTAAAATTAACGTAACAAACAATAAATATTGATGTAAATTATATGAAAATGTTTTTATTTGTATAATTCACAAATCCCTTCTCTTCGCGTAATCCTGACACTCATCAGGAGTGAATTTACATATGTTTTGAGTGCCAGAAATAGATAAGAAAGAAAGAACAGTAAGTTTTATAAATGAAAACATTTTTACATGATTTAATATAAATATAAGTTGATAAATGCATAAATTTTAGCTCAAATTAGTTCGCTCTTTGAGACTTTTTCAGTAAACCAATTGAGTTAAATTGTTTATTGATGGGAAAGGTGTTTTGGACATTAAAAACTCAAAGTATAAATACTTCTCAGTCAGTTAGACCTGACTGTGTAAACCCGATATCCTTATACTCTTCCAGGGCCCATAGGAATAAAATAACTATAGGGGGCTTTATTATTATGTACAAGAGGACCCCCAAACAAGTTTGGTAAGGATCTGTGACCCAAAGATGAAAGGCTCTCCTTGTTAGTGCTCTTGTGCTTGGATTTTTCCTTAATTCGGTGGACATGTAGGTCTTTAGTTTTTTGGGCAAATAGATTTTGAAATTCTGAATAATAGTGTTTTGTACTCATGATACAACCTTGCTCTATTGCGTCCTTAGCTAATTTGACTACTATTTCGTTGTGGGTGATGTCGTGGTGTGAGGGAATCCATATTAGTTTTATTTGTTGATTATTGTTTGTGAGCTTGAAGGTATATATTGTATTATGTCTAGAATAATTGGTGATATGTTTGATTTTTTAATTGGAGAATAGTTCTTAATCGCTTGCAGGGAGCTTTTAGAGTCACTCAAAATTGTAACGTTGGGTAATTTTTGCTTATATCCAATATCCATGGCTATGAATATAGCATTGGCTTCAGCTGTGACAATTGAAGCTATTTTGTCTAGTTGATATTGGTATTGAGTAGAGGAATTTGGGAAATAAATGGCTGTGCCAGTTGATTCTCCTTTCTCCATTTTTGATCCGTCTGAATATTTGTGTGCTGTACTCTATTTCATTTTTTAATATAGCCTGGAAGGTTTTTCGAGGGTCTGTGGACTTCTGGAGAAGTCTGAACAGGTTCTGATACAAGCATTTTAAATAATAGAGAATACCAAAATGCATAGAATTTCAGATTTTCCTAGGTAGAGGTGAACGCATCTGTTTCGATGGCGTCGTTTTTGGGGAATCTGGAAACGTACTCTTTACATTTTTTATTTTATCCAGTCGCGAAGAAGTCCAGTTCTGGGTGTCCAAGCTGCATAGTAATTTTATTAAACGCCTCATTGGGCAGAGTCCACTTTGTATCGGGGTTAATTCCCTGGACAGATGATCTGTTTCTACATTCTCACTGGATTTGATATACGACGCTAACAAGAATATGTTTTTTTCCTCGACCCAGTGCCTTATTTCACGTGACAGATTCAGAAATTTTGAATGTTGTATTCCACCCATTTTATTTACATAAGCTATTGGGGTGGTATTGTCTACCCGCAGTAGTATGTTTATGTTGGACTCGGAAGGGACTAGATTTAGTAGAGCATTTTTGACGTCCAACAGCTCCACGAAATTTATGTGTTCTAACTAGTTAGCTCCACATCACGTTCCCTAAACTCTATTTTTATTATTGGTAGCTTTCTATCCAGATCTAGAAGCGTCTGTTAAAATTGTCATTTCGTCATTTTTTCCAATGATTTGTGATTAGAGATTATGTTTTGTCTCTATCATTCCAACTCACAGATGCTCTCGTGAGATATTGTAATTTGTGCGTTATGATTATAGCTACTTGCTTTGAGTGCGAGGTGACTCTCACGCTCAAGGACCTTTACATGAAGCCAGCCATATATCGCGGCTTGGCAACCGCAACTAGTGAGCCAATTGCACGGAGAGAAAATGTAGAGATATTCCCCAGCAAATACACGTCATGGAAATAACGGACACGCGTCGCATGGGATTTTAGGAGGGTTAAGTAGCATAATTCTCAGCGCCAGCATGGAAAAAATGGACCGATGCTGCACTAGCGATATTTCCAAGAGCAACACAGGATTTTCCCTTGTTCGCGATGTGAATTTATGTTAGGGAATCTGGTCAATTTACTTTTCGAAATCTTTGCGTAAATAGGCTAGAAAAATAAGAAATACATAATGCAAGTAATTATTTATTTGATTAAATGAAGGAAAAAAAATTATGATTTACAAACTAAACCTAATATCTATAAATTCGTCATAATCTTTTTGTACACATAAGCATGGCGGAAAATTAGGTACTAAGTCGACACTAATTATATTTTCTACATCGGTTGAAATAACCTTATAAGCATAATACCATTTTAAAAAGCGCAGTGTCTTATATTCTACTATATGAAAATATATTTTTTTCCACTTTCATTTATATTTTTTTCCACATTTTTGTTAGAGGAACTTGATTCATTCATCGCGGTCTTAACGATGAGATAGTCTGCGTCCTCTGTCGCTCTCTTAGTCTTATAACCATTATCATTCAACGCATTTACCAAGGTATCGATGAGTTTTTTCTTATTTAGATATTTACCAAAAAATTCTGTTGGATTATAGTTAATAATGGTGTTCAAATCAAATTCTATTTGTCGTCCGGCATTCACAGCCTGACGGCGCATTCAAAGTTTTCATATTATTGGTATCATACCCATCGAAGATTAAGATGCTGTTATGAGTATACTTTTACACATAAGTAACATACTTTTCTATAATTTCTGTTATCGAAATGCCACTTTTCCAAAGATCTTTGTACATAAAATATCCTCCATCTATTACGAAAATATCTGTCTCGCTCCATGAAATCGGTTCGATTGGTTCGAAATGGTCGCAAAAGACGCTTTTCTTTGATTTTCTCACACCAGCTTCATCAAAAATAGCTATAGAGAACGGAGCCAGCTCATTTTTTAGATAATCTCTCATTTTTTTCTTTTATATTTAAACTTATGTCCTGGAAAATTAATAATGGTTGTATCGGCTCACTGCTATCATTAATTTTAATTTTACTACTCATCTCGTTTAATGCCGATACTCTATTTTTTCTTTGAAATTTTATTTTATCTTATGATTTATTATATATATATTATTCATCAAGCCGACTCCAACTTCATAAGTTTATTAACAGTTAATTTTTCATTACCGACGAGACCAGAATGAATAGAAAATATTTTTTATGAGTGAACAAATGGATTATGCGTTTTATGAAAGTTAACTAGCTTTTTTAAATATTCAGCATCTCTCGAAATTCGACTGATGCGGCTATCAACATGTTGATCGCTACTGTCATATTTTGCGGAGCGACAATTCTCCATTCCGTTGTACATATCAAGTAACACTACTGAGCATCCAATATATGTAGCAACTGTACTTTCGGAGATACATCTACCTCGAGTCAAGCCTCCTACACATTTAAGGGCACGCATTAGAACTTGTTCTATGGCCATATCAGACCATATTAGTCACTCTTAATTGTGAAAAATCATTCTTCGGTAAATTGATCATGATCATGGGGCGATAATACGAACCTTAAATCTTCCATATCTTGCACATACAAGTGAGCAGATTTAGCATAATTATTATGTCCACATGCATGGAAAATAGGTAACATTTCCTTGATCGAAATTTGAAATTGCCAGAGCTCTCTGTGTGGTAGAAATGATGAATGACAATCACGCAATGGAAATATTGTATCCAAAGTTTTGCCGTTGGCCTTTTTTCGTTAGCTACGTCGAATGTTTGATCAATTTTTGAAATATTTCTTGAAACCGTGAATCTTTACTTAAAGCTTCATCATCAAAAATCCCTTTGTTCCTTACTTCACTTAAGTATTTCAATTCATCATCGTTAAAATTATACATTTCAAAAATGATATTTCCAAGTGCAGTGAAATTTAAAATGTGTCCAGGAATGCCTCTAGAAAATGCATGTCCGCTTAATGCTTTATCGGCTGTATTTTCAGCGTATATTAAGGATCATGCTTGTCTTGTTTAGGATCAACCGTGTCGATTATTTCCCGATTTTTTCAGTACAGTGGCTTATCGAATGTACCAAATATATGAGATTGCTCATTTGCTTTTCCTCTTCTGGCTGATTCTCCTTGAACGAAAAATTGCATAATGTACAAGTCTTAGAATTAGTCAAAGATTACATCTGAATTTTTTCAGAATTTTTGAGACCTGCTGTCACTTATTTTCAAAGGTCTCTGAAATTCTTAAGAAAAACGTAAAAACGCGTCAAATTTAGGCCTTTAAAACAGAGGATAGCAGATCTCAAAAATTCTGAAAAAATGCAGATGTAATCTTTGACTAATTCTAAGACTTGTACATTATGCAATTTTTTGTTCAAGGCGTCCTGTTACTAGTTAGAAAATCACAAAGATGTTTTAATAAATTAGAAAATGATTTTTAAAATGGGCCCTAAGGCCCATTGGATCAAACTAAGCATAAGGGGCTTCATTGTTAAGTACCAGGAGACCACAAAAAAATTTTCAGAATATTTGACTATCCGCATCTTATGTGGTCTCCTTTTTAGTCAAATCGCTGGTGGTCGGTATTCTTTTTAATTTTGAAATATTAACATTGGTAGTTACTGCCCCGGTATAAGTAACACTTATGATGGGTGCACTCGCGGATATTTGTCGGTCTCCTAGTGTTCGACCGCCAGCAATATCCACGACCGCGAATCATTTTATCTTTTATTTCGCCCGGTGTACTCGTCAGCATTTCCGCACGAGCGGAGCTCCAGGCAACTACGAGGTCGCCACCGACGAGTGACACAAACGCTCTTCTATACGCGACTACCTGGCCGGTTAGCACAGGTACTTCGAGACTCGCCAAGGGCAACGCAGGTTCGCTGATGATACTTGATCGAAATCCACGTAATCACGCTCAACGAATACTCTACTCACCAAGACTAAGGCTATCGAACTCAAAATACGTTTTCGAAATTTGGGCTGCTGTCCGATCGATAAGTCAATCAGTCAGCTACTGAACTCTACTCGCTGCGCGGCTCCGTTCGCGCACCGCCGAGCTTTTCACGTCTCGGTCGCAGCTGTGAATGAGTCGAGCATTAGTTGGTTTCTGGATTTTTGATGAACCTCACATAATGATACGCAACCCTGAATTTATCTCATACGAGCTGGTAAAGGATTTTGACAAATTTGTAGACAAACTGATTATTTTTACCAAAAGGGATTTCATTGGTAATAACATTGTTACGAATTTAATTAAGGACGATTCAGGGTGATTGATTTTGACCTATCCTTAATTTCCGTCTCATTTGTGATATTCCTCTTACACGAATCCCCCAGCTTTTCAGTATCATATTGGACCTACTAGAAAAAAAAACGAAAACAAAATTTTCATCTCTTTACGAATCTAAAATAAAAAAGATGGGGCGGAGGGTTATTATATGTATGATAATGATTCACTAGATGTATTCTAAAGGGTTACCGACATAATCTCCGCGACAAAATCTCAGGAGACAAAATCTCCGGAGACAAAATATCACAAAATAACCCAGTAAAGTATTAAAATAATTTTTATAGAAACCTAAAAAACAAAAAATTTTAAAAAATGCGGCGGAGATTTTATCCCGGAGATTTAGTCGCGGAGATTATGTCGGGATCCCACTCTAAATCTGTTCCATAAAACGCGTAATTTCGTATGTTTATTGATGTTCCAATTCATGTTCTGTAGAACAAAATTAAAATACAACTAGTGTATATCCATAACATTTTTGAAAAATATATGTTACATATATTCTTATATTGGACTAATGTTATAATTATTTCTACAATGACTTCCAAATAATTTAATTACTAATTTTTCCCCCAGAATTAATGGAAATTAACGAAAAATTGGCTGAAACAATGTGTTACAAAGAAATGCATGAAATTTCACGTGACGCATTATTGGAGTGTGAAGAGAAATTATCACAATTAGAAAAAGATAAAAAATCTCTTGAATTAGAGGTATGCACTTTTCTTAAAAATAATTATATATAAATTTTCAGCTATAAATTATTCTTATTATGAAATGTCAAATGTGATAATGAGGTATTAGTCCACTTTGGGAAGCAAAAAAGGTATAATTTTATTAATTTTCTCAAAAAATATTTCATATATTTTGAAAGTTTAACTACATTTTATTTTTCTTTGATTATAAACTACATTTTATCATTTTTCACTATAATTTTTTTTTCTATGTCGGATTGATTGTAAAGGGTAAAAAAATAGTAATTTTGAATAAATGCGTTTATAATTTCAACAACTATTCAACACTGTAAACGCGCATGCGTTTTACTTGCCTTATCTTGAAATTAGAATTTCTCAACAAGATTTTAGGAGCTGATTTTTGAAGGTATAATACTTCGAAAATGTAAAAAAAACATCGACTTTTCGAAAATCCAAAAGTGTACTAGTACCTTAATAACTGCATGCTATTGTTTTTGTATGTTATTTGATTAATTTGGAAAAGTTACCAATGAAATCTTTTTTCTTCTTAAAAATTATTTACATTACTGAAAAAAGTTTTCTTAAAGCAATAAACCAAAGTTTTAAATGCTCTTTAGAGCCAAAAATGTGTGAATTATTCAAATTTTACATAACAATGGACAATAAGAATGTGTAAGTGTTTTATAATGAAGAGTAATTTCTGAAAAAAATTGTTGTCTATACTTAATTTAAAATTAAAAACGACGTGCTACATTAATAAATGGACATTTTTACATTGGATAATAAAAAATTTAATTCCATATTTTACAGTTGCATCAGCTAAACACAAATCTAAAAGAAAAAGAAAACCTGGCACAACAACTTGAGAATGAAAAGGATCAGATTAGGTTACGAACGAAGCATGATATTTCTTTAAAAGAAAAAGAATTGCATGAAAAAGATGAAGTTATTTTAGTTCTTGATGAAAAAATTAAAGACTTAGAACAAAGATTACTACAGAAGAATCATGAATTGCGACTTCGGGAACGAGAAATTGTTGACAAAGATGATTTGATTAAAGAAAAAGATATGATGCTTCAGGAAAAATGTCAGGAATATGATAAAGTAATTGAAATAGCAGAAAAACGTAAAAGTCAGATCGATCTATTACGATTTTCTGTAAAATCAAGAGACGATGCTCTTACAGAACTAACTGATAAGAATAAAACCTTAATTAGTCAGGTATATCATATTTTCAATATTTTTACATTATAAATAATAAATTTTTGGTACTAAAAAGCTCTTCATTGATCAATTAATTTTCGGCTTTTAGTTTTGAAAATTCAAAAATTCTGATAATAATTATCATTTTAATTCTAGTTGGAAAAAAATTATGCTACAAAGAACAGTTTATCCGGTGTAGTGCCTACATATATTGAGGAATCGCAGTACCTCAACAAAAATAGTAATAGTAACAGACCTGGAAAAATTTTTAATAATCAATTAAACCTAGAATTTGTTGATGAAAATAAGTTGAAATTTGAAAACCATAATTTGGATGGATACAAGCTTGATTCTTTGAAAAAAGTTTGTATTTATTTTCTTTTAACTTTAACAATTATAATCGATTGCACCAACTTAACTTGTTCATCTTTCCACAGGAATTAGAGAAAAAAGAACTTGAATTAAATCAACAAGAAAGTAGTAAAAAAGAGTTGCTATTGAAAATGTACAATCTACAACAGTTTGCGGATGATACTAACTACAAGTTTAAAAAATTAGAAACAGATCATAAAAAAGCCATTCAAATGATTCAAGGTTTCATAAAGAGGTATGAACAATTAGAGGACAAGAATGTGAAAAAAGATAGACGAATAACAGAACTGGAAACTGAACTTTCTCACCTTCGAAGGATCAAAATATCTGATACTAATAATCTCTCATTGAATCAACAAAGCATGAATAATCAATCAATCGATGAGTCACAGAAAAGTCATAATGAAAAGGTAAGGTTGATTTTTTTACTAAATTGCTATAATTGTTATAGTAAAAGCCTAATACTCTACTGCAGTAAAGCTTTAATAAAAGCATCCACTAACATAAATTAATAAGAGGCTCAAATTTTTAACGATTTAATTAAGTGATTTTTGGAGAAAAGTGTGTATGAAAATTCTCATCATTTGCGATGCATTTTAATTTTGAGATATTTTATACTCGTTTAATTTTTAAATGAAACGCTTTATATTTGTACCATTCACAAAACGATTGTAGACCGAGCTTATGGCAAATATGTCACATTAAAAATAATAGTAATTTACGATACTAGTGCCATAAGTAACACTTTTTGGCACGGCGTAGTTTAGGGCCCGAGCGCAGCGAGGGTCCTAATAGCTGGGCCGAAAAGTGTCCCCATGGTACGAGTATCGTACAACATTTTATAGCACTGTGCTAAGTTCACATTTATGCCCCCTTTTCCGAGTCATGAGTCGAAGTGCGAAATGAGGTTAGCGCACGAGCGCAGCGAGTGTGATGCGAACGCAGTGGTGCTGGAATGTGCGATTTATGCCACAGAAAAACGTGCCATAAATGTGAACTTATGCCACGCAATGCTACAAATTTGTGTATGATACTTGTGCCGTAAAGTGTTACTCATGGCACTTGTATCATAAAGTACTATTTTAATCACGAGTATTCTTTATATTTCCTCATTTATATTTTATGAATTGCATTTTTTATTACAGTTTTTATAAAAACTTAAGTTTTTGATCAAGTCAAGTTATCTTTTTTTGAAGACATTAAAACTGATTTGAATAAAAGAAGAGATATAAGAATAAATATTATTTTATAATTAATTTGTGATTTAGTTATAATAAAATCTATTAATCCAAATTAAACTTGGATATAAGAAGTTTTTCACTAACTTTCCTATTTCACATAACTTTTCTAGGATCCAATTATTGTCACAATCTTTCCAGTAAGAAATTGGCAGAAGAAAGCGAAATGAAATTTTCAAATTAAAATTTTTTTCATCGTATTTTTTCTCAATATTTCTGTTTACTCAATAATTGATATTGCCATGTAATTCTTATTTAAAATTCAATTTTCAAATATACTTTCATACAATATACATCTCTAATGCTTCATTACATTCGCATCTATTTTTAATCCGAGACTATGTGATTTGAAATGTTCACATAAAAAATATATAATAAAATAAAAAAAAACAAGTATTTCTGCTTCATCGGCTGTACTTTTGAGAGGTGTGTTTTTTTAGATATTAGAAGAACAAAAATAAATAAATTTGAAATTATTTCGAAACTTTAAAATCTAAAATAAATCAAGGATTACAAAACAGAAGAATTCTTTAACTGCAAAAATGCACTGTTTAAGAAAAAATCATAAAAAGAAATTTTTGGGATATTCTTTCATGTTAAATGAAAAAATATGTAATTGAAACTTCTTGAATGAGCTACACATTTTTTGCATTTATAGCTGCAGAAAATTTGATGTACGGATGAACCCAAAATCGTGTTACTTCGTAAAAAATCTAACAAAATATGCATCATCTTTTCGCATATCAAATCAGAATATCTCGTTATAAAAGTATTGAAATTAGACAGGATTTTCTAGTGAGTTTCAGTGTTTGATATTAACTGGTTATTTATTTATGATTTTTTTTATTATAAGTAATTAAAATTTTGTATGTTATTCAAAAAATGTATAATAGTCATTTTTTCCGTAATTAATTAATTATATTATGTGAGTATAATACAAAACAAAAATAGTTATGTCAGTAATTGTTCCTTAACAAACGCCTAATGTCTGAAATTTTCTAAATACTTTAATTAATCTTATAATAGAAAAAATTATCACTAGTTGATTGTATAATTCGTCTTATTTGTAATTAAGTTAAATTATATACAATGAAATGATTATCTAAGTTAAGTAGTATGTTTTTATGTATTCAGGAAATATTGATCAAGACAGATGAAAATACCACTTTCATTGAAGATAAATTGAATGCATCCGAGATTTTGTTCGATCAAATAACTTCAAACTTCAATTCAATGAATCTTATGAAAGAAGATACATTTGGTCAAAATCTCACTAGACATGAGAATTTGCAGGACTTGAACAATGAATCAAATGTTCATTCAGAAAACTTTGAAAAAGTTCGATTAAGTAATTTAATAGTATCTTTGAAAGAAGTAGGTATCGTAGTAAATTTTGAAAATGACAAAGTTCAATTGGAATATGACAGTGCAAATATATCTAATAAACAGAATATAAAAACTAATTACATACTGAAACTTTTAAATTTAGATCGTGAATCCGAAGAAGTGAATGGCTTTTCTAAATTCATTTCTACGTTAAACCTTTGTGAAACGTTACTGTTTTATGTATTATTAATAACAAGAAAAAATAAACTTCATTGCGAGTATTTGAGGGAACATTTCAAAGAACATTTGAAATTCATGACAGAAATCGTTAGAGATAGTAACGATGATGCCAATTATGATAGATATTGCATCGCCCTCAATTTGATGCTACAAAAAAACTTTGATCACCAAAAACATATAATATCTAGTACCACAAGTTTTCAAAAAAACGGTCGTTCGGATAATTCAGACGATATTGCTTCTAATGGTCATGGAACAGATTATTCCAACTTTGAATCATGTGTCGAATTAGATTGCGAAAATGCTATTCAAAATGATTTGTTCAAATTTAAAACGCCATGTCCAAGAAAATGTAGACATTTGAATTATTCAAAAGAACACCAAATTTTCATGGAAAATAGTCAAAAGTATCAATTAGCCAACGACATGGAATTGGAACTATTTCATCAAATAAATTATATAATGGATATCAACTTTTGTTTACATTCAGATATAGATAATCTACTTATAGAAAATTCTCCGTTCAAATTGCACGTAAGTTCATTTATATTTCTTTACATCTATAGAATGAATTTAGTAGTTTTGAATTTGTAAATCATGCAGTCAATTTTAATAACAACAAAATTATTTCTTCTACAGAAAATGCAAGAAAAATTAAATATATTTTTGAATCATATTGATCATTTCTGTCATTTATGTTTAAAATTACAAATGATGGTGCTAAATTTTTTACCTAATTTTAAAACAATAAAAAATGAAGAAACAAAATGTGAATCCTGTGGAATGTCGTCGGATACTAACATTATCGAACCCAAATCATCTTGTAATGCCAAAAAAGACCGAATGGAGTCATTCTATTACAAAAAAAATGTTGATAAAAGTGAACCTGAAAATCTAATCGTGAATCACGAGGTATTTAATATTTTTTTAGATTTATGCTCATTATATGGTCTAATTAAAAATTTTTTAATTTACAGTTGAAATCTAAAATTGAAAACTTAGAAGAAGAAATTGATGAAGCAAGAGCAATCGTAGTAAAATTAACAACTGAATTTGATCGGTTAAATCTGAGTTATAGCCAGGTCTTAGTTGAAAATACAAAGCTTGCCAATGATAAAATAAAATTAGAACAGGGAATGACAATTTCTGATGGTTCTTATGATACTATGATGAAAAAGCTTCACCAAAATTTTTACGAAGAGGTATGTAACTATTTCATGTAACTAGAAAAATAAGTGGATTACAATAATTACAAAAAAAAAAAATAAACAATTTTAGATCACATATTTGAAACAAATAATTCAATCTCATCAAACGAGGTTTCAAGAACTTGAAATGTTGAATAAAGATATATGCAGACATGTAGCTGCATATGAATTGAATGAAATAGCACCAAGTTCCAGTGGTGTGTCATCCATTTCTACAGACACCGCAATAAAATCTAATTATGAAGATATAATGAGCGATTGCCAAACTCATAATGTAAGTGTTCATTTGAATTTAATTTTTCTTTTGTTTACTTTGTGCTTTACAAATCATTTTATTCTTTTATTTTTAGGCCTCGCGTTATCAATTATCTATAGCTCCTTACTTTTCTGATGCATGTTTGAAATCAAACAGTTCTCCAGACCTAGGATTCGAAAATGACAAAATGGTTTTGTCAATACAACCACTCCAACATACTTTAAAAATTACAGAATTAATAAGTAATCTTTTAAGTAATGACATCTACTGTGACTTGGAGCATAACGAATATTTATGTCGCCTCAAGCTACCATCCCAAGGTAAATTATATAAATTTCACATTATTAGCATAGATTTTTTGAATAAAAAAAGTTTCATTTGTTTATTTTTTCATTATCGGAACTACGATTAATACTTTTTCCTTCTGCAGAAGATGGTGAAATTGTAAAATTGAGGCAGGAAAATATTACGCTTAAAAAAAGATTAATGAGGACTCGAAAAGCTCTTGAAGAAACCTTTGAACATTTAATGATGTCCAATAAAAATAAAGAGAACGTCAAAAAGGCCATAACTCAACAATTAGTGACTATGAAAAGTGTTTCAAAATCACTGAAAAAAGATTGACTTTATTACTTTTTATATTTTTACCTATCTCTTTTATAAATAGTTAAGTAATTGTATACAATTATTCTGAATTAGTTGATCATTTACGTCAACTAGTATGAGGTTAAATTAAACAAATCAAATTGAAATGTTTGTGAGATTATAAATTGTAAAAATGAACGAAATTGGTTTTATGTATACGATACATATATAAATATGTCAATATGTCAATAAAACAAAATTTTTAGAACTTTTTCTAAGCATTATTGAATTGAAACCATTACTTATATTCTGAATGTATTTTTTTGAGGAAAAATCTGAAAGTGGGCATTGAATCAAACTTTCACGATTTACTATTAATAATTTCAGTCTGATGTATTGCTATTGACAATAAAAATAAAAATTTAGTATTTACAAGTTCACATAAGATAGGATGAGATTTGACAATTTAAAAACAGTTCCTAACAAAACAATGCTTCTTCGGCATAAAACTCACCAAGATGCTAAAATAATTACTTCAACCGTATAAAAAAAGAGATGAAAAAAGCTTTTAATTTTATTTTTAATTAAAAAATATTTGTCGGATTTTATCATAAACGCCAGTAAATGCAGTTGATTTCTATACTGCTATTCGCACGCAGATATTTGTTGGGAGTCGAAGCTAGTTTAAAAAGTCTTTAAAAAACAAAATATTCTGCTATACCTGATCCAAAAAATGCGTTTACCTTTTTTTCATGGAGATAGAAAGAAATGAGCCTTGATATTTCCTATTGACACGCACATATATTTGTGCATGCAAAAAACCAGGTACCTGGAAGGATACCGAAGCCAAACTCAAAGTAAAAATTTTCAAACGCATTGTCGAAAATTTTCTTTCAATGTTTTTCGAGAGAACTATGCGAATATCTTTATTTGTAAGTTTCTATTTCGTAATTCATTTCGTTTTTTTTTTCAAAAAATATTACTGGAAATCACTGGAAATGTGAGTCAACGGAAAACTTATTTATTTGATACGGCAGCTACGGAGATGACTCGATGGAGATTAATTTTTATTCGAGTTCATCCGGCACGAATAATTATTGATTCCTCCGCTAAGAGCTTAGTAAGGATTGTGCTTTGCGTCGGTGTGATTGCGTGTGGTTTGTTTTTTGACAAGGGCACGGGATCCTTTCTTGGAGCTGACGTACTTACAGTGCTAAAACTTTTCTGTAAAATAATCATTGAGCTACTAATAAACGAAGATTTGGAGCGTATTACTTTTCTATACTGTGGAGGCAATATCTAGTAGGCTTTTATCTATATGTGTTACGAGCAAAACCCACTTTTAGGCAAAAGCCGCTTTTAGAGCATAGCCGCAATGCCTAACATTTTTTAGGGTCGATCAACCTTGACTTAAAAAAAATGGTTTCCGTTGATTATGATGAGCTGATGCGCTAAGACTGTTTTTGAATTCACATTTGATTTACTTAAATTATAATTTAGGAATGATGAAAAATATACAAATAATCATTGGTTTTCATTTATTAATAAGATTGGTTTTACTTGAGTTCTAAAAATCACGTATTATTAGTAATATAATCTGTTAAATAAATTTACAGAAATTGACGGTTCAACATCTTGTGATGTTATAAGATAAATGTTATTTTTTAATTATAATCATTTGAGAACGTCATTTTGTTGCACTTGCTCTGTAACAAAGCTAATTTTATGCTAGGCTATGTGCCATAATGTTGTGAATGAGAATTATGTGAGTTGATTGATCCACCTCCCGGTTGCTCGCCCAGCCACGAATCCGGCGATGGAGGAAATTCGGGATAACTTGTTGGTCCTAAACTTCCAGCTACTCCACCTAAGCCTCCACTTGATTCATTGCTTTGATCCGAAGCTGGCCCGGTTACAGTACCTCCCGATCCACCTTTAAAAAAACAAAATTGAACGTTTCTTTTACTGATCTTCATTTTTTTTATTTACTTATTTTTTAGTTTTTGGTTCGGAAAGTATCAAAGCACTATTAACTAAATCATTAATTATTCAGACTTTCAAAGTATTCAAGTCCCGAGTTTCATGTAAGATTACAAAAAGTGTCTGTATTTTTTATTCATTAAAAGATTGCAATAAAAATAATGGCTCAGAATTTTTGAAATAATCGTGTGCACGTGTGAAACCGATCTGGACGCGCTTTAGTATGTTATAGTACATGGTAAAAAAGTCCCAAAACAAAAATTTTAAACCCCCTTCTCCCTCCTACGCCTCACGCTCGCTATAAACGCCGATTTTCTATTTATATTTATTCTGAAGCCCTGTAGTAATTTAAAAAAGCTGAAGAAAGAAAAAGTCAAAAACACCCTTTTTTAACGAAAAAATGTTTTTTAGGGCGATACAAAGCCTTAAAAAAGATGAAAAAATTTTTTTTCTCATTTTTTTCATCAACATACATAAGCTTGGATTTTTTTCAGATTTTTTAATTAAAGGCGATAGCGTTTCGAGTTGAAAAACTCTGTTTTTAACAAAAATAGATCTTAGAGCTTCCATAGAAAAAATTAAAAATTTTTTTTTTTGAAATCCCTAACTATTTTCAAAAATTTTGACCCCTCCATCTTTTCGATTGAAACTTCCTACCTCGATCTAGAGCATTAAATAGATCGAAAACCAGGTAATTATCCCTTAATGTCTTCAAAATTTTGTATCAATCTATGTAATGCTCTAGATTGAGTTAAAAAGTTTCAATCGAAAAAATGATAGGGTCTAAAATTTTGTTTTTGGGACTTTTTTACCATGTACTATAACATACCAGAAGTGCGTCCAGATCGGTGACATACGTGCGCACAATTATTTCAAAAATTCTGAGCCTTACCCAATATACTTTATTAAATTTGGATTATTGTTTTGAGACTTACCTAGCGTGGTGTAAACGGATAATCCAGCATCGGCAGGGTACGGAAATTGTGGAGGTAGTGATGGTGACCTCGAAGATGATGCGTAAGGCGGCGTCGCAGCACTAATATAGCCACGAGGTGGTCCATTTGTACCGGTTCCACTGCCACCTGGACTTGCCCCATCCCCATCGAGACCCATATTAACAGTACTATAACTGTCATTGCTTAAATCTGCAAAGTTAATATGACGCATTTAATTGTATTTATAATTAATAAATCTTAGGTTGGTTAGATAAGTCGATTAGTTGTATTTTACCGTTGTGTCCGAATGACGAATCAAGATCAATTTTCAAGTCATCTTTATCGAGGAGCTTATCGTGTCTAGGAGAGTGACCACCACTACTTCCTTTAATATTTCTAAAGTATTGAGACCACCTTGTTCTTCCAGCATCTTTTTTCAATCTTTTCTCTTTTGCTCTCCTGTAAAAATTAATTTTAACATGCATGATTATCAAGGTCATTAACATTTAACTATTGGTAATTTAATTAACAGAATGCCGAAGCTAAGAAGAAATTGCAAGACATAAACAATAGAAACGAATGAATTGTAAATAAAGTTAGTACCTATTCTGAAACCAAACTTGAACAACTCGCATGTCCAAGCCTGTATCTCGAGACAATTCTTCTCTTACGTGTCTCGCGGGTTTTGGACTATTATTGTAAGCCAATTTTAATGTTTCTAATTGTTTCGCGGTAATCGTCGTTCGAGGTCTTTTATTTGGTTGATCTCCATCGATACTTCCACCATCTGCAAGTTCTATAAGAAAAATTCGTTCATTTATGAACAGACATTAATTGATGTCTGATGAAAATTGTATAAAAGTACCTTTTGCTTTTGCTTGCTCGTAGTCAGTCTTACAAATCAGTTTACCCTCTTCTATGAGATAAAATTCATCTCCTGTATCAAGCTGCCTCGAGCACATGACGCAAGAAAAGCATGTAAGATGATAAACCAAATCCTGAGCTCGTCGCACAACTTGCGAAGGTGCCAGTCCTTGACCGCAGCCAACACATTTTGTACCGAAGCGCCTGTCACACCAACAACAAGCAATTTATCCATATCACAATTTATTTAATTTATATACATTATTATAATTGAATAAATTTGAATTGTTGAAAATAACCCCAACTGTATTATATATAGCTCTAACTATCAGAGACTTTCACATATGGATCGCTTCTTTGATACATAATCTGCTTATAATAGTATTGCGTCACTATTAAATGTGTAGCCCAAAAAATAAGACGCAAGTATGAATTGGCATGAAATAGCGAACTATTATCTGCTTGGAAAGATTCACGCGCAGCAGAACGGATGAACTTAAACGCTAAAATTGATACTTACTTGAAAAAATCGTCTTTGCAAAAGACATATCCATTCCGAGCGTAACATTTGTCAACTAATCTTATGCCACAATCTCTGCAGGTGAGACAACCAGCATGCCAACATCTGTCCATAACTCGTAAAACATAACGATCGAGGATAATTTCTTGACAGCCGCCGCATTTCGGTATTGAAGCTGAAACAATCATAAAACAATTGATTGGTATACATTTCCAAACCTTTCTTTTCATATTTTCTAAATTTAGAACTTGATTTTAATATAATTTATATTTTTAGTTTTTATAGCATAACGTGTAATAAATTACAACTTATGGGACTCTTTTCTACAGCATGTTTTGTACATTATAACCCCGCAGGATACCTCAGACCGTGCCCAAACCAAAAGCAAATTTATAGCATGAATGAATTTTCACAGTTCTACAATCGTAATTTACAATATATTCAAATTCGTCAAAACCGTGCTTTGATTTATACAAATATGTTGACTTCGCTATTTGTAGATTTACAGCTTTAAAAGTATTCGCCATCTAGTGGCGGACATTAAAAAAGTATTGTCGTATTAAAATTGGTCTTGTATCAAAATCTTGTAGAAATTTGTTCAAACATGATCGTGTATTTTAAACCAAACATTTCAAATCATCAATTTTTGTTTTTTATATTTCTCTTTGGGTTATCGGCTTGTTTTATTACAATTAAGTTATAGATATTAAGCACATTTTAAATGACCTGAAAATGACCATTAAGACCAATTTAGAACCAGAAAAATTTAGATCAGTTTTCAACCACTTAAGTATATTAATACCATTTTAAGACTCAGAAATTAGATGGTGAGTACCAATATATCTGTAAATCTGCAAGTGAAAATAACTGTTTGAGTCGAAGAAATATTTAATAATTATATCTAAATGCATTAAAACGACTTACAAAAATGATTTATAAAGATGATCAAAACTCACTTTTACAATTATTTATACTTTTGAAAAACAATCATACAATCATTCGCGAAAATCAATAGTTGTACCATCATATTTGCATCGTACTGTTACGAATACAAAAGTAAATATGTGTAATTAAATCGAACCCCTTAAATACAGATTTTAACTATATGCAATATTCAATTGCTTCATTACATTACTGTTGTAAGGAAAAATATTTTGAAATTTATTTTCAAAATAACTCATAATAAACTGAATAAATAAGCTTTTTGCACACGCTACGGCCACTAAGTAGATCCTATCATTATTTTTGTATATTCATCTTAATCATCGAATAATTCATAAACATTACTTTTTTTCATGTCTATTTAATCCCTTTGGTAATGTTAAATTTTAATTTTAATTTAAGTAGTATTTTTTGAAATCGATATGTCAAATTATTATAACTTACAATAAAAATATTCTGGAAATTTTAATGATAAATGACTAGTCGCACTTTGACTGAAGCGATTAATAATATCTTTCAGTTCATTGTAGCTTGCACTGTGGTCACTTGGGTGACTCTGACAATCAGTTATAACATGTGGTGAAGTAGATTCACTTCTTTGAAAACTTCGAGCACTTTTAAATGAAGAAATTTCACACCCTATCATAGTGATAACTTTTTTATATTAAAACTTATTAGTAAGGAATTATTAACAGTCACACGATAACTTTTCTCGCGTCATTTTCAAACTCGCTTTCATTTAAAATGAAATCTAATTTTCTTTTAACGAGCGAGAACAAAGTTTTTTTTCAGCTAGTATCCTGCAAGGGAGACCCTTGCGAAACGCTGCCTGGAGCTCGACTAAGTTTTTGCGCTGCTATATTTTGATGCGCTTGCGCTTGACTCATCTCCGCTTGGGGTAGTGGCTTGCAGAAAACGCTTAGCCATTCATTGAAGGAACCACCCCTGCTTTACTAACTATTGGTTCAACACATTACGAAGACGCCCTTTAACAGCATGGCGCCTGGCAAACACTGTCTCCCTTCGATACAATTTTCATTAATCAAACCTGTGCTATATGTGCATGAACTTTATCTTTTCACCGAAAAACCTTTTCCTTTTTTTTCTGATCTGATCTCGAAAAGCGAGAGGGAAAATCTAATATTATGAAACCTCGACAAAAAAAAACTAAAACCAAACTGTAGTTAAAAATCGTTCACGACCGAGTTCGCATGCTTCTCATTCGAATGAGTTTAATTTTGAACATTTTAATCTAAAACTAAAAAAATCCTTTGATTATGGGCATGAATAACGATTATAGATAGGTAAAATTATAAAAAAGTAAGTTCAAGAGCTTTCGTAGCCTTTATTAGTATTATAATTCAAGTCAACGAAAAAGTAAAGCCTACGTATTGGTCAAAGTTATGCTAAAATGTTGCTCCACAAATCTGCAAACGATTAATCTTAAGTTAAATTATTTAACATAGTTCAAAATTGATTTAAAATTAACATCAATTTACCTTATTGAAGAAAGACGACTGTATTTTTACGAAAAAAAAGTTTCCTTACTGATTCTATACCGTCAACGATATTTTGCTCACAGGAAATATATATTGCTCTACTTTGATGAGTTCTGTATTTTAAATATTTTGTATCAAAGTCATTTAAGTTTAATTTATCTTAAATCTTAAATCTATAATAGGTATTAATAAAACAAAGAATATTCTCATATTTTCATGTTCTATTTATATTTCAACATATTGAAACTTTCTTCAATAATAAGTCTATCTTATCAGTACAGTACTAGCATTAATGCTAATGCTAGTACATTTGGCGCGTTAATTAGTAAAAATTATTTATAATCTAAGTTTAAATATCAATAACGTTAAAAAAAAATTTATCGCATCAAAAAGACTGTATTTTTTTTCTGTATAATTATTAAATAATACGATTAACAAATTGATTCCATTGCATCCCAGCAAAAAACATTTTCAATAGCTTTTTAACATTCAACTGGTGAATAAGAGTTATATTACTCTGCTCCTTCGTACCGTTATACTAATAATACGTATGATTTTAAATCTATTATAGTGATTCTTTGAGTTGGTATAGATATTTTCATATATGGTTTCCTTCGGCTGAAAATAAAAGTCGTATCTAATTGACTCGAGGTTTATGGCTTCACAATTTTGATATTTCGATACATCAATATTTTAAGGCTTCTATTTCATTTTTTATATTCAATACAAACCATCTTTCAACAAGCAAAAAGCTGCATTACTATAATGTATCAACTTGCAAAATACATCCGTGTTGTAAATAACGAGTGAAAAAGTCGTCAATTCCTATCAATATGTTTTATTATGTGCGTTTTAAACTAAATATATATTAGGTATTAATCATTCGATTCTAATCAAGAAAATCAATATAAATTAATTGTTAAAATTGAAAAGGATGATATTAATAGACTAATTCATATAAATTATTTGTAAAAGTCCAATTTACTCAATAATCAAATTGAAATCATTTTGATTATTCTGCTAAAATTCTAATTTTGAAACTGCTTAATGATTTTAATAAAAACGTAAAATAATATATTCATAATCATTGTCTGTAATTGCTATCGCAATATTTTCCAAAACAATATGCAATTGATTCGGTATTGTTTTTTGTTTTCATTAAGTATTCATTTCATAAAGATATTTGTAAAATTAATGAGCCAATACTTTTCAATTCTTCAACCATTGCCATGAAAAGTTAAGTAAAATTAAAATTTTCAATAAGTTTCAACAACAGAATTTACCATTACACCTTTTTTCGTAAAAATATAATCGACATATGTGTATATATGCTTTGTCATTCACACGTTATGGGTAAGAAAGAGTACACTGTTTCATACAAGGTGTTAGCAAACAGATGGTCCATTGTTTCGTTCACGGATATAAATTTAGTGCGTAGAATCTAAAATCATGAGTTATGTATTATTTTGATATTTTTCGTTCTTCAAGGTGTTTTCTTTTCTTTATAAAAATCGACAAATGTGATTAATAGATGTTACTTCCTATGAATAAAATATTTTGCATATGCACAAAATGTTCTTATATATTACGTACGTTTAACAAATTATTTTTTTGGTAAAGTATATTTAAAAAATGTATGTATAGAAATATTATAACTAGTATGACTTAATTTATTTATATTTAAAAAAATATTTCAAGCAGAACATACAGCTAAAATTTTGTCCAACTCTTTATCACAAATATTTAAACAATCTATGTTGACTTTCAGGTAAGTTATAAATTACTTTTCGTACTGATTATCTTCAACATTATTGAATAAAATCAGTTTTTAGGTGAAGCTGAATCAAACAAAATAAATCTGGGCAAAAGTTTATTTGTGCGATAGTACTTTTTCCAAATGAAATAACAGAGAAATGTTAGTACTAACAAGTGAAGGGTAAAATTGTTCGGAAAAAGCACTTTGGCTGCATAAAATATGCCATTATTCAAAATACCTATTCCTTCTATCGCAATACTAATATATGTAAATGCGCACTATGGCAGTGATAAAAAAAGCCAGACTTGCCGAGCGATTGTAATTGCAAGGGTACGCGAATGATAAATAGCAGTGCCATAGTCAATTGCTCTGCTGTAAATGTATGAATATATACGTATATCGCAAGGGTAATGGTTTAGCTAATGTCCACATATGGACGCATCGGCTCGATTTCTTTCCTAAGGGAAGTGTAATGTGTTTTGTGCATTTGTATGGAGCGTTTAAACGTACGAAAGTGACAAGTGCGCATCCACACCCACCGTGCGCACATGTGTACGTGTGTGGGTATACCGTATACGTGTGTAAGCTCGAGCGTCTGTGCTGTACTTAATATTAAATAAAATTATGAGAAACGAAAAGAAACTATTTTTCAATAAAATATCCACCTGTACGTGTGTCACGCGAGAAATTCACCCACGCACACCTTTTAACTGATTAAAAAAAATCGATCTTTCAGTCGATGTTCACCGATCGACAAAAGTCGTTTGTTCGCTATTTTGCAAAGGCATTATCAGAATAGGGCCTACATACAGCGGAATACTCGTTGTCATGGATGTATCCTAAAGTAAAGCAATTGAAGCCGATGAGTATAGGAGCCGGGCTTGACAAGTAACGCACCGCTCGTGACCGTGGAGCCCACGAGGGGAGAAAATGACTTTAATCTATTAGTGCTCCTATCCCCGTACTTATATATCTATG